CAGATCGAGAAGAGCGGTATCGCGTGTATATCCTTCCGTGACTCTCGCAATTTAATTGGGAATCTTTTGCAAGGGTAGCGCTGATCTCGTAGCCCGGGGGGGGGGGGGAGGTAGGGGTTGGGTGTAATAAGCGAGAAATATCTTGATGATGCTGTGCCGCGGAGAGAGGAGAGGGAGGAAGTGTTTTGTTTTTGTTGCACGTCGTGAAGGGGAGGGACGAGTCAGGTAGATATTTTTTTATGTGTTGGACCTAGGTGTCTGTTAGATAGTGCTGGATATTGGGATTGGGTAAAGAGGGGAGAGGAGAGGAAGGGGATGTGATATAAAGTGAAGTTCATCTTCTCTCTCTCCTCTGTACCCTTTACGCAGTATACCTTACATACATATCCCCCTCCTGTCTCTCTCTCTCTCTATTCCACAAAAGCCCCCAAAGTTCAAACCCAACACACCTAACGCCCTCCTCTCTCCTCTCCTCTTCCCAATCCCCCCCAACCTCAAAACCCACAAAATCAACCAACCTGCGCAAGGGGAAAAGAAAATCTCCGATTGGCCTCAAGAGCTTTTCCAGACCGCCGATTTCTACTCTCGAATTTAGTGTCCTTCTACCCCCCCTTTTTCTTTCTTCCTCTTTTTTCTTTTTTCTAGAAGATTACTCGGAGGAGGAAAGATGGTTCCGTCTCGGCTCGGCCGTTGTAACTTGTATCCTTCCTGGTTTGGGTGGTGTTGTCTTACATAGGGCCCTGGAGCTAGGGCGATTTCTTTTTTCATATCAGGATGGGAATTTTGGCTCGGACTGAAAATGCAATGTGCATAATCATTTCATTGAATTGATTCTCTCTATCCATCGCAGTTATCCCTTCAGCCCATGTCATCCACCCTCAAACGCCTTGCAATGCATCAGGTATCACGAACTCCTCAACTCACTCCACGACTCCGCTACACCTCCCTCCACCTCACTCTTCCTTGCAACTCGAATTTAATACCCCTCGTAGCCCGGCGCAACCACTCCCTGCTGAGCATACTGCCTCTGTGCCTGGCTCAGCGGTAGCTGTTGACCGACCTGAACCTGTTGCTGCCTGTGTGCCATCTGGCCCACGCCCTGCAGATCGTTGAACCATGGGTGATTCAGCGCGTCGGCAGCACTGATCCGCAACTCGGGTCTCAACTGCAACATCCTCTGCAGCAGATCAATGCCAGATGGATCAATCTGCGGCAGGATCACTCTCAGATCTTGAGTAGCGTACATGGAGAAGTTCTGCTTGTACTCCGAGTATTGCGAGATTCCCGGCCATGAACGTTCCGAGGGCGTGCCCATGATGCGGAAGATGCGCACCAGTTGATCTTCGTTTGTCGTGCCGGGGAAGAGAGGACGGCCAGTGTACATCTCTGCCATGATGCAGCCGGCTGACCAGATATCGATGCTTGTATTGTACGTTCTTGACCCAAGCAGCACATCCGGGGCTCTGTACCACAGCGTGACCACCTCGTTAGAGAACGTATTGACGGGAATTCCGAATGCACGGGCAAGACCGAAATCTGCCAGTTTGAGTTGGCCCTTATTATTGATGAGCAGATTCTGGGGCTTCAGATCCCTATGCAAGACTCTGTTCGTGTGGCAGAACTCGATGCCCCGCAGCAACTGGTGCATAAATGACTTGATGGTAACCGGGTTGAGGGCGCCACGGTCGCCTTGTGTATCCATGTACTTCTTCAGATCTTTGTCCATGTATTCGAAAACGAGCATGAGTTTGTTCTCGGTGTGGATGACATCGTGGAGGGAGACTATGTTCTCGTGCTTCAACTCCTTCATCAGGGAGATTTCACGGATGGCGGTGCTGGGTGTCCCCTCTTCGGAATCGAGGTGGATTTCTTTGAGGGCTACAAGTTCACCCGTTTGCCGGTTGCGTCCTTTGAAAACCTACTTTTGTCAGCTGGCTGGTCAAACATTGGGTGCGATAGAGAGGTTTCAAGGTGAGGTAGCAGGAATCATACCGTAGCGTAGGTACCCTCTCCCAGCTTCTCCAGTTGCTGGAACGAACTCGGATGTCTCTTATCCATCTCTGCTGTATTCCCCTCTGTAGCGAAAACCCGTAAGCTGATCCTGCTTGCTAAAGAGCGCGGGGTCTGTGTTTCGTGGGCAGAAAAAGGACGAAGCGGTGGCGTTAGCAAGGGACGTCGTTGCGATGTGTGCTGTGGATTCCACAAAAGCGAGGCGGGCGTACAGATATTCTCGAGAATAGCCAACGCGTCTGTAGAAGCGTGCAGTGAAGCCGTGGTGAAGAGAGTGTAGCAAGTTGGGTGCTTCTCGCGGTGCAACGATGGAGGGGAAGCGGGCTCAATAGAAGCAGCAGAAGAGGATCGACGTTGGCGCAGGCGGATGGGAAGAGTGGCCGGCATCATCCATTGGTGGCTGTGCGGGCGCCTAGGGGATTGGGATTGGTTGTGGCGGCGGATTAGGTAAAGGGCGTAAAAATAGAAACAGGCACGGGATCTGGAGGTCTCGCTTGAGAAGCGGTGAGTCAGGTGACTGTGGTATCAGGTGACTGCCTCAGCGACAGACAGGTGATATCCAGCCTGAGGCATGAACTGATGCGATCAGCCAGAAACAGCATAGGCCGCAGCGCGGGGTACCTCATGCTCACGCACACGCTACGAAGGTGGCTTCTGGATAACCTCAACGTTTGTGCCAAAGATTCCCTTTTACATTTTCCCCTGGAGATGATCGGAACCTGATTTTCTTCCTTCGTCAACAGTTTATCTGCATCTGTGACGTTCGCCTCCGCCAGCATGCGTCCTCTACCTGGTGATGATACCTTCACCGGGTCGTCTCGGACGCCCAACTTCACTGATAACACCGGAACACCACTTGCACCACGAAGCCAACCACCACAGATGACCTACTTTCTCACTGACGAGAAATCCATCGGAGACTCTCCGCCAGCTCCCGCTCCGCACCCCAAGCATCGCGAGCTCAAGAACAGCACGTACGGTGTTGAGAGCCTCGAGTCCACGATAGGCTCCTTATCTCCCGATAACGACGACCACGAGTCCCATCCGCGGAACGCACGTCATAACTGGAGGAAGAACCCGGGACAAAGTACATTGAGGCAAACGGGAGATGATACTCCAGATTCCCCATGGAATGATATCAGTGGCAGCGTCTCCCCGTTCCCTCCGCGCCGTTCCTCACAAACCTCGATCTCCAGACCATTTACACCCCTGTCTCTCGGCTCCCCAGCCCCGCCTTCACTCATGAGTAGTCCTGATTCACGACGAAATTCGGACGCTGGTTCGTTCGAGGAGGATGCGGCGAGCCAGGCTATCGTTTCCAGTGGGGATGAGGAACGAGATTTGGGGGCAGGGTTGATTGATAGTGGGAGCGCGCCCCAGCTCGTTATGCCGAGTCTCAAGATGCCTAGTCGACGGCCATTCACGGAGAGGGGAAAGAACATAGGGAGACTCAAAGTCCTGATCGCTGGTGATTCTGGTATGTTTGATGATGACTTGTGGCTTGGGGCTAGCTAACAACTAATAGGTGTGGGAAAGACTTCATTGATCAAGGCGATCGTGCAGACCTGTGAGGATATCGTTCATGTCGACCCTCTGACTTCCACGACGATATCGATCCCGGATAGGAGAAAGAGCTCGAAGTCGAAATCCAGGAGTGGCAGTACAGACCTGCAGGCTACATCTCAGATCACGGAGATATATGCGAGCACCAAGGCATATCCGGCCTGGTGGTCGGATTTGGAAGAGAGTCGGATATTGCGGAGGAGGAAGAGCATGGGTGATTCAGTTTTGGAGAGGAATCTGTGCTTTGTTGATACCCCGGGATATGGGAACAAGACTTCTGTGAGTATGCCAAATGCTTCTTCTTTCATTGCTAACAGCACAGTGCCTTGAAACGATCACGTCGGTCGTGGAATATATCCAATCTCATCTACAGAAAGCGGTGTCGACGCAGGATATGAGCGACTCAGAAATGATAAGCATGCTCGGTGGAAATGGTGGATCTCAGGTTGACCTGGTCTTCTATGTATTTGCCCAGAGTAGGTCTACGTCCATGCCTGTGAGATTTCACTAACAGACTACAGGGGTAAAACCAGTGGACATCGAATACCTCCGCCGCCTGTCACAGTTAACCAACGTCATCCCGATCATATCCCGCTCTGATCTCCTATCCCCTGAAGACCTCTCCTCCCTCAAGGAAAACATCAATAGCACCCTTCAAACCTCCTCCATCCGACCATTCGTCCTCAATCCGAACTTTGAAGAATCCCCTCATCCGGTAGCTCCCTATGCAATATCCACAAGCGCGTCCAAAGACCTCGACACCATGGATGCCTCCCTCCTTATGTCTCCGGATTACGTCCAACCCCTCCTACCATCTGAACTCTCGTATCTCGTCTCGCAAATCTTCGAACGCGACACCGTGTCGTGGCTCCGGCATTCAGCAGCCAAGAAGTTCGTGCAGTGGCGGAGTTCGTCGTCTACTCTAGATAGAACCCCTCTCCACCGATCACTCTCCCAGTCGTCATCATCTCAAATCCTTACAGCGCCAGTGGGCGCAACCACGAGTTACGCACTAGCAAGGATCACAGACCACACGCAGCGAGAAGAGCGCATTGCTCAAGTCCGACTGGCCAACTGGGCTGCAGACCTCCAACGTAGTCTCGCCAACGAGCGCGCCAGATTCGAAAATCTAGCAAAGAGCGAGAGAGCGATCTGGCTGACCGAACGACTCGGTGAGTGCGTCCAAGATGGGACCATCGTGCCTCTCTCCCGGGCTCGTCCGACCCAACATCCAGCCTACAAAGACCTGGCATCGACATACTCCCTCAAGCGGAACAGCTCTGGTTATGAAGCCATGAACCCGCACGATCCGCTCGGTCTCCTGCAGCTCAACGAAGACCTGAAGAGGAAGGGATGGTTCGTGCTCCAGGTCGTCAGTAGTCTCGGCATCATCGGTGGTCTGGCTTTCTACATCAGCCGTAGCTGGCAGACGACCGAGTCGGAGACGGTGGGGCTATGGGAGTGGGTTACTAGTGTTTTGTAGTGTACGGAAGGGCAGGGAGAGGGGAGGACTGAAAAGTAGTGTTAGCGGAGGATATAATTGGATATCGAGGAAAGCAGGATCGCATTTCACATCAACACAGCCTAGGTAGATAGCATAGCATAGGTACATAGGGGTCCGGATATAGCGCTCATCTCTCCCTCCCATCCCTCTTTCCCCCTATCTATACCTTATATACCTTATATATACATACATAAAATAGCGAAACAATCCAATTCGTTCCATTACATCCCATTCCATTCCTCCTTGGTAAATACAACCTTCCAAACCTTCTTTCCATCCATCTACCCACTTCTTGCCCCTATAAATCCTTTAGTTCTTCAACCAGCAAGGTGGAAATCGACCAAAACATGACGAGCAGGGAACTAGTACCTCGGGAGCAGCTAGCCATCAGTAACAAATAGAGACCAGCGGACATAGGGTTCTTCGACCCAGAGTTAGACGAGTCAACAGGTACAGGGGACAGTGTGATAGTTGGTTTTAATTTAACAGAGTTTAATACAATGAGAAATAAACCGTAAAAGGTTACTGTATAGTAAGTCGATTAACAGTTGCCCCTGCTATATATATTTATCTATCTATATATCTTGGTACCCCCTCAGTACCCACACATAGGTAGAGATAATATGATCGTCTAAGATCTCACGCTCAGGTATTCAGTTGTTATCCGTATGTTCAACTGATACATTAAACATTTCCTACCTATTCAGTTTTGACACTTTTACTTCAACCCCTTAACATCCTAAGTAAATAACTTGAAACCCCCTGGCACAACCTTCTGAAAGAACCCTAGTGGATCATACACTTTACTCATAGCCCTCAGGTGTGATTTACTAATAGTGCCATACCCCTCAATAACTTCCTGGTAAGGGGCTGCATAATTCAGATATTTCCACCTGTTAAAAACACCCCATGACTTAGCCGCAGCATCAATCCTATTATTCAATTTCTCGCTGGCCATCATCATAGTCTTATCATCAGCTGCAGAAGTCCAAGTGAGACTAATCTGGAGCAACACCAGATTGCCATCCCGAGCATCGAGCCCGAGGGAGTTACCACCTAGCCTTTCAGATTTGCTCGTTATAGCCGTGGGGATTGGCTCGAAAGTCATACCGGCGCTGGCGAGACTAGGGAGCGTAGTTAATGCAGCCATAGTGCTATTCCAAAAGTGGAAGATCTCGGTCATGAACGAGGCGTTGGCTTGGAATGTTGTGGTGGCATAGGAATTCCGTAAACCATCGAGCGGAGCACCGGATTGTGTGAGCTCGTTGATAAAATCGGATACGTTTGATGTGCGCATGGTGCTGAATAGTTGCGGCTGTATGTTTAAGAAAGGTTGAATGCTGGCAGGAGGATTGCTGGTTGATGAGTTGCTGCTTGTGTGGGCTAGGTTATTCGAGATGAGGAAGCCGTATTGAGGACTCCAGAAGAATGTCAATATGACAGACATATACGGATCGAAAACCTCTGCGGCGGTCAGGTTTGTGAAGGCATTGATTTGTGCCTCGAAAGATGATACCAGGAACGTGACTGAACCGCCTAGATAGTTGGACTGGGGAAATGTGGGTATGTCAAAACGAACAACGACTCCGAAGTTGTTGGATCCACCTCTAAGTGCTTTCCAGAGTCCACGGTTCATTTTGGCATTGGCAGAAACAATGCTACCATCTGCCAGAACAACCTCGAAGTTTTTTACGTTGTCACATGAGAAGCCAGTTCTTGCTGTGAAGAAAGATATGCCACCTAATCACATTAGAATTGGCTATTTCATTTGCATCTATAAAGAATTGTGTTGTCTTAAAGCACAGGATAGAAAAAAACTAACCTCCAGTTAACAGTCCCGCCACGCCAACATCTCCGTTCCGTCCTCCAGCCACTGAAAGACCCAATGGGGTCAAGACATCGTAGGCATCGCCCCAGTGAGATCCGCCGCCTAAGGATATAACACTCTTATCACTATTCAACGATACTTGTCTCAAAGCACCCAAATGAAGTGTGATGCCCCTATTGATATTCGCAGCTCCAGTACTAGGCGCATGACCACCTCCCTTGATGGCAAATGGGCAGGATGGATATCCTGGGTCATATCCCGCACGATTCACCGAAGATAATTTCTTGATAAAAAGTGATACATCTTCAGCAGAAGAGGGAAGAACAACACACGAGGGTGTTAGTTCGGCTTCCTGTGCAGAGTAATATGTCCCAATTGATTGGGTGAAGTTGCTGGTTCCTGGAAATACCACTTTTTCTCCAAGTATATGGCTCAAGGAGGCACACTAGTAGATATCAGCGACTTCTTTGTATATACGGTAGAAGTAAAAGCAAGAAATTCAACTCACGGTATCTGCACAGGCCGTAGTATTGGGTGTTGCAAGCAAAAGGTCACTGATTGCAAGGAGAGTAACAAGCACCCAGGACCAAAATAACACCATCTTGACAGCTAGAATGGCCTCTAAGTTACATGTAGCGGAAATGTGGCAGAAACGAACGGACTCTGACCTTGAGAGTTTTTGAATATGAAAGAGAGCGTTTTCCCTGTATGATCCACTGACGTAAATCAGCACCGTATAGGGAGCTCACGACAAGAAGTTGTAAGGCTGGCAGGGTTCAACGCCATGGCCCCGCTCAGGTACCGGATACCAACCAAATTTCACTGTAAGATCAGTGGACCACAGGCTTACAAGGCCTGATTTTCAGCGCCCATGACCTGTAGCGACCACTAAACATGCCAACCATGCACTGTAGTGTGCTGCTATGCCAGACTCCGGAAAACCTGGCACTTGCCCCTGCTAGTCTTACGTTGTATAGGCCTCTGCCATGACCTGCATCAGCAAGCCATCGACCTGAGCGGGGTGTGATTCTATCCTGCAGATCTCCTGCACATCAGCGGCGCTTCAACTTGTTGCTACTATACGCGCCATGAATCCGCGATTGTGTGCCCCGACCTGCAGAGCTCTCATAAGCGCGGAGACGACGCTGACTGCATATACGTATGTATCATATTCTCATCTCGAATGCTTAGCTGAAAGCACTGAGCAGCCCGTGGCGCATTTTCCTATGATCACCAACTAGCAGTCTAGCCCCCGCCGGCACTTTGCTGTCAACCCTTACATGAGGTCTGGCCTGCACTGCGCCTCAATCAAAGCAGGATGAATTGTATTGAGAAGGAGGGAGGGAAAACTTCCAACTACAGGTCAAAGTCCGAACCAACCAATGATAATGGAACATATTTGACAGAAATGGAAAAATCAGTATCATATTCATCAACAGAATTAATTCGGCTTAAAATCAGACAATTTATGAACTAATTACTAGCTTTGAACACCCATGTTCCCCCTTCCAAACCTTGTCTTGGCCTGATTTTGACAGGCACAGGATCCTTCGGTGCACAGATAACGGTTGACATGTTGTTTCCATCGTCACCTGGATACTTCCAACTACCCGATATTGGTGTGATATCGAATCTGAGAACCATCATTGCTACTACCGCCAGGATCTCCGTTGTCGCAAAGTTCTTACCAGGACATAGATTCACCCCTGATCCAAAACCCCTGAATGCACCAGATGGTGGCTTCCTGCCTCCGACTTGTGTTTTCATGAATCTAGAAGCATCGAATGTGTCGACGGTTTCACCCCAGGTCTCTTTGTGAAAATGTATCTCCCGGTTTGGTACTAGTAGCATGGAATCTTTCTTCAGGAGATATTTGTCGTCGAGTGTAAAATCCTCCATTACCATTCTTGCTGCAGCCCCTGAAGAGTGATAGCGAAGTGACTCGTGTAATATCGAGACCAGGAGTGGAATCTCTCTGATCTGTCGGACATCGAGGGTGTACAGCGGAGCACCGCTGTCCGTTGTGGTTGTAGACAGCAATGGTAGAGTAAGCTCCCGAACTGAGGCGAGGGTTTCGGGATTCGAAAAGACATGATAGACAGACCAGAACGCTGTGGGAAGAGTATTGATGAGAATACCAAACCCATTAACCGCTTCAAAACGCGCAATGTCTTCAGGGGGTATGCCGTATTCAGTTAGAGATTTAACTCGAGCTTTGATAAGCTCCGAGCCAGATTCGTGGCCCCCAGCTGCAAAGTAATTTTGAAACCCTCTGACAATACTTTCACGTCCGGCGTACCCTTTTGGGGCAAGAATGCTGGGGAAAACCCCAGCGAGGAGCATCGTGCTGTCTTCGGAAAATGCTCTGAATACGTCAGTAAAAGCTCTATGGAAAGATGGGTATCAGAGGACTTCACCTTAGCCCTCGCGCGAGTTCTGGGTCACGGTAGGGATTCATAGGCCCGTATACGGCCCCAGAGGTCATAAGAGAAACATTGCTGTCCACCCATTTCCACAAGTCAACTTCTGTGGCGGCTTCTGCTTCCAGTTGATCCATTCGGGCTCCAATAATATCAACAGCCGTTTGATTCATCGAGTCCAGTCCAGCGATCATGGCTGCGTGTGTTTCTTTCATTCCATCAACCACCAAACTGTTACCAACTTCTCTTCCGGCCGCATTTTCCGTGAGAAGTTTGGCCGCATGCTTACTGAGAGCACCTAACTTGACTGTAAACGCTCCTTCTAGGAACCAAAATGATAGTGCCTTGTAGTGTCGTTGGATAGGGGCGACAAGGTCGGGAGCGGTCACGATATATAATCGGCCACCAAACATTGGTAAGGTGAAGATATCATGGTGATATTTGCCGCTGTGTGTTATGTTAACATTGATCATTCAAGTTCAAAGACATTCACTCGCCTTAATATTGTATAGTATCTCATCTTATGCTGCAGAATGCCCAAGGTATGTCCGATATATGGTATTTTGGACGAAATGAAGCGTGGTTCCTTAGTATCTGGCCGGGTTCCAAGTACTTGACTCAAGAGCATAACGCTGCATGCTATCACGGCGAGTGATAACACAGTCGCGTTGGACCCATATCCATCGGTTGATGAGAGAATGGTTGAACTATTCATCTTGACTTGGTTATCCAGTACCTGATGTAGATTCAGTCTGTAGAGCTTTCAACACAATGTAATGCTGAAGACAGAAAGAAAAGTGTATTCAGGGCAGATAGCTTTGACCAGAGCAGAAATATTTGAACGCGAAGCTGCTTTCTTTGATGGCTATCAGCTCCATCACCCGATATCACCATATCCCCCGAGCGAAAACCAAGAGCTCTCAGGTCACTCTGGGATCCAGACTTAAACCAGATCGGGATATTATTCTGTTGCGTACAACTAGTAGGTACAAATCTCAAATAAAAGTACTGCTGTAGGTATGTTAGCATCCCCAAGATAGTATGAACCCTGCTTACTTCCGATGTCAGATCTCCAGGGATAGTACGCCTATCATACCGTTACCTCCAAGTCTCGCCACTCATGCACTGTAGGTTTTCAATCACCAACAATGAAGGTTTGCAAGCTTGCACTGGCCAAATAAGCAACCGTGTCAACGGGCATTCCCGTTACATTTAATCGGTCAGATAGGTTGTATCGCCTTTCCTGTTGGTGGCCGTTCACCAGCTCAGGTTCTTACACCCCAGCCGGCAGTTTCCAGCTCAATAATGTTGGTGTGCGGCACCAACACTTGGCTTCTCAGAACAGAACTCAGGAGACACTTCCTTGGACAGCCTCTCTTCAGCTCTTCCACGCACCAGCTATTATCCTCTGTAAGGCCCCGCTGGTCTGTGCCCAAAAGACATGGCAGTCCCAGATCGGCTTTCAGAACCTCGATCTTCATACAGCAACAGCCTTGGCGGATCAACCACTTATTGTTTTCCTTGATCAGCTCTAGCACTCAACTTCCCAAATGAGACAATGCCCATACTTGGAGAACTCTCGTACGGTCTGGTAGCGACTGTCTTTGCTCTTTCAATTGCGTATCTATCCCGTTTATCCATCTTCAGATTTCGAGTAAGACATTGGTCCCTGGTCATCTTAGATCTCGAGTTTCAACTAACAACATGTTGTAGAAAGCATGGCTATCCTTCGCTAGTGGTATCATTAGTATCACTAGGACCAAACTTAATCCTTTCATATACCTCTTTCGTGGTGCGGACATGATACATGAAGGTTATCTCAAGGTAAGTGATTCTCCATCCTTGCGTTGAACAGAGTTGTAATAGACTACACAGTCAAATGGAGAGCCGTTCATTATCAACACACCCGGGAAGAAGAATGTCATGGTCACATCTCGGCAGCATATTCGAGAAATCAATGCTGCTCCGAATCATATACTCTCTCTCCATGCCGTTGCCAAAGACGTAAGATTTCAAACCCAAAGTTCAAAATCAGCAACAGGACTGACTAAAAGTAATAGTTCCTTCAACCCAAATATACTATGCACGGATTTGTGTGGAAGGATCAGAGAGGTATTGAGGGAGTAGGATTTGTGCGGGCTCTGCGCACGCTCTTAACCTCAAAATTACCCGATTTGCTTCCAAATTTGAAGTCAAGCATCAAAGATCAGTTCCAGGCTGAATTGAAGAAGTGCAAGTTGGTCAATGGTGAGCATAGTATATGTATAACCATGATTATTTAATGGGAGCTTTTTCTGACATAGAACGAGCAATAGGCTATTTCCGGACTCCTGTCCTTTCCGTCACGGAAAAGTTAGTGACAAAATGCAATGCGATAGTTTTCTTTGGCCCGGAGCTATGTATGCATCAGGATCTTACATCTTATCTTCAATTACTAACAGTTTCATAGCAAATAATCAAGTGTTTTTAGACGCAGCACTCTCCTTTCCGCAAGATTGTTTTATTGCTGCAGAAATACTGAGAATACTCCCAAGTCGTATTGCATCGTAAGTACATACTCCGCTAAGACAAATTGATCCAGTAGTTAACATCCATTTTAAGGATTTTCGCGTGGTGTGCGACACGAAGATATCGATCTTCGACTACACTGTACAACTTTCTCATTGAAGTCGTCAGGCGACGCTTAGATCAAAATGAGACTTGCGGGTCAGAAAAAGCAGTAAGTTATCCTATGAAGCAAGACATCTAGAGTGATTTTCTGATCAGATATACAGAGTGACGGTATCCAGTGGTTGATTGACACTTCCCCCAAACGTGCCAATTGGACAGCAGAGAGACTGGTAGGGGAGATAATGGCAATATGGTATGGCTCAGTTCATACCTTATCAATAGTACGTATTTCGAATCTACAATACTTGCGATATCCTAACATTATCCCAGGCTACGACCTACGCTCTGCTTGATTTGTATTCCCATCCAGAGTACATCGAGCCGCTCCGAGAGGAAGTCGAAGGCCCCTCATTTGCTGAATTCGCACGAGATTCACAAGGACTCCCACTCCTTGATAGTTTCCTGAAGGAATCCGCACGCTTGAGTGCTTTCGAAAGCAGTAAGTTTTCACGAATTCCACCTATATAGAAAGAAATACGCCTCATCAAGTTTGAAAAAAACTAAATATTTCATCCAATACAGCTGGCATCCGAAGAGAGGTTCTCCAACCATTCACCATTTCCGGCGGCTTATCCCTCGCACCCGGCGATTGGATCTGCGTCCCTCACCGATCCATGATGCGCGACCCGGCCAATTTCGCAGACCCTCTAACCTTCAACGCATTCCGCTCCGTCGGCGAAGCTGTCAATCGCGATTCCGCTTCAGCAAACACCACCACGAAGACGGGATTAACGGATAGCTCTGATTCTTGGCTGGTGTGGGGAGCGGGGAGGATTCTCTGCCCGGGGAGATTCTATGCTACCGTGGTCCTGAAGCTGGTTGTTGCGCACCTGATTACGGAGTATGATATCGTGCTCCCGGAAAGTAAGACGGCGAGATCGATGCAGTGGCGTTCGGCTGTTATTCCTAAGCCCAGTGTTGTTCTCTTGGTGAGGCCAAAGACGAAGACAAAGACATAAATTTCGCAGAGGGGGAGGGAGAATATCTATAGACCAGTCTTTCCTTTGTCGTAATGGCGTTTGTTTAGATCCCTTGGATTGGTTTGCAATTGATGTAGCTAATTCGGAATTGTTGAAGGGAATGTCTAAGTGAAGCCATCTCGCTGTTAGTTAATCAACCCCTATCTATATTCCCAAGCGCTTCGCTTCATGCTCCGCAACCCTCTTCAACACCGCATCCTGATCAGCCACCGGCTCATATCCCAATCTCTCCTTCGCCTTGCTGATATCCCACTCACACCCACCAGCCAAATACTGAATGCCCAGCTTCCTAACCTCCGGAGTTTTCGTACCGAATGTAAAAACCCAATACAACCATTCGCCCAGAACCGCAAAGCCTAGCACCAGCCAATGCGGCATAACCTTGATCTCATTCTCCGCGACCGGGTGTCCCGCAAACGCGTACACTTTGCGCGCAAAGTCGAAATAAGGTAAACTTACACCATCCGAGACAAAGAAAGCCTCCCCACCAACCCTCCCCTTCTTCGACGCATCATCATCCTTGGAATCCGTAGCTTCTTCAGCCAGCAGCGCCTTAGCAGCCAAGACATGCGCCATACACGCCTTCTCCACATACACGAATTCAAAGCGCCGTTTGTTCTCCCCGACCTGCACCTTATGCTGACCCTTCTTCACGGTGTTCAAGAGTGCTCCCATACAATTATCGTCATTCTCGCCGTATAGGCCGGGGATGCGGATCACGGCCGTGCTCAACGTAGACGGCGCGTTGGCGGCCCGCACCTCACAATCGGCTATCGCTTTCGTCTTGGCGTAGGCGTTGACCGGGCTCTTTTCCGTGTATAGTTGCGCTAGTTCCTCAGTCAACTTGACGCCTGGCGCTTGCACGATCGCGGAATCAGTGCCAGTATACACGAAAGCGCGCACGCTGGGGCTCGCGGCGGCGCATTTGAGCAGCACCCGAGTGCCGGTGAGGTTTGTACTGCGGAGGAGTGTTTCGGAGGCCGTGTATTTGGGGGATGCGGTGTGGATAATCACGCGGGGACTGATGGAGGAGAGGAGTGAAGAGACTTCTTGGGCGTTGGCGATGTCGCCGGAGTGGTAGGTGACGTTGGGGTGGAGGTTCTGCGTCGGGTTTCGACTCATGACATGGATCGCGGTGCAGGTCGATTGGGAGCTCAAGAGCTGGACTATATTGGATCCTAGGTAGCCGCAGCCGCCGACGACGAGGACGACGCCCAAATCGCTATCTGATGCCATGTTTGTTGATGGAGGGAGATGATGGGAAAGGCAGAAGATTGTGAGCACAGCAACTGCTCTTTTTCTTTCATGAGGCCGTCGTGGTGTACCGTGTTGGTGTTGGTAACCGTTGGTTGTGGTGACCCTGTGTCAAGGTGTCTCTCGTGTCTCTCGCCTGCCCTGGGCTCCCTCAACCACCAACAAACACAGTTACGCAGCTACCCATGGTCCAATGGCATACGCAGACTCAGGAATGCACCTCAGACAAAATCCAGCAACTGAGTTCAATTCGAGCTTCCTTGACGTCTGCGCAGCAATCGCGTCTCCACATGGACCCCTGAACTGAACCCCTGAAGCCTCCAACTCCAACATCCTCGACCCCTTCACAAGCGATGATCGCCATCTTCTTCCGCGCCCCGTTTTACAACCAATAATCGCGCATCAAGAGAGCAAGGTATATTGCTGACAGCAGGAACCCCGGCCCTCTTAGTGTTAGGGCGCAGCCAACGACGGTAGTAGAAAAGAGCAAGTGCCGGAGCATAGCTCGCAATCTCTCATCAAGGGTTTTGATTAGACTTTATCCTTTGGAGTAATAACTTCATGAACAGATCCGGATTCGGATATCAGTACTCGAATCATTGAATTTGAAGTTCGAATCCTCATTGGATGCATAGTGCATTCTATGATAGAAAACATGTCAATCATTTTCTGCGGCGTAGTAAAGTCAGTAGAACGGTATCAACTCTTTTTGTCTTTCAAAGACGAAGTATTGCGCATCATGAGGTTTGGCAAGTCCTGAAAGTGTCTTGAATTACACAAGTACCATAGCATAGATACTGCTTGAACACATCCCTTTGCAATTCCCTAACCCCGCTTTTTGGTACTTATTTCAAGAATCGGCGTATCGTCCTCTTTCATACCTTAGAGAAAGCGGAGACAAAAAAGCCGGCCAAGTGTTTCCTCAATAATATTTCCATCGTTCCATCGCCTCCTCAAGCCTAGGAAGCAATGGTACTGTGACTAGAGCTCTGCTCAATGCCAACCGATCTCGTGATACCGCCCTCCTCCCCAAAACTATTGTGGTGATGGTGTCCATCCATGCGAGAGACGTTGGTAATGACCTTACCGCCCTTCAACTCATGGTATCCCTGAAGATGCGATGTAGAGCTATCCCCGAACCCAGGGTCATTCTGGTATGGTAACCCTCCGAAGGTCGCCGGTCCATATCGCCCCTTTGTTCTGAAGCTGGTGGATAGTGATCCGGCGCTTTTCTTGGAGGAGTTGGTCGATCGGCCGTTTTTTCGAGAGAGTAGACTGTCGGCGATACTTGTGTATAATTTTGATTCGGCAACGTAGATCTTGAAGAATGAGGAGATTCCTGGTACGCAGCCCACGATGATAGCTGTGTAATTTTCCGCGCCACTTGGATGATCAGTGACAGAATCTAGAAGAGAGGAGGAAACAAAAACTTACTTGCAGATGTACAACTGTGCCGTTTTCCAAGCGGCATCGCCCGTATGATCTAAGAAGATCTGGACTCGATAAACCAGCGTCAAAACCGCGCAAACAACAGCACTGAAGTAAGATTGTTAGCTCATGCCCAAGGTTAAAGCGAGAGTAGCAACTTACAAGGTTGCTGTTAGGAAAACAAAGAGGACGCCAACCCGTGTACGTCTTGTGAGATGTAATCCCATAATCACCGGAATCGGAAGGATCAAGATGAAGATATCCAGCATGATGGACATGGCAGCTGACGCAATCTCCCACTTGAGAGGATCACCACACCTAATGCCTACTGTGAGGTCCCATTGCTCCCCAATGTGAGGAGCGCAGTAATAGCTGATGACGAAGGGGTTGGGCAGGTAAGTGAGGAGCGCCCAGACGATACCAATCCAAATCGATATCCTCATGTATGCCTTGACCCGGAAAATGCGTCGATATAACAGCAGAATCGCAACCTTCGCTAGGAAAATGGCGGGCCATGCAAGGAAGTTTTGGGCGTAGACTTTCTGAACCACAAATTAGTTCGTGGGTCTTTTCCTAGTATGCCATTGCTAGATTCACCTTGAAATAGGTGGCATCATACCAAGCCAGAGGTATATCCCATTGGTGACGCTCTGTTCTTGAAACTGCGAGAATATGAGCAAGGGGTTTTAACACGAGCAGATGATTTACCCACTTGATAAGACTATGGATGATTGTGCAATCGAGAATACGAGTGCAAAGATGGCGCATACTGGGAAGGTTCGTTAGAAACCGTCAACAACGGAATCGATTGAGGAAGTGTTCAAGGACTCACTGTCGTCGGAGCCAAGCCGGCGTGTAGAGCCAAAATTGAACGTAATTCGAGCAACAATTGCAAGAATAGCAAGAGTTATGAGAGTGCTAAAGACGCCAATTGTTGCTGGTGCCAAAGACGGTGGATTGATGAAGTTTGGTGTCACTCCAGGTGGTGGATAGCCGGCTGGAATGAGGTTCAAGTCGGCGCCTGGAGGGAGCGCGCTCGCCATTGTTCTTCAGAACAGAGGAGTTGGAGGATTCTCAATGCGCTGGGTATCAAAGAGCAGTATTGTGATCAAAGAGAAGTGAAAGTGTACCTCTGGGAGTTTCGTCCAGTGGGGTGGTCTGCCTGACGAGGTTATGACTTCGAAGGCTAATCAACCATCATGATTCAGGATTCAGATCGGCAGAGACTTCAACTGCCAAAGTGTCGAAGGGCTGCAACTGCGACCCTCCTCGTGGAGTCGTGACTACATTACCCCGTACAGAGCTAGGGAAGACTGGCACCTTGACCGTTTGCACAATATGGATGTGAGTAAGCCTGGACTGCCATCGAGAGACAATCTATCCCGGAGTAGCTCCGAGTAAGTCTGAAGAGCTGATCCATGCCCTCCATCTGCATGAACACGACATGTGTGCGCGTGGCACAATATGGAGTGCAAGTAAGGTATTGATTAGGTATGTTGCAGTGTAGATGGGTTGCGCAGAGTGCTGGTAGGTCGGGTTGGCTTCCTCGGGGTGAGGGCCAATGAAACATGGCAACGAGTAGCAGCGGTTAAATCTGCGTGCTACGCTGACGCTGCGGTACCCGAATGAGACCGGAAATCATCCCTCTGCTTACTTTTATACCCCTCCCTTTTACGCGAATGCAAGTAACACAGTTGGGCAAAAGGAGAAAACATCACGGGAAGGAGTGGTGATAGCGTTCGAGGGTATTGGCTGGCGGGGTTCATGTGGTCATGCTACTCTGCAACTGGCACTGCTTTGGATGCACGCTCTCCGTATAGATATTAAACCAGGTCTCGAGGCTACACGTGCTTACGTTGGACCAGGCGCAATTGGAATTTGATAGAGTCCAAACCACTAGCTTTGTAAACCAGCCAGTATTGTATCTCAAGCACTGGTAACCACCCAGCTAAAACCAACCAGTACATTGTGCAATTGTATAAATTTGTAACGAGAAGTCCAAAGTCGTAGAATAGTCTAAACAATTCCGTAACTCCCCTATATACTAGAATCTCGGACACACTCTCACTCTTAAATCGTCTTTTCCAACAACCCCCATCATCCCAAACGAAGGCTTTGCACTCTCCAGCCTCGGAAAAGCTTGAGCAGATCCATCTGGATTCTTGACCAGAGAAATGTCAAACCGATACATGGCGAAAGCAACAAATGCTGCTGCTTCTTGCCTTGCAGCAAACCTTCCCGGACACCAGGTACTACCGCCACCAAAAGGGCGGAAACAGGGGCTACGCCTAAGTGTCTTGTCCTTCATAAAGCGCTCCGGGTCAAAGGCCAAGACATCCTCTCCATACACTTCTTCATTTTCGTGGAGCTGGCGGTAAGGCATCATGATTCGATTGCCTTTACGAAAGGTCTTTCCGGCGATAATGGTGTCTTCAAGGATATATCTAACACTGGAGGAATTTGAATTCAATCGTAGTATCTCGTCCAGCAACGAATTGAAGCGCGGGCACTCTTCGAGAAGAGACTTCATGTTGAGCTTCCCATCTGGCATAGTTCCCACGATCTCTGCGCGGATAGGCTCCATGAGTTGAGGATCGTGCAGAAGGTAGGAGAATATCCAAAAGGCCCACTTATATGTGTTTGCATTGAGGCTGGTTACTGTCACTATCTGTCCAACAAACGATGGAGTGGCTATATACTTACGCAAAGTAAATGATCAAAACTGTTGATCCCATTTCCTCCTCAGTCAGACCGATTCGTCTCTGCTCGTCTTCGAGAGATTTGGTAAACCATGCCTCCCCAGATCTTTGTGACCGAGGAAGCCGAAAATGCGTCGCAAGATTATTGACCAATCTATCTTTGGCAGCATGCAGGTCCTTACACATAAAGCGCGGGTAATTGTACAGTAACTGCCACATGCCCTCGTCAAACTCGTAAAAAACATTGAGTAGGTCCGGGTCAATTTCCAGGAATGATTCCCCAAAATAAGACACTGTAGCAGCCTCGATGAGAACCTTTCCACACAGTTTCATGAGTGATACCTCAACACCAGGAGATGAATCTCGTAGCACATAGTGAGGTTCAGCTCGTACTTTGTCCCAGGTAAGGCATTTATCGACGTATTTCGTAAGTGAATCGGTCAAGTCATTGACTTTCGAGTCCGGTCCTGGATGCAACTGGATATGATGAAAGTCAACACCTACCCGAGCAATAGACTTTGCTGCCGGATTCAGGGGTGACGTTGTGGCTCCATCTTGATAAGGAGGGGGTTCCTGGCACATCTTTTCGACACATGATGTTGAACTGCCACAATTCAACATGAGTTCCTTTACAAATAAATCGAACGACAAAGTTTTGAGATTCTTGTAACATTCTGTAACATCCTTTGGATTGGTCAGAATGTAGAATTTCTGGCCACCGAGCACCAAGGCAAATGGTTGACGGGCGGTGCTGTACTTTCTGGAAGAATATCTTGTGAGTGGTTTAATTTGAGATTTTTAGGGAGTGGAGTAACTTACCTGCCATTGTTCATTACAGCATGAGAGTCTTTATGGAATGCAATGGCTGATCCTAAGTCAACCACTTAGTCGATTTGCCAGAATATGTGATGTCTCTCCCGACGATGAAAACACATACCAAGAACTATCAGAGTCAACTAGGGACCAGCAGGCAAATTCAACGGAGAGCTTACATGGTACAAAATAAGGAAGTTCCTTTGGCTCATTGGGTCTCAACAGCGGAATGACTGTGAACTTGATGAAATACCAGGACAACCAGCTGAGACCTAAAAGGAGAGACCAAAAGGTAAATGCATTTTGATTTAATAGCGTTACCGCGTATCTTAGAGAGGAATCATTTGAATTCATCATGGGTATATGCCTCTGAGATGACGAGATGAAAATAGAGAATAGTTGAGTTCAGCCCTTGACTAGTGAACACAGAATTGGTTGCATTCAAATATTAAAGCCGATCGAGACCAGAGAGGTCAATTTACCGCCGACAGTAATACAGGGACGAGGTGCATGAGGTAGCTAGACACACGTCACGAGATTCTACAGACACCTTGGCAACCAACCAACCTCCAATGCTCCATTACCTACCAGCTGCCAATGCTACCTTACCTGCGCTATGCGGCTGAGCGGCAAGTCTTCCTTGATAAGATGCGCTATCGAGGCGCAGTGATTCTCCGTCCCTCAGCATGAGATGCTTTGTCTTTAGGCCGAGACTCTTTATCCAACAACAGGGAATAGAGGTCACTGCTGGGCCATGTTCTTGTGTTCCCTTGCATAATGCAAGGGAAGTTGGAACACATGCAAATTGTACTTGCTCTGGCTGAAGCTGGAGCTGGAGCTGAAGCTGGCCTGATTCGTGATATGATGATCTTGAACATCGACCCCAAGCGCCAGGCTCCAACCCTGCAGAATTTGGTGTTACATGTTGATTGATCAACTGTTCAAATGCGTGCATAGCCGCTTCATCTTCGAAGCTGTCGTCTTAGCGTCCATTTCCTGCCAAAAGAAAAGCATATTGATATCAAGCTCACCATCTTGGGTGATTCTACTACATCACGATATACTCCAGGAGCAATTGATGCCTACAGGGTAATAGACTAGAAAAGAAGCCCTCCAGAATGTTAGGATATGATATTTTGGAAACTGTACGAGCGAGCTTCGAAAATCGATCTGGACTTCTGCAGTTTTGTATACTGGCCTCAGTTTGGCTGTCATGGAGAATCTTGAAATTTACCATAATTCCGAGATTCTATCCACAGGATCCAAAGGAGGTCCCGTACTGGATACCATGTAAGAGAAATTCCATTCCTAATTATCCTTTCACACAAAAATATTAACTGTTATACAGATTTCGGTAAGTGTTAGAGAACTCGAAACGCATCAGCAACAAGCACTCACTCCCAGACAAGGCCATGCCTATGGTTTCCTGTCTCACCCACATCGGCTCCTGACTTATGGGAGGAAAGTAGACACTCTTGATACACAGAAACTTTGCAGATATTGACGATTTTTATGCAGACAATATATAGCGGGCCCAAACCGAGAACCATTTGTGATAACAACATTGGGCGTCAAGTCGTATATATTGACAAATCCCAAGGACGTCGGCGAAGCCTATCGGAACACTGAATCCCTCTCGTTCGATATATATCTTCAAGCGACAATGAGGACATTGGGCTCAACAGAAAGCGTGGTAAAACGTATGTACACGCCACTATCCGACACCAAGTCTGGATTCCCAAACCCCCAGAACAAATGTCTCGCATTATTATCTCGCGACATCCACATACATCAGCTGTTCCCAGGGGAAAATCTGAAAATTCTTGGCACCAAGCTCTCTGGCTGGTTTGACAAGCACCTTGTGGCCGACGTTATAGCTGAAGAGCGATCGTATACGGCACTTCGTGGGAACGACGTTGTTATACCGCTCATGAAGTTTTGCTCTGATATGACAACGTCTGCTGGCCAAGAAGCCTTTTTTGGAAAGAAACTTGGACAGAGGGAACCAAATCTCGTACGGGACTTTTTGGAATTCGATGATATATCGTGGCAGTTACTCTTGCAGTATCCGCCTATGTTCTGCAGGGATATGCTAGCAGCCAAGGATAAAATATGCCACGCTCTCCAGAGACATTTTGATGTCCCTATGGAAGAAAGGGCTAGTGAGGATACATTCTTCGTCAGGACCATGGAAACTGAGATGAGACAACTAGGTCTCAACTCAGAAGACATCAGCATACTCATGATGACCGTATACTGGGGGTAAGTCAGTCTAGTACATCCTTGACTTCAATGGCACTGGCTCATTCCAAATTTAGTCTCAACACAAATATCCGAAGGACCGTTTTCTGGGTGCTTGCACATGTCATTTATACCCCTGGACTCGCAGAGAAACTCCGTGAGGAAACAAAGCAAGCATTTTCAAACGATGGCACACTTGATTTTGCCTATCTCAGCAATAACTGTGAGCTGATGGATTCCATCTGGCACGAAACGCTCCGTACTGCAGCATCTGCTGCATCCATCCGCTTCCTTACACGAGATACGGACCTCAATGGGAAGCTACTCCGCAAGGGCAATCGAGTTATGATACCCTTCCGCCAGTTGCATTATGACAAGGGAGCGTTTGGTGACGACGCCCACGAATTCAAAGCCGACCGGTTCCTCAAGAATCCCTCTCTTAACCGGAGTCCAAGCTTGCGATATTTTGGAGGAGGTTCTACCATGTGTCCAGGACGCCATATGGCTAAGCAATTTATCACAATATTTGTGTCCGTGGCTCTTCATCGTTTTGATCTGGAGTTGGAGGGACCGCAACCCTTTCCGCTCGCGCAAGAGGAGAGTCCATCATTGGGTGTCATGGCAAGTATGGGCCCGGATCTTATGGTGAGACTCAAGCCTAGAAAGCTAGATATTTGAGCTAGGTATATCCGATAGGATAGAAAGCTAAAGTGGCTGCGAAGGCTTGTCAGCTAGTATTGTGATAGAGTTCTGATGATTAGTGGCGTCTTACAATGGAACTTTTATTGAAATGCTATTTTGCCTTATGTGATGCTTATATAGAGAAAAGGGACAGGCAAAATAAAAGGGACAGGCAAACATCCTCTCCCTTCTTTCCACGCCTCCCGAGATATTTGGATTATGAGCGCAGCGTAGTAGTAATCGTACTTTACGTAGGATAAATGTAATGAGCTTTGGAGTATGCCAGCCCGCGTATGCATGTCTCACGAACAAAATCCGGCTCACTCAGCACTAATCTCTTAGTGGAATGCATCATATTCCTGCCACGAGGTCGCCTATGGAAATCATCTGATGTGAATTTTGAGGTCTTTCAAAATTCCTTCCTTCGAAGACTGGCTCTTTGTTTATTTGGATATTTGAGACCAATGATATCTGCATCTAAAACTGTGGCTGTCATAAGTGGAAGCTGAGATCGTGGCCATGAGAAGCAATTTTGAAAGAAGTGATACGGCATGCCTTATTCATGCTCTGGAGAGTGCAATGGAAACTAGACCTTTCTAATCTCGACGTGACAGTCATAATGGAGACAATATATTGGTAAGTCATTCAACTCCAAGTATTGCTAGGTCTAGCTAAAACCAGCCCAGGGAGCAAGTAACTTCCGTGATCTACAGCGTATGAATGAGACGAGAAATTTCTTCATACCGCCTCATCTTAGCAAAGCTTATTTCTCTGCGGTACAGGGTACAGTGATTACTGTAGACCTTACCCTTGCTGATAGCAATTGCGCGGGATGCCAAATCATTGTTGCGTGTAGAGGGTACGCTCCAGGACAATCAGGGGAGAGGCTCGGCTCGGGATTCGGGACTGACCACCGAGCACGAGTGTGCCACGTGCGCGCCACATGCATCCCAGGATTTGCTTCATCAACAACAAATAAACAGCCTCATCGTGTGCAGGGGACATGATCCTTCGAAGCAAGACGGGAAGTTTGGACGCCTTCTCGAAGGTCCGGGGATCCTTCTCCGCCAGGCCTAGGCACCTGGAGGGGATGTTGACGGGATGGACCCTGGAATGTGAATACATGTCCTTCTACTTATTATGATATTATCTGCACCGTCTGCTACAGTACTCCCCTTCTTGCACATCAGTCGTCACAAGAATACATCCTTGATCTCCTCCTCTCTGATCCGTCTTCTGTTTCTAGATTTATCTACTTTCTCCGCCTTGCCCGTTGACTGCAAGTCTGCAACAATGGTTGCCATAAACCTGAACCTATGCGTGAGTGTCTTCTGCCTTTTGCAATACGTCCCCTTTATTATTCCTGCTATTCCGCAACTCCTTGTCTACGGTATTGTCGCGTTGCTTGAAGTAGAACCTAGCAAAATAGATGCTAATGTTTTATTGTTTCGAAATAGTGCTGGGCTCTCTCCGCAGTGATGCCCAGACTGGTTTCGTACCCCGATAGCACGGTGTACAGCACTTCATTGCAGTCCTATTGGTCTCAGCAAGAAGTGCATGTTACTCCTTCATGTGTTGTATCACCCACAACGGCTCCAGAAGTCTCACTGGCCGTGAAGACTCTCACAACCCTAGGCTTCTGCAAATTTGCCGTTCGAAGTGGTGGCCATACTCCCTTCGCAGGGAGCGCGAATATGGCCACAGGTGTCACGATAGACCTAGCTGCCTTGAATCAGATTACGCTCTCCGCGGACAAAAGCTTGGTTACCATCGGCCCTGGCCAGAGATGGGGGAACGTTTATGCCGAACTGGAACCTCTTGGCCTCGCAGTCGCTGGCGGGAGGTCATCTAGTATTGGTGTAGGGGGTCTTACTCTGGGCGGTTAGTTGATCCACTGATATAGAGTCAACTACGGTTGGATCTTCCAGACGGCAGTAAGAAGGGAAGAGAAGAAATGGCTAATGAGTTTCTTAGGTGGCACTTTCTACTTTGCACCTCGCGAGGGGTTCACATGCGATAATGTCGAATCCTTCGAAGTGGTTCTCGCTGACGGGTCCATTGTCACCGCCGATGCTGTCGAGAATTCCGATCTTTTCGTTGCTTTGAAGGGCGGATCCAACAATTTTGGCATAGTGACGCAAATCACATATCGAACGTTTGCACTGGGTCCTATATGGGCAGGCAATATCATCTATCCCGTGAGCACTGTGGCCCAGAATATACAGGCGTTCAGTGACTTTATCTCCGCTCCGAACTTTGATCAAAACGCGTCGATGATGCAGACCTTTGGATACACTGCTGGCTTTGGTGGCGCTATAGTCAATGCACCCGTGTACGCGGCGCCTGTGGTTAATCCACCAGCCTTCCAAAACTTCACAGCAATTCAGCCACAGATGGAAAACACCATGGCTATTACTACTCTGTCCAACACCTCCATTGCACTTGATGCTAGTTCGCCAGGGGGTTTCTAGTACGCTCCCCTTCCCTCTGTATCTTTTGAGTAAAAACCAGGGAGCTACTTTTTTTGTACTAACATATCCTTTTCTGAAATATAGTCAAATTCTGGCCTCAATTACAATCGAGAACGACGTCCAAACCCTGCAGACGGTATTCGATTTATGGAATACTAGCTGTGCTGATATCGCCAACGTATCTGGAATCGTGTGGACCATCACTACTCAGCCCATCAACAATGCAGTGTTATCCAAGACTACTGGCCTTGGTAACAGCCTTGGCTTGCCCACATCAGCACCAAGTGGTTCCTTTATCATCGTGGAGCTCGCAGCAACGTGGAGTCAGGCCAATGACAGCACGCTCGTGACTACTTCTGCGAACGAGTTGATTGGTGATATCACAGCGGCGGCGAAAGCCTTGGGTACCTGGAATCGGTATATAGACCTCAACCACGCAACCACAGGCCAAGACCCTATTAGTTCGTATGGACCGACTGTCAAAGCGAAACTGCTAGCTGTGAGCAAGAAGTACGACCGACATGGAGTGTTTCAAAAACTGGTTACTGGCGGGTTCAAACTAAGGTGAAAATGGCGTATATTATATCAATAAGCGGCGTTTAATATTAGAATCTAATCTTGCGATTGACCACCAACTTGCGTCCCCTCTCAGCTCTTGTACAGGTCCTTGCCCGAAGAAGAGGGTCGCTAAACCCGGGGGGAAACCGTAGCAGGGGCGCTAGATGATATAAGGAACTATAAAGGAATTACAAGTGTCTTTAACTTTATTAGTATGAAATGTAAATGTAAATTTAGATCCAACCAGGACCGGGAAACGATCCGTTGGATTGACAGGAGGTCGGTTAACTTTGCCGCCCCTTTTTGAACAGTGAACTTCTCTCAACATCTAGAGCACCATCAGGCAGTAATTATCGCCACTGCTGTAAATACAGATTATGATAATCTATAAAGATACCTTAAATGAGCCGATCCGCAAGTTCACAAAAACAGGTCATTCAGTTGGCAGTCACGTGCTGCATGTGAATTTTGTGGCCCCTGAATTCATCAGAGTGATGTCATGGACATCGACAGGTGAACCTGACTGCGATCGATTGCTCAACTACCAATGAAGATGTATCGATGAAATCTGATTTACAGATTTCCCCATACTACTCCACTCTACTGTTGAAGCAGCATTGGCTGTGTGAGCACATCTCCTGTGCTACTTTACATCATGATTCACATGATATATGATATATGGCATGTCTGGTTTCCTGGACCGTGGATAGTGATATACCTGGGTGCCTCTCTCTCTGATTTCTTCGCATCTCCCTTACATCAGTTTCTCTGTATAGTGTTCGTAAATTGGATCAGTCCGAGTCGTGTCTAGTAACACGTTGTATCTGATCAAACTGATCACATCAACCCCACATCTCACTATGAATCCTCTGCGCACAACAGCAGCACGTTCACCAGCCAAGAACTTGTTCAAAGCAAACCTCCCTACTACCCACGTGGGAAGTCCCGTGCGATTCCTCTCCACACAGACATCACAAGCCGAATACCTCTTGCAAGACAAAGACAACGGCTTAGGCTTCATCCGCGCCAACCCGCGCACTCCCAAACCGAGGAAGCATGGCGTGACGGAGATCCGCGGGCCCTACTATTCCGCCTACGGAAAACGACACTTGCAGGACGTGATGGATATCATGGGCCATCACGTGGACGGCTTGAAGTTCGCGGGCGGCTCGTTCTCGCTGATGCCGGAGAAGTCGTTGACGGAGTTGATTGAGATCGCGCATCAGAATGATGTCTATGTTTCGACAGTAAGATAACCTGTTCTTGTAAATAGTATGCCTTTGTTGAGCTGATTGGAATGCTATAGGGTGGCTTCATGGAACATCTTCTTACGCATCCAGATGTCATGACGGTCGTTGACCGCTATCTTCAGAAGTGCAAAGATGTCGGGTACGTATTGTCCCCCGCTGACATATGGGAGCAGTTCTAAAAAGAGCCCAGATTTGACGTCGTCGAGCTCTCGAGCGGGTTCCTATCCTTCCCCCCCGACGACTGGTTACGGCTTGTCGAGCGCGTGCACAGCTACGGCCTGAAAGCCAAGCCCGAACTAGGGATCCAATTCGGCGCTGGCGGCGACACAGAAGCTTCGGCGCTCGAAGAGGCCGGCACCAGCGACCCGTCCAAGATCGTGAACCTCGGAAAGCAGTTCATCGATGCGGGCGTGGAGCGCATGATGATTGAGTCTGAGGGCATCACGGAAAATGTCAGGACGTGGCGCACGGATGTCATCCAGTCGATCTTGAAGGATTTGCCCATGGAGAAAGTCATGTTTGAGGCGGCGGATCCGCCGGTCTTTAATTGGTATATTAGGGAATTTGGCATCGACGTTAATCTGTTTGTAGATCATAGCCAGATCGTGCAGCTGACTTGCTTGCGGTGTGGCATTTGGGGAATGGCGGATACGTTTGGGAAGATTGCTAGTTATAGGAAGTAAAAGCCTCGAGTTTGGATTAGGGACATTGAGCCATTATAAAAGTGCTCACCTCAGAAAGTCTTGATTCATCAACATTCATTGTTGGTTGTGTGTGAAGGTGTGAATAGGGGCTTTGGCACATATAATGTTGTGGCTAAATAGGGCGAAAATATCTTTATATTAGCGCCCGCCCACCCGAACGTCGTCCCTGAATCACCATAACGTCCATTCATCAAGAGATCCTTTTCAAAACACAGAGCCTCAAGCTGCGTCTTCATCGTCATCCTTTTCTTCCTGATACCCTCGCGTTCCAAGACCATCATCATCATCACCATCATCATCAACAATCCACTTCTCCTCTCTCTTGTCCTTCACACCCGATCCGGACATCTCGCGCTCTTTCTCATCCCCAACTTTCTTCTTCCGTCTCCTCCCCCCATACTCTCCCTCAGCTTCTTCCTGCATTACCCGCTTCTTGACTTCCTTTCCCTTTCCCGTCTCTCCTTTGATACTCTTCCCAGGATTTCCGCTCTCGGATTTCTCAGGACCAGTCATCGTCCCGAATTTCGCTTTCCGGAAGCGCTGCCATCTTTTCTGCACCGAGTTGATCTTGTCCATCTCTAGCTCGGCCGCCACGCCTTTCCAATCAATATTTGTGATGGTAGAGTTGTTGATGATTGCCATGCAGAGTTTCTCGTCGCTGGTCGCCGCCGCCATCTTGAGTAGTTTTATGACTTCGGTGGTAGTGATGAGGTAGGTGATGAGTGCAGAAGAACTGATCGGGGAATCGACTGATCATATATCATTCTCGCAGTGATAATAGTATTCAGCATTCTTTGTTTGCTTCATATCTGCTTGCTTTTTCTACCTCGCATTGTTCATCAGAAAGTCCTGGAAACCGACTATGCTTTATCTATAAGTCATGCATCTACATGCCGCTTCTTCGTCCATCTCGGTACTTCGAAGAAGTCGTTGGATGGCTACAGTGACAAAGACCACGCAGTTGTAGTCAGCAAGTCATTATCGTATAGTTGGACTTTGAGACACAGCTTAATACAGAGTTTGAAGGGTTGCGAATTCACGCAGGAATTCCTGGCCCGGTCGACCTCAGCTGCATACGCCACTATCATCCTGTACCATGCTATCCCCTGTCCCTATTCCCAGTCAAAGCAAACATTGTCCCCAGTCAACGCCCATGTCAATCCTACCAGAAACGATCCCATGCATGCCCCTCAGAAAGCTCCTCCCCCAAATATCTGAGTCGACTAATGAGCATCATAGTAACCGTCCTCCCCATCCACCAAATTCTCCTCATCCTCATCAGCAGCCTCGACATACATGTACTCCTGATCTTCATCCTCCTCGAAAGCCTCAGCATGAGAAATTTCAGCACGACCCTTCGCACCCAGCATCTCCATAGCCAACTCATCCTGAAACACATCATCTCCCTCATCTTCCATCTTCACCTCTCCCTCGCCATCGCTCGCAGCCTCCAACTTCCTCTTTTTTGCACCAGCCGGCGTCTTAGTCTTCGGAGTCTTCACAGCCTTCGGGGTCTTGGCAACAGCAGCAGCCCTTGGAGTCTTGGGAGTCTTCGGGGTCTTTGGCGTCTTCGGGGTCTTCGGAGTAGACGTCATGCTACCAGCCGTGCCCGCATCCTCATCAAGCTTCTTCTTGAATCGGCGCCAGCGCATACGGCCTGCCTCCTTAGTGCCGAGGCCCAGATCGTCAGCCAGCACCTGGTAATCGATGGTGCCGGTGAGCTGGCGCAGCGCGGCGCGCATCACTGCTTCGTCGGTGATGGAAGACATAACTTCTCGTTCTTGTTTGTTTTTGTTTTGTTTTGTGAGATCTCCTTTTCTAAACAGGTATCGATTAGTCAGTTTAGTTCTTCTCGCGTCAAAAGCTTTAGAGGAGAATAGGTACCAGATCGAGATGATTAAGAGTTTAGAAAGGTAGAATCGTGATTGTGATAATTTGCGTGTTTGTTGTTGTTGTTGTTGTTGTTTTTGTCCTCGTCCTCGTTGTTGTTTTGTGGTTGTGAGGAAGCGCGGGAGATTTTTATATCTGCGCTTGGATTCACTCTCTTAGATCTGTGATCTGCTAAGGACAGCTTTTTTATTTTGTGCGAGGAAATAGTGGGAGAGAAAGAGAGTTGGTATTCTTGAGAGGAGGCGAAGGTTAGTTGTGATCTTCTCGCTTTTGATTTTTGGATACTGGTCTTCTCGAGAAAGGGACACTTGCTTCATCATCTCATCATCTCATCTTCCTTATCCTCCGATCTAGATCTCAACCACCTAAGGTAGCTAGCTATAAGCACACTATCCCATCTCCTCGCCCTCATTATCACAGATGCGCTTTACGAAAAACCCTTGAGCTTTTTTTTCCAATGCCATGGACACTTTATTTCACATACCAAGACACAAACACACAAGCACACAGATCAAATTTACAATTCATTTGCATATCGAACCACTAGCTGAAGAAAACAAGGGTATCTACCAAACCAACACGCACGCATGCTGCAAGAAGCTCAGATCATAAACCTCGTCACTTCATCATCCATCATCCATACACATCCCACCCTGTCATCACAAACCCCTACCCAAAAATTTCATTCATTCATTAACCCTTCCCTCAAGCGCTAAATGCAATCCCAAATCCCAAATCCTAACATTAAACCATGGTAGGAATCCCTAGTAAGAGCCATCCAGTGACCGTGCGAAGAAAAAATAATGGAAAAAAAAAAAGGTGCTGATTAATAGTTCATATGAATATGCAAGAATGGAAGGAGAAGAAATAAATGTTGAAGAAAGGTAGGCGCGAGCCATGAGAGGGATCTTGAAACGCATCTCTTCCCTCTCTCTTCTGCTGAAAATGCTGGACGACGTCGATATAGATATAAGAGAGATCCTCCGAAGATCAAACACTCGCAGTCCTCCTACGGACCTGGACCGGTTTCTGCGCGTACGCCACTGCGAGCTTGAAGCTCGCGCTCCATTTCTCGCATTCTTGCAGCAGGGCCTCGTCCGCAAAAATGGAGCTTGGTAGGTCACGCTCCGCGAGCGCGGCCGTCTCATAGCAGCGCGTGTACCACCAGCGGCCGACCTTGGCGACCATCTTGGTGATGCCTTCGTCGGCGGCGTGTGATTCGTCTTTCATCATGTCGGCGAGGGACATCTCTTCGCTGCCGGGATCGCGGGATGTTTTCGAGTTGGCGGTTAGTTGGGAGGAGGCGGACGAGGGGATCGTGGATGCGACGGGGACGCCGACTTTGCAGCTCTTGACGTCGGTAAAACCGCGCTTGCCTACCATTCGCAATACCGTGTCGCTGGCGCTACCTAAGCTGATGCGCGGGTCTGCGCCCTGGATGCGCACTTTCAATCCCCGCACTGCTCTGCGAGCCCGGTTCCCCATGTTCATCATATCGAGATCCAGGATTGCCATTTCGAGATAGCCCGAGGGTTTGAGAACACGCTTGGATTCCGAGATGATGTTCCGATATGCGGCCTCGGACATCGCGGAAGGGAAGCGGAAGACGACAACATGGAAGAAGGAGGAGGGGAAGGGGAACTTGTGCGTGGGTGACAGATACTGGATTTGTCGGTGGTTGGGCGGTGTCAGGGGGAAGGATGTGCTGGTTGAGAGACGCTGGGAGGCGGACAGAGGGCGGGTGGGCGAAAGGTTGTAGAAGGTTGCTGCCGGGTATGTTTCCGCGGCATAGAAGGACCAGTCGTCTGTGTTATGTTAGAATGAGGGATTGTGTGGTACGGATGAAGGGAACACACCATTGCCCAGACCATCGATAACAAGGATGGAGTGAGACTTTGAAGATCCTTCTAAGTCTGTGATTTCCTCTCGCGCGGGACTGAAGAGCACATGTCCAAACGTAAGCCACTTACTAACTGTCATTGACCCTACACGGAGGTTGACTTGTGAGAGTGGAGAGCCGTTTCGCTCAGTGGCCGCCACCAAGATAGCACCAGATCCCGTATTTCCGCTACCACTCGATTGTCTTAGACTGCTCTGAGAAGACGGTCGAGCTTTCTTGGCTACATCGCCATGAACTGAGTTATTGCGGTCGCCGTATGCAGAGAAGAAATCGGTAAACGACATGGGTGTTGTTGGACTCGGGACGGTCGCAAGAGTCTCTTTAACCCTCGTTGGCATATCGGTGCTATATACACTAGAAGATGTGAACTGTGAGCTTCGGATAGCGTCTTCAGTCGGCATCCTAGAATCATTTTCTTCGGTAGACGGCCCTTTGACAGTTGAACTTTGCTGTAAGGTTGGCGACTCCTTGGGCTCCATATTGCTATGTTTCATCATCCGGCTCTCATACTTCTCGTACTCAAAGGGCCTATGCAATGACCCGGAAGACACACGTATTTTGACGCCATCGGTATTCCCGATCAAATCGTCATATTCATCCCATACCTCATCTTCTTCGAGCGCAGCATCCGGTTTAGGAATGACTGCTGTCGTACCAGCAAAACCTATTGTACCCGAGCTACTTGTTGTAGCCTCTGAAGTCTTGCGAGGCGAGAAAGCAAGGAAGTCTCCATGTCCAGTGTCTCCCAACGCGGGGTCCGCATAACCCTGTTGTATACCAAGACCCTTGAGGTCTTGCTCAGGCTGGACTTTCGAAATACCAGGCTCGGGGGTCGAAGGCTTTGGAGGACTTGCGCCTAGAGCAACTGAATCTTTATCCACTGTTATAGGCTCCGAAACTGGCTGCAATGTACTGAGACGAGCGAAAGGTCTTGAAAAGGACTTTGGGGATGTAGTTTCTGGTCTTGCGGATACGACTTTCGGAATCCGACCAACTTGTGGCAATCTGCTGGGGCGGGCTGGTGCCGTCTCTTTGTTGATTTGTAACTCTGTCTCAAGCACTGGGGTCGTTGGTGGGGCAGCTTCCTCGTTGGTATGCAGCTGTGTCTGGAGTAGCTCAGGGGTCGACTGCGGAGGCTCGGGAGAGGAGAAGATCATAGGAGAGCGGTCCGGTAGGGATAAGAACTCTTGAGCGTCCATCTTCACCTTCAACTCCTCTATACGTCGCAGATTCTCTTTGTAGTTGCTAAATTGCAGCGCGTCCAATTCTTCATCCGTCAACCCGACGACGTCAGCATCGCGAAGAATATCCTCAAAGTCCACAACATCGGCATCCTGTTGCTCATCTGAAGAGTCCATCATCGCATAGTGCGGGACTGTTTTGACAGGAGCTCTTCCGATAGTAACGGGCAAAGCCTGCTTGCTTTCTGGTTCTTTTTTCGGTTGAGGTCGACGGAAGAGGTTCCATTTTCGAGGAGACTTGGGGCGTTTCTCCTGTTTCCTCAACTTGGATGTCGAACGTTTGCGTCCAGTGTCGCCATCGATTTTCATTTCGAATTGCGACTCATCCGACATAATACTCGACTCCAAGCTTCTCAGAGATGGCGACGCACCCACGTTTGATATGTTGACAGGCCTTGGCAGATGCAATGCACTATTCGAATCATTGAGTCGCTGTGTTGATCGACGATATACCAACGACTGATTTCGAATCCCATCATCGCTGCTGTCGGAAGGACGTCGACTTTTGGAAGGAATCGCTGATGCTCTTTTGTTAGGTTCCTTCGGAAGCGGCGACGGCCAGAGCGTGATGCGGGATACCTCATGGCTCAAGTTAGACGAGCCCTTTGACTCCATGCTCGGTCTACCCAACAGAAGGCTCGTATTGCTCTCGGTTCGAGTAAGCTCCGAGCTTGCATTTTTGTTTTCGAGAACTTCTCCTCCACCTGCGATAATGACAGGGCTCATCCGTTCGAGAAAGAACTGATCATGAGTACGAGTACTAGCAACACTCTCCTGCGATGAGCTTGCTACACTCGTACTTCGGTTCCGATCAATGCTCAGCCCGCTAGCACTACCACTTCTTCCTCGATTACCATACTTGCCATATCCCTCATGTCCAGTACCGGCTGCTGGGCCTTTCCTGTGAACTCTGTCTTTACTGCTGATGGTCGGAATTTCAGCAGGCGCGGTCTTGGTTCGCCTTGAGAAGAGACCAAACTTGGATTTTGAATTGGCAATACTAGGACTGGGTGTGCGAGTAGCTGGGTATGTGGCCGATGGATGTAGCTGGGCTGGCCGCAAGTCGGGTACTATGCCAAGACCAGATGGAACAGTAGTATCTCCCTGTGCTGCATGTTGTAGAGGAGCTGGAGATGGGTTCCGGGAGGGGAGCCTTGACCCCCCTTGAACCCGAGATGGAGGTTGGTTGTGAGGAGGAGACGCCAATCTGTTAAGAGAAGCAATGCTTTGGCGTCTACCTTGTTTATCTTGCGTATTGCTGAGACCAGTGAGATTGCTCTGTATAACCGGAATCGACCCCCCTAGTTGGGATTGGATGTTTGGTGTCCCTTCCCTACTTGGTCGTATCGGAACATAGCTAATACTGCCGGTACTGCTTGTGCTGCTTGTATTGCGCCGATGCGAGGACATATTGCGTGGTTTCGGCGATGAAGCTTCGGCGGGAGACGTAATAGATTTCGCAGGAGTTTTCGAGGACTTGGAAGGCGAAGTTTTGCTCGGTGGCGATTCCTTGGACTTCTTGGATGATATTCTTGGTGGTGGGCTTGGAGGCAAAGGCGAAAGCCCTTTCTTCTTCTTCTGCTTCTTTTCCATTGTCATCTCGGGTGTCTTCGACTTTCCATCCCCCTTCACCGTCGAGTTTGACGAGGATGAAGTGAGAGATTCCTGCAATGATGGCAAGCCATGAGCATCAAGAATAGAATCTTCATTATCATTTGGTGTGCTCGGGGCTCGCCTCCTCGTCACCGGAGGTCGAACGAAAGCAGGACTGCCTTGTAGTAACCTCGGTGTAACATTCTTAGAGGGTGCGATTATACCAGGGGATTGGGATGAAACGGACGTAGGGGTTGTGTCTCTGCTGTAAGCGCCGGGCCCAGGCGACTCGGAAAATCTCGTGGAAGGGCTAGCGCTATACCCACTCCCACTGTACCCGCTATAGCGATTAGGGCTGTTATTCGTAGCAGGATATGTAGGTATCCATGAAGTTCCCGGCCCCCCTGAAGTCCCCGAAATTCCCGGAGTCCCTGATGACAGAGGGGTTGGTGGTGGAAGATCCTGAGTTGCCAATTTGGGAACCCCAGTAGGGAATCTCTTGCCCTGCCCAGCGTTCTGTTCCAGTCTAGTTCGGTACCGATCCAGCTCTGGAATTACTCGTGGCGGGTCCCTAACGGCTGGAGATTTGGCGCTGGTGCTGGTGAAGATTTCACTGTATGCTTCCGCTGACTTCAACGAAGCTTCAATGCTTGGACGCTGTTCTGCGGATGTGGGAGACCACTTCGTCGGAGATGAAGAACCTGATCTTTCCACGGTGGAGCGAAATCCTCCAGAGTGTTGAGAAACCGATGATGGTTTCCTCCTTAAGACGTTACGCGATGATTTGCCTCTCAGTTCGGGAACTGGGCCAGCTGCAGCGCTCTTCGTATCGGACTTCCCAAAACCAAATCTCGAAGCCATACCTACACTAGGAATCTTCGACTCTTGGGCTTGCCTTATGCTGGGCGAAGGGCCCCGCATACCTGGCCGTATTAGTTCAGGCTGCTGCGGCCTTCCAACCGTGATTTGTCCTTCCCTTGACTCCACTTGTCCTGATAAGTGTGCGATATCTGCCTCTCTGTTCCGCGACTTGTTTCGGCTCGATCCCAATGATGGGTATGCTCCAATCATTCTACCTCTGCTTGTGTCTCCTGGCCGAGTAGGTGGGTCAAACCCCGATTTGTGTGATGCCATTGTGCTCTGCTATCTCCTCCGCATTGCTTCTAGAGTTGTGTGCTGAGTGAAAAAAGGATTATAAGCGATGGGTGGGGTATATATGTAACATTTCCTTGGATTAGGGGGAGCTTCAAGGACGTTGATCGATGTATATATAATAACTGGCTTTCAGTCAATACATGTAAGATGGGATGAGTGCAATATAGACTTAACATGTTGGTTTCGTAATAGGCTTATCCGCGAGGATCACTCTTCTAGGAGGAAGAAAGTGTTTATGAAGATAATGGTACTTATTGGTACTTTTTGGTATCTTCCAGAGCGTGCAAGGAGTAGTTATACGTGGAAGTGGCGCATAAGATATTCGGGGAGCACAGGCGCAAAAATGCAGAGATTGTTGCAAGTATGCTGGAAGACAAGACACCACCGGGGTAAAACGAAATTGAACGACGTAAAAATGAAAAGAAACACAAAATCAATGTATCCGCGGGGTCAAAGAAGAAAGGAGTGAAGAGGGTTGCGGAGGCGATCGCGATGTTTAAGGCTCTGGCGCTGGGTTCCAGGGTGGTAGAGTGTGGGGACTAACAACCCTAGTACTGGGAGGGGCGAGCCGCTCTCGATTTTAGCAGCACAAGCCTCCACTTTGATCCGCACGGGAAGAGTAGTGTTGGGGTGCGGGACGTAGTCCAAAGGAAGAAGGATGGAAGCAACTAAAAGCGGAACGATTCAAGTAGTTGTTGGTCAATGACGACCAGTCAGTAGCCACTCACCCGGTTCGTTATTGATAGCCTACTTTTGTGGCATTGAGCCTATTCTCCTGCGAGGTGCAATAAGGCAGAGTTTCCGGTCGCATGTTGCCTCTGGAGTCGCCGCCACCGCTATGACTGGAATAGAACACAGTGCAGAACCACCGAGAATGTCAGGATGACTTTGGTTGACGCATGGCTATCGCATGGGAGAATAACAGGAAAATCTTTTGCCAGGACGCGCAAAGACCGCTGCGCCGCCCTGCAGGTCCTCAACCCTTCTGCAAGCTGTGCGATTGATTGCAGGTATGCGAGGCCTATAAGATGCAGCAAGAGCCTCTGACTGAATTCATTCGTCAAAGGGTGAACTTTGTTGGGGCATAGTCGGCGTACGGTCTTGTACCGTGGACTGTGTACGGTAGATGTCGTGGGATGCCTGTAGATTGTATGCACTAGACGCCAGGGCTTTATTCGTCGGCTAGGGCTTTGTGGCCGCTGGTCTGCATCGCGCTTGTCGCCAGCAGCCTATTTCGGGCGATCGACTCTGCTGTGTCCGGTGTATTGTGTACTTCCACTGTGTACACATGACACAATTCACGGTATGCGGTACAAGGTACACAGTACAGAGTGCACGGCTACAAGACTCGCGGTCGTCCCAAGCGCTCCATCATGTGTTGGCAATTTGGGCCTGTCACCGTCGCTCATCCCCGAGCCAAGTCTAGTTTTCAGCAGTGACAGGTATCTTTTCTTCCCAACGACCTGCTGATGTACAAAGCTCACCATGCGATTTGCCTGACCATGACTTTGCGGTCTCCAACGGGCCGCATCGTGCTCTCCCAAGCCAGGCTCCCTGGGCCTTGACTCCTGAGAATGTACATGTACAGTTGTCAGTGGCAATGTACGGGGGTACAGTTTGTGGCGACCTGGGCGGCCACCCCGTCCTCCGTAAAGCGACCAACGGGCAACAGCCTGGCGAAGATCCTTCAGATCCACCAATCTTTGATTCGATCCTTTTGTCAACTGCCTGTTCTTTGCGAGAAATGCCCGCGGCAAGGCAGGGTTCTGCGGGCGCTCGTTCTCATTGGCTATCCGGGAATTTTTCTTATCCAGTTGATCCGAAGAATTTCCTACTTTCGGTTCTCGCAATGTGAAAGAGGGGGTTTGCAACTCCACGATATTCCCTATATGTCTTATGTCTTTCCCTACCCATGATAGTGCCCGTCGTAGTGCGCCAATGGGCTCTGACAGATGAAAGGCACCACAAAAGGGGATGTGTGATGGGGGTGAGGGGCCGCCTATCGGAGAATAAAAACAGGGCTTCTGAAAGGCTGGCTAAAGATGCCTGCAATCACCACGCCGATTTGATATCAGCAACTCTCGAGTCCCCTCCTGGTAGTCATTATTCAGAGTCCCTGTCACATCATGTAATCGTTTGTCTTGTTGAAGTCGGAGTTGGAGCCTAGGCAGACTCGAGCTTCTTGACCTGATTCCAATTTGAGATGAAAAAGGAATAATGCTGCAGCAAAAGTGAAGCTCGCTGCTCGCCTTACCCGGTCAGCCCAAATGTGGCGAGTGTGTGTTGTCATCAACAGGCGTCAATGTCAATCATGGAGATCGTGGCGCAGTCTGTGCATAAGCTGCAATGCACTCGCCACAGTGCTGATAGATGTCTGAGCTACCTAGGTATGTATATATATTAAGAAAGAAAGAAAATTTTGCTCTTCTTAATAAAGTTCAAAACCAATGCGTTGACGTAGCGGGCCACATTCATTGACACTTCGATAGTTCAAAAGAATATCCCGATAGACGCCTTGTTGAAGGCTGGGGCCGGGTTCCCCGTCGAAGCGATCCACAGCAGCCGTTGACTGTTTGTCAGGGTTGTATGGGCTCTCATTGGGCCAGCGCTGGCATGATGGCGTTCTTCCTTTGGGACCGCAAACGGTAACGTGACGACGAAGTGGTTGCTTGACCTTTGCTCTGTTGACCCCCTCTTCCGTCGTCCCGGAGTAACAAGGACAAGGAGCTCTGGAGGATATGCGCGGCATGATTCCTCCCCTGGAATGCTGGTTTACTGGTGGTGATAACACGATCCTCTTCCCCCCTTGATGCTTCTCGCGTCAGCACTCAATACTGTGAGCCTATTAAGTCACCCGAATCAATGTCCAATCCATGATTCGGTGCTGTTGCATGTTAGCAACGTAGGATCTTGAAGAACGGTCCGTGGGTCAAGGGTTCTCCGGGGTTCAAGGGGAAGGATCCCGCTGCCAATGACCCAGTAGTACTGTGTCACAGAATATGACGGCTCTCATTCGCATACCGCGGCAAGCCTATGAGGATGTTGAAGTCCACCTCTGCCTTCCCATTGGCGAATTGTCTCTGCAGATGAGACTGGTTTAACCTACCCGTTGCGTTCATGGTTTTATGTCAGGATGATAAAACCCGCTGGGAAGCGTCCGGAGAGGGGCTAACCTTGATAAAACCTCGAATGGAGAATGAAGATGCTCGCCATATCAAGTTACTGCAAGCCATGCGCACATTGCAGAGTAAGCCACGGGAACTGTCTCACCCTATGTGCGTCTCCAAATATCTCCAACAGGAGGTACTTGCATGCGCATGGTTAATATAATTTGTGGGGGACAAATCGCGATAGATAGGCTGAGGTCTAGACACCTCGTTGGCGCCTCAATTCATCGATGCTCCCCTCCTTCGTATTTGTATAATGACAGTAATGCCCCAAAAACGCCTTGATTCCTTTTGATAGCCTGCAGATTACGTCGCATTTTCTAGTATACAGCGGGACCAGACATCTCCAGATAATAGAAAGAAGGAAAACCGGTTCGTAATCATTCGTGGTCATATCAAGCCGCCTGTTGGAATCTCTTCGCCCGCGCCTCCGCCTTCGCTCTCTCAACCGGATCATCAAGGATTCCTAAGGGCTTCTTTGCTTTGGTTGCAGCCGCTGCTTTCGGTGCCGCTTCTGTTCGGCGATCTGGGGTTTGTCTCTTTGCGCTCCTGCCTCCCTCTTTGTCCTCTCTTCCTCTCTTTGGTCTGCGCTCTGGTAGTGCGGAATCCAATCCCTTGATGATCGTTTCCTTCGTATCCAAACCGAACTTCTTGGCGCGCTCAGCCAGCTTCTTTGCCTCCTCGTCCTCGACAATACCGAATCGCTTGGCGCGCGCAGCTCGCTTCTCTGCCTCCTTTTCTGCATCCGTCTGTTGAATACCAATGGAGAAATCCTGTTTTGGTGCCTCTGGCTGAGCGGCCGCCTTTGTCGCTGTTGCGCCTGATGATGCGACAGCTCCTCCGTCTGCAGCCTGTGGTGCGCTCTCCCCTCCAGTTACCTTCAGGTCTGTAGTTGTAGCAGGCTCGACATCGACTTTTTGGTTGGGCACTGCGGTGGGGTTTGCAACTTGTCCTTGTCCTCCAGCCGCGACAGCGGCAGCAGCTGGTGCCGTTGTAGCTTTGTTATCGTCTTCGTCCCAGTCGATTTCGTCCTCGCCAGCTGTGACAAACCATTAGTATTTCGCATTGGATATCAACGCAACGCGTTGGAGACACTCACCGGCCGCGCTCCCCGGCTTCTTATCAGCCTCTTGTAATCGCGAAATGAGATCAGCTTTGTTGCCTGAGACTGCGAGACCGCGATCTGAAAGGAGCTTCTTCAGTTCGGGTACTTTGAGCTGCGTGTAGTCCGCCATGGTAATTGCGTTGCTGATATTAAGTTCGCGATGCGATGAATATGATTCGACAAGGGATCCGTCGAGAGTGAGCAGCGAGGAGGCGGATGATGTTATCAGGCTGAGTGAGTGTGAAGCTGTTGATCGATCAAGAATCCCTGACCACCTACGGATTTCGCGTTTGGCGATGCGCTAAGTGAGGTACAAATAACATTATTTAAGCGAGCTCTGGATTTTGTTGACTCGGAAATCTCACTGCCAATCCTTCTTTTCATCCAAATGCTAGTTATTCAATAAAATTCTGGTCCATGAGTGCTAATTCTAATGGGTTTTTATTCTCATTTTGCTCAAAGTTATCTCTCAAAGTTGAGAGCAAGTGTCTACCACAACCATATAGTGTAACGTGTAGCGCCGATCAGCCTGACCATCCATGTAGTATGACATAGGACTCTTCATCCTCGATCGAATTTCCAAGTGGATAGAGATATAGAAGGTATAAAAGGATCGCATTACACATATTGACCTGGACTCAAATATGAATGACGCTTGCTGTGCTTTCTCTCGTTTGCTTCTCCTATATGTATGTGAATCAGTCGCTGCAGCCATGCTTCTGGGTTTTCATGATCATAGAGCAGTATCACATTTTTACCACTCAAACGATCCATGACTGGGTAATCTTTGAATCATGAATTTATCTAGTTGATTATTCAGATTAACTCTATTGATAAATGAACTTAGAGGTATTCGAGCAAGCAATATGACAGGTAGAAAACGTGGCGGAATTTCTCATTGAGCGGCAGTAAGTTGAGGCTTCTCCCAAAATCAATGCACAAAGAGAAATAGACATCAATTTTTCAATGAAAGCAATCGGGGCTTTTCATTCTCTTCTCTCATTGGTTTTCATGATCTCGCCCCATCGGTCTTTGTTCATTCATTATTCTCGATGAACATTCCGAGGGGTCAGCAAAAGTCCCTCTGGTCGTATATCTCTAGAATGGTCTCCGCATTTGTAGATCACTTGAGATAGGATTTGTTTGGACAAGATATTTTCAACTACAAGGATGAAGTATTCCTCGCGCAACGCCGGCCTCGTCGGCGGGCAATGTGTATTCCTTAGCCTCTCCTGGATCTTCGTGTTCGCCCGCCTGTATGTCCGTAAACGGCTCGTCAAGAAGGTCGACTTCGACGATTACTTTCTGATCTTGACACTGGTACGTGCTCTCTTTCCCCTCTTCATAAATACGCTCTCATTATAAGACCAATGTCTAATCCTCTCACAGGCTTTATACACCATCTTGGCCGCCTTCATCATTACCATCGCCTCCCTACGACCCTTCTCCTACGACCTTACGCTCCTGCAACTTGGAGCCGCGCGCGGCGCCATCTCTAAGGGTCTGCACCTATTCTTCCTTTGCGAGGTCTTCTATATTCTAACCTGCGCATCCCTCCGCATCTCCGTCGGCCTCCTCCTCCTGCGCGTGGCAAGTAGCCCTGCGCAGCGCCGGGTCATTTACCTCATCATGCTCCTCATGATCTGCTCTTCCATCGCTTTCCTCTTTGTTGTCATCTTCCAATGTAACCCTATCTCTTACTTCTGGAACGAGACTCCGGGAGCCGTTGGAACCTGCGTCAAGAGTAGCACAGTGGCCGATACGGGATATGCGCATATGGCGGTCGCTTTTATCTCCGATTGGACCCTGGGTCTCTTACCAGCCTGGCTGCTGTGGAATGTACAGATAAGCAGAGGGAGAAAGATTGGGATCTCGATTCTGTTGGGTTTTGGTCTCTTGTGAGTGCACCCCCATGTTTCTGACCTGAGGAGTCCGAACTTATGGAGAGCAGATGCGGTGTCGTTGCGATTGTGAGAACGCCGATTATCAAGGACGCGGCCGCAACGTCCGATTTCGAACGTGACTGGGTCCCTCTAGCTCTTATGTTTGTGCCCGGCCCTCATCTCTCCCCCTACTCTTCTAATAGAAATCGCAGTTCGATTATCGAGCCTGGATTAGGTATCATCGCGGCATCGATCGCGACACTTCGGCCACTATTCTCCTCACAACGCCTCCAGACAGTCAGTTCGTTATTCAGCGGTGGCCCGGGCTTGTGGAAGGGAAGTAAGGTAGGAAAGAAGCCGAATGGTTCAATTACTGCGCTCACGAGTGGAAGTCTGGAGGAAGGGAAAGCCGGCATTGAGTTGACGACTACCGTGGAGACTGATTCCTTGAGAGTTTCTTCGGGGACACATCCCTTTGCGCCTGCTGCTTGGTGAGATATATGGGAAGGTCTAGGGTTGGTGATCATCAAGCGCAGATAGGGCGAGTGGAAACATCTTTGAAGATTGTCGTGTAAGAAAATCTATGTATATATTCTTCGCGATTGGTTTCTCCATCTATCTCTATTCCAATGCTCCACCTATTTATTCCTAATTGTCCACTTGCATCACCATCTCAATTTGTCTTGAAATTCAACTTCCCGCTCCAAGTCCTCAATCTCTTCCCCCAGACCTGCAACCCCACAATCACCAAGAAGCCCGCCACACAGATGGCCGCCTGAACACCAAAACTCCTCTCTGGACCGCCCGCATTGGCCCACTCCACCTTAATGAAGTCAGCACCCATCACATAGCACTCTCGAGGGGCTCAGCACTCACCTGCACATAACTAATAACGAACCCGCCAATGGTCCTGCTCTGATTCAACCAAGCCCCCACCTCTCCAGACCCCTCAGGATAACAGTCAAGATTATAGCTCGCGATGCTAACGGTCGAGATCATGACTCCGAACACGTATAGCCCCCATGCGAGAGACGTGAGCATGTAATGATATCCGCGCTCGAGACAGAACCCGATGAGGATGAGCCCGGCTACAATGAAGGGCGTTGAGAACCAGATTACGGAGAGGCGAGCTTCGGGCTCAAGGACTCCGTTGTGCCGCTTCATGTATAGACGTGCTGCGAGGTCATGCAGCCAGTGCCCGACTACCTCTCCTAGGAGCGCTGCAACAACGGGCGTGAAGTAGAAGTAGCCTTTTGATATATGTTAGTTTATGAGACGCTAGAGATGGATTGCAGTTGGGATTGGGACGGGAGATCTGGGCGTACCGATTTGCTTGGTGCCGAAATTATACAGAGGCGCCACGAAGATGGAGAGCGTGGTGTTGATTCCCACGACCCACGCAAACGTACACATATAATAACCCATGCTCAAAAAGACTGTTGGTCTCGTAACCACTTTCCAAGTACGCATAACAGCTTCATAGAAACTACTTCTTTGTTTCCTGCTGTGCCATTGTTCAATACCCAGCAACCTCTTGACTCGAGACTTGCGAACCGGCCGTTCAGATGCGGGGATATGTCGGTCATAGAATGTTTCGTCGACAAAAAATATTATGCCCAGAAGGCAGAGCCCGGTCATGATTGTAAGAACCCAGAAAGCCCAGTTCCAGGTTTGGGTTGAGACAATGAAGGCTGTGAATAGGGGTCCGAAATAGGGGGATAGAATAACGAAGCCGGTCCAGATGTTGATTTTACGACTGGGAAAGTAATCAGTTATAAGTATTGTAGGAGGATGGTGGGTACTGACGGATGTTCATGGAAAAAGAACATGTCTTTGACAAACATGAGCCCACCCTAACAAATCGTTAGATTGTCACTAATTATATCTGGTCTTTTGAGGAAGGGAAAGATGCTTACACCTTGGGCAACGGTAGAAAAGAATCCATTCAAGATTCTGGCGGCGAAGAAACTGTTAAAGCTCGTTGCGGCAGCACACCAGATCGCAGTGGCAAACGCCAGGACAACGAAATAGAATGTGACCGGCAGACGTCCGAAATATGCGGCGAGGATAATGGTTGCTAATCCACCAGGACCTAAGAGGGGATCGGGCAGGGTCTGGCACATGGAAGAGAATACCGTGAATCATTCTCAAGCAGGGAATGTTTTCATCCTACAGCAGAAATATAATCAGGGGAAAGACCACTCACTTTGCTTGAGGAATCAATGTCACAGCGCCCGTCGCGCTTCCATAATCTCCCAGGAAGGCAGTAGCAGAAATAATTATAAGAATAGCATGTTTCTTAAAGCTGCTCCAGTTTAAAGGATCCTGTGGGTCATCACTTGGCTGTGGAATCAAGACAGTATGGCCATCAGGAGCGAGTTTGAGGCGCTCCACGAGCTTCTTGTCATGAATGAGTGAGACATCAACAATGTAACCGTTTTCTTCTCCGATACGGTCCAGATCAACCTCAGCACTTGGGGTGCTCTCGATTTGTTCATCGGGAATTGCTTTTTCAGTGTCTGATATTTCAGCCATTATGGGGAGGTGTGTCAAGCCCAAGTTCCGGAGCTTGAAATATCAGAAGACAATGAATTACGAAGGGACCAGCGAGTAATTGAGAAGTATAGTTGCGTTGGAAGCTGGCTCAGAAAGAGATGGAGTCAAGCAGGGTGTTCCAACCAGAACCTTGTGTAGTTTCCAAGAGGTGGATATGCTTTGACTTATTGAATCTGGCCAGCGGTTTGATGTACCAACTCCAGCAACAGGCCAACGATTACGACATGACAGCCCTGGATATCAGTGGGGTATATATAAGATCAACTCGAGAAAGCTGGACGACAGCGATCCAGCATGCCCCACCTACTTTGAAAACTAGGGAGTTTATTTTTTTCCCAAATGACCAGAATCCATGTTGGTAAACCATGAGTAAGTCGAGTCCAGAGTTCTCTGTACCGCCCCCTGAGCCCCTACCCTCATGGGTCCTGCATGCTGAAAGAGATGCCACCGAATGGTTGTTCAGTATGACAGGCTAATATACTACCCTGACGGCGTATGTCGCCCCGCACGACGTTCCCCCAGTCCCCACGTTTGATTCCCCGGACACAAGCAGTGAAGATTTCCTCCCCGATGACAGCCGCAGGGTTGGGGGGCCGCCTTCTCCCCGGATCTAGTGACCCTGACAAGGGTCAATGTCCGGATTACCCCGCGTCTGCCAAGAAAAGTCCGAAGAAACGGGTGAATTTGGGTTTTGATCTCGGATAGAGGCCCTGTCAGTGGTGGAACGTAAACTTTGGAAGTAGACTGTGTTTTTGCAAAAGTTTTGTTGCATATTATTTCTCTTTTTCGATATCTCAAGAGGCAGGAGCTAAAGTCTAATCGAGGGATCTGTTCCTGCCCTCAATCTCCACCTAGAAGTAACTGATCTAGAGACAAAATGATCAACTAAGTATTGTCAACTGTCAAAGATTGCGACAACAGAACATTTGCCGTCATCAGTTGCCGAAGTCAAAGTTGGTTGCAGGGGCTCAACACTCAGGGTCCATCTCCAACGGAGGTCATTCCGTGAGGACACAAGTACCTCCTCTGCTCAGCGCCACCTTCATACTGCCCGACTTCAATCCTCCCTCAACCGGCGTTTCTAGACCCTCACTCAAACTTTCCTGCAAAGCTATCCTCTTCTTGATTCCAATCGGCATTCTAGACTGTACGCCAACTTTCAGAGTCCCATTCCCCCATGGAACTTCGCCGGGACTTGCAGGGGTCGGATCCCAGACATAATGAACCTCGCCCGGTATTGGGATTGTCACTTCCCCCTCAGGCTGCCAGTCCATCTCATCGTCGTCACTTTCCCCCAAGCTTTCGTCCGGGTACCACTGCTGCATGTGATGAAGGGTTTGCTCGATGGAGTCGGTGAGGTGTTGTTTGAAGTGTTTGGACCTTGCGAGGAATGCATTCCTATGAGAGCCAAGAGTAGTCCGAGGTAAAGACACATCACAGTGGCTAAGGGCCTTTAGAGTGCCCGGTTGTGGATGACGATTGCTCTTCTTTGGGCGATGGTATTGGTTGCTTTCAAACGCATGGTGGCTTGAATCGAGGGAATGAGAATGCTCCCGTTCAATGACAGTGTGCGATCCTAATTGATGGACTTTTGCAAGAGATTTTTTATCCCCACTTCCATCCCATCGATTGCCTTCTTGATGGGATGGCTTGAGCTTATCGTTTTGTTTATGACCTTGGTGTCGCTTCCCTTTGCCCATGATGAAGGTCAACTTGCACAGATAGTCAAGTGACGTGGGGACCTCCATCAAATATGTCTGACCGGGGCTTATCAATGGCGGGAGAGAAGGAGCCGATTTTCAGCCATGGATTGTAGTCGAATGATCTGGTTAGTGACACAAAGCGATCAGACAACAATGAGGTTTCGAAATAATCTTCGGGCACTTTCGCTGCATAGCTAGCTTATTCCGAGCAATCCAAGAGGTCGTGCTCTTTATTCTCTATCACACTGGAGTTTTCGAAGAATTGAGGCAGATTCGATAATACTTCAAATCCAATATACTCTCAGCTTTGTCCCTCGTCCCAGCCCCATTCTTTGAGCAACTGCTTCACTCGATATTCAGTCGCCCAACCCAGGTCGGTTTCAACATCGCGCAAGAGACTCAAAACAGCACGGCGTTCCCGAGCATCTACTAGGCACTGCCCCGAAACAAATAGAGGTTGCACTTGGTGGATTCTGACGCTACCTTCGGGCCTTCCCAATGCAATCCCACAAATCTCATGGCTATTATGTCGGACTTCCGACTCGATTGTCCGATATGATTGAATTCTGGCCGCAAGAGTTGACCGCCGTGCGGTTGATTCATGCGGCTTGTTCACCAAAAGTATGATTCGAGCCATGTAATACGATTGCATAGTCGAGGCACACATCGGCATGCTGTACCAAATTTCCGAGAAAACTGCCCTAGGGCTGTCACTTGGAACGCTTCCGTCTGTCACAGGTGGTAGTCGAGCGCAAGGCTTGAAAGTGTCGGGAAGACCTTGATACCAGATATCAAGCTCTTTCTCAAGCTCCTTCCATCTTTCAAGAAGTATCATGTGGTTTATGCCGATGATCCCATTTGGACTTGCCCGGTCTTGGGGGAAAACATGGTCAATTGAATCACCAGAAGCAATATAGTTAATGATCTTAGACATCAACCATACCAAAGCGTTTGCTATCATGTCTTCTCGCATAGCAATTTGTCGATCAGGATAATGGAAGGCCTCGGTGCTATTGCTTGGGATGACGAAGCCTTGCTCATCAAGATGGAGACCGGCAGCTCTCCAAAGACCGAGGTCTTCGGTATTAAGTCTTGTTTGGCTTTCGTTGATAACTGTAGCATATATATCAGTACCTATTACTGAGAGATGATCTGCAATTGTGAGACTGTGAGCTTACAAGCAGCGAGAAAATCCTGACGGGCAAAGTTCCAAAATGCGGCTCTCCGGGCTCTTGAAGGTTGGGCCCATTGGCGGATTGAACCAGGACTTGTTGGCGATTGCAATGGCATCATGCTCTGACTCTCTGCGATATCAAATAATGATTTAGTGCCGCTGAGATGTCGCGACCATGCAATGTTGGTATAATCCAAAAATTCATACACACACAAAATAGCACCAGCTACCAGTGTTTCATCTGCGTTGCTGGCATGTGCTGGTCTTGAAACACGTCGTCTTTTATTTCCTTGCCCACTGAGAGCACTTTGTGGCGATTGGGCGGAGCTTTGAGGGGTGAAAGCTTGATCTGGACCAGGCGTCACTGATGCTTCTTGTCTTCCGGACTTTGATAGTTCTTCCATGAGAAGTTGTATCGCCTTATCATAATACTTCGTTCCGATGTAGTCCCAGTCGACAGTTTCCGGGTGGGGATAGAGCTCCATTTCAGCTCGTCTAGTAACGTTGCCGCCATGTATGGCTTTGTTCCCACGTACACGGCTGAGCTGTTTGGCTGCATATGCGCAAGCGGAGTATTTGAGTAGAGGATTTGATAAAGCTTGTACCGGAACTATATGCGCGAAGTAGCAGCCAAGATCATAGAGGTCCATCCTAAATTTGTTAGAGAATGTTTGAAACCCATTTACTCAGAGGCAATACTTACCATTGTCCAGCAGTCTCGCTGAAGTGACGCAACAGAAAGGCAACTTCGTGCTCTTTGACAGATTTAAGGTCGCATGGAGGAGAGAAGGCCTTGGGCGAGGAAGCCAAAGCGGGATCAATAGGTGGTGACCGCGCATCATCTGGGAGAGTAAGTCAGCACAAGTAGTCGCTGAAATTGAGCCACACCACAACACGAACCCAGGTTACCGTCGGGGACTGTAGGATTTAATATAAAATTAAGATTATTCGAAGGTGGATGGGAGACGAGAGGGTCTCCAGGTGAACTCGCGTGATTTGATAATGGTCGTATATAATCGTAATTGTTCGTCGCCGCCGCAGAAAGGGCCTCCAATCCAGGAGCGTCATCGAATGATATATGAGGATAATTGTCTACACTGCCTTCCTCCAATCTTGGCACAACTATTGGGGTCGAAGCAGCATGGTCCTCAGGTTCGGGTGTTGCTTCCATGTTAAACGGATCCGTAATGTTGAGGAAGGTCACTGAGCCAGCTATTAGTATCTTCTTGACGCCACGGCTCGCAGTTGTGCGACTTGATATACCATTTTTCGGAATATCCACCCAAACATTGCTCTCGTTGAACGTATTCTTGTAGGCATAGAAGCTTCCCAACCTCCCGGTTCTCTCTCCTGCTTCCTCGTCTCCAGCCGCATTCATCGACGCATTCTGCTGATGTCGGAAAACAACTCCATCACTAGGACGACATTCTCTAGAGCCCTTTCGACATTGCCCGCATATAGGCTTCTCCTCGTCGCACTTAAGCTTGCGTTGACGGCATGTCTGGCTGGGGTTGGAGATTAGCTTGGTCCTGGAGGCGAATTCCAGACAAGGAGGGACATACCATCCCGTACGAGACCTCATTTCTTCTTCATCTTGAACGATTTTTACAAGGCACCATCGAGATGTTGCAATAGGTCATCTTATCCAGGTTGCGAGGGAGAGAAGACGAATCTTTTTGGTATTATTAGGAGGTATGTAGCTAACCGCCTCCCCGCGCCAAATCTAGACCTCCCTAAAGGAATCTAAAAATAAATATTTAATTTAATGCCTTAGGACGAACATAGCCGCTAACCGGTTTCGCGAACAACAACATCATCCCCAACACGTCGACATCCTTTGCTTTTTGAGCTGTCCCTTGGTGTGAGTTCACGCACTTGCTATGGACATTTGACAAGCTGTTGATCTCTCCAGGTCCTGGTGGTGCCGTGCTACTCAAGTAGAGTTCTAGTGTACAAGCACCAACGCCCGTGTTGTTTCTCCACCACTTCCCTACCCCCACGGTCTGCTCCCACATATCCCACACTCAGTGGGAGAAACATGGGGTTTCTGACTCTTCTTACGATAGATATCTGGCGGGCAGGGTAGATAATTTGTTTAATCAATGTTGCAATCCGCCGCTCATCAAGTGATGGGAAGACGTATGCCCGCTCAAACCGGTGACCGCAATGTTTTGGAAATCAGTATGAAGTAGGAATCCTGTTACCTTTCAGATAAGTAACGCTACCTGCAACATTTATCTGTCTATATAGAGACTCCACGCCGAGATTCCGGCTTGGAACACTCGAAACTCGAGACCCGCAACTATCCTTGATCTCCGTTATATGCAAACATGATCAATGCCTGAGCAAGGTCCCAAGTTGAACTTATCCAGTCAATCTTTACCAATTGATTGACACTAAAGGAGTAGATTATGTAAAGGTCGACCTGGAATATTATGAACCTACTTCTGTCTGAACAATTCTTGGCTTCTTTGGGGACATGACGAGGAAGAAGACGGCGAGAAATCGACCCTTCAGGGCCATTGCCGTGAGGTCAAATGAATTGATAACTATTTTTAGATTCATAGGAAACCGAAATATTGGGGATTCATTTTCGTCTTGATTCTTGAAGCCTGGATAAAATACAAGACAAACTCAGGAAATTCTTCTCACCCAGTTTACTTGCAAACTCCTATCTACCACTTCCTATCCACCACTTCCACTTCCTCTATTCAAGCAAAACATCCTTCAACAATCTCATCTATTCAATTATATAACCACCATCTACAACCATCGCATGACCTTGCACGAAGCTCGCCTTCGCACTCGCCAAAAACAACGCACAATCCGCTATCTCACTTGGCTTGCCCATTCTCTTCATCGGCGCAATATCCACCGCCGGCTTTATCAACGAAGCCCAATCCTTATCAGCAGTCGTCATTGGCGTCTCGATTATCCCGGGACAGATACAGTTTACTCGAATGCCTTTTGATGAATAATCAATGGCGTCGGCTCGAGTCATTGCCATTACAGCTGCTTTGGATGCCGAGTATGCCGCTGTTACCTCGTAAGCTGCTCATTCGAGGATGACTCTGCAAAAGAAGCAACTATGAGAGGCAAGGAGAAGGGGAGAGATGATCACTTACGAGCACACGGCCTTCCTACAATTCCCAGCTGGCTGGCAATATTCACAATAGCACCCCTCTGTCGTCCTCTTCCATCCTCCTCTGCATTCAGATGATCCAATGGTTCCTGGGCCAACATAGCCCTAATCTGTGCACGTGAACTGAACCAGCAACCCCGATAGTTCACCCCGTTGATCCTATCGAATTCCTCCGTGGTCGTCTCATGGGACGCAGCATTGTTCCCTAGGATTCCAGCGCAATTCACACAGTAGTCCAATCGTCCAAACTTTCGTACAGTTTCTTTTACAAACGAGTCCACGAACTTCTCGTCTGAGATGTCGCCTGCCGCGGAATAGATCTGCACTTGTGGGTAGGCTTCGGAGATATGGCTCAAGGTATCCGCCAGGAGCTTTTCATTCAGATCTGTAATCGCAATCCTTTCACACCCGGCCGCAGCGAACGCTTTCGCGACTGAGGCTCCGATACCTGTTTGATTGTTATTTCACAGTGTTCTACGGAGTCCTTGATAAGGAAATTCGCACCTGTTCCTGCTGCGCCCGTCACCATTGCCACGCCGGGGAAGAGAGTAGGCGCCATTTTGCCTATATTCTAGGTAATTGTTATTGTTCAGTCTTGATTTTCTTGTTCCGTTTCATGATTCCACTTTCGATGATATCTCAATTAGTCGGGTCGCCCCGCCCCGCTACATCCCACTCTTCCAACCTCGAGGAGGGTCTCACGTGTTAAGTTACGGGGCAGAGCTGTGGGCTATCTTGGAAGTCAATTACGATACATGGCACCGCAGGACATGTGCCTTGAGTTCTCAAGGAATCAAGGATTTCTGCAGGACGCTCTCAGTCTCACTCTGATCAACCACTTCGTCCACGTATCATGAAACAGTGCTAGCAATTCTCCATCCCAATAGCCGATTGTAATGACCACAGAACTCCTGTCCCTCTAGCAGCCTTCGATCAGGACCCGTATGATGCGGGTCCAAGTTGCCATCGAGGTTTTGGTGGAAACGAGCAGCGTTTCCTTTCCGATATTTTGTCTGTACTTCCGACTAAATGGCATTATCAGGGTCTGGGAGCATCTTCCGGTAGTCAAAGCTTTCTAAGCGGCCTACTCCTGTAGTTAGTTACTTTACGTACCTTGTAGGCCGCCACTCTTCCTGAGTAGGAGAAGAAGAAGAAGAAGAAAGGGATGTATGCTCGTCGCGCTAAGGACCTGTCCCCTCCCCGGGACCCCACGCCTACCCCGTCTCCTTTTCTGCCCCGCTCCTCCCGCCAGGTATTGGTTATATTGATAACAAAAATGGAGAATGGCAATAGAAATGTGATTGACAACAACTACTGATCGCGCTCTCTACACGAAGGTCAGACGAATATAATCTTGCTTCTGTCCTGCAAATCCTCATCCAAGCGGCCTAAGCTAGCTTGCCAGTTCCTCTTTCCTCCTAATGTGATCGATATTGCAACTCATGGGTTTAATCCAGAGGAATCTTTAGTTTGGGGGTAAGGTTTTCAATAGTGACAGAATTTCATTTGCCGCGATCTGAGTGGTAATGACGGCGAAAATTCGCTTCAACTACATTCAACTAACCTCCTCGTTTCGTTTCACTGGCTTACCACTGAATCTCGTAGACGAACTTTTCAGATCCCAGCACAGAGCCGACTCCATACTCAAACGATATCTGGCAACTCTTTTGTGTTGAAAGATGTGAAAGGCCCCTAGTACAAGATCTCATTTCCGTTTGTCTCCCCTATTTTTCCTCCCTACTTTATCTAACGAATTCAGCAACAAGTCCTCAGAAGTAACCCGAGTCCACTGATCTAGATTCTCTAATCAGTGTCGACCTGTATGAATATAAACATATGTAAATTAGTTCTTGCTGATCACTTCTTGATGAGCACGTGCCTGCGATGCTCTCGCGTTTTATCTTGGGCTTTGAAAGCTCTAGAGGGATACACGGACCCAGGGTTACGGAAGCATGGTAATATGGAGAGAGGCTAGGATTCATTGTATTTCTACACTGTAGTTTGGAATCGAACGGACTTGAAGATTCACTGCCTTGAAATTCGAACAACAATAAAAAGAGGAATGACAGCAGTGGGGTGTCTAACAACGAATGAATTAAACTTTAAAGGAAGTAACAAAATATGGTTACCTACCTTACCTTACCCTGGAGCCGATCAATGTTATCTAGCTTAGACGCGTTCCTCTGAAGCTTTTCTTTAAGTCGTGACGAACAGAAAGTATAACTAAGAGAAACTATATTGCAGATTGGAAGTAGGTCCAAAGGTGCTAGCAGCATACACTGTACACAGGAAGAGTTTGGGGGGGCTACCCCATCCCCTAGCACTCATTTAAAGACTTACATTCCTGTTTTTAGGCGTCAGTCCATTTGACAAGTTGCAACTCGCTCTGAGAGTCTGAGATATCCTCAATAGAGCAGAAAAACTGTCAACCAAAACTTCTACTCGGCTTCGAGTATTATAACTGGGTCCAAACATCGTAAAAAGTGTGGGGTTTCATACTTGGAGTAAGCCTGTGAAACATACAGGCTACTCTGGGACACTGAGTTGTCTAAAGTGCCATTTGATACCTGTAGTGACGACAAGAGTAGTGGCTGTCAGTGCAACCCGACTTCTATTCGAATTGCAACCGTTTAGGGAGTTGATAGAAAGCGGATAATGAGCGGATAGGGGGAGAGGTTGGAGACCTACTTAAAGTCTGTTTCTTCACAAATCATGGGCCGCGTACCAAGTCGGTGGTTAGGTGGTCTCATTTCCTCCATCAGTGAGTCCGTACCTCTTCCATATGCCAGTTCATTCCCATGCTCTCAGAACCTTGATTGATGACAGATTCGGTTGGCGACTCCAGGGAAAAGCTGGAGTTGAGAACTTGAGGCCTTTGGACGCCGGATCCTGAGTTCAAGGAACCGTTCCAACAGAATTTCTGGAACTCGGAAGTGCCGATGCATTTGCCATTTCGTTCGTTAATTATTCTTGGGGTTCTCTCCGCAATGTTGGTGAACTTGGCTGGAGTGATACTGACGGGAGCAGGCATCCTGAACAACAAAATAGCTAAATGATTAAAGCGGTAGTAATCTTACGCAACGGGGGCAGTCTAGCAGTGTTGAGATGATTTGATGACGGTAGAAAATGGTCTGTCTCGGTGCGGGAAAGCGCGTGCCGTGGGCAGAGCCTAAGCTTCTATAACTTGATCCGTGTCTCTCCGCTGACTGCAAATCCAATTCTGTTTGGGAGTCTTGACTCGATGAAGATGCTGCGACGTCAAACAGACGATCTGTGTCAATTATCAAGAGCAGTATACTTGGCAATGCCTCCTGAGCCTCAAAAAGGTCCGAATCCAATAAACCACTTTTTATGTGCAGCAACCCAGAACGTGATGCTGACAACCGGCCGGCCGGCTTAGGGACAGGATATCAGTAAGCTATTCGACGAGCATTCGAGTCCGGCACATGTGGGTGGGTATTTTGGACAAAGCCACGGGCCCAAGACTGCTTTAATTGCCTCCTAATCTTTGACAGATAATCCGACAGGATTCTGCAAGTTTGCAATGCGTCTTCTGGAAATATATCTCGAGTAGACAATGAAAGGCTTTGAATTTCTCATGGTGTTTTTCAAGCTCCAGGGATGTTATAGCCCTGGCGAATCGTAATCATTCTAGCTCGTGGGGCCGAGTTAGAGCCAAAATATAAGCGTCTGCCAGACTACCCCAGTATGGATGTCAGGTCAACTTTCATCCGTCCGATATCACAACTCGGGCTCATTCGGTCCTGCCGTGTATTGTTAACATCAATTGTTCTAAACGCCTTGCAGGTATGTCGGCACCAACGCGACTACTAATAAACCTGGTATCCCTACTCCCCAATGTTAGTGCTCTATTTTCTCCTGGACTGCATTGCCATGAACCCCGGACAAGAGGCCTTACCTACAATGACGGTAATAGCGAGCATTGATGGTGGAGCCGTGGAATCACCCCGAGAGTTGTCGCCGTATTGCTCCAACACTATCACAGCCAGCCAAGTGCACAGGCTGAAGATTCACCAGTTGGAGATACACAGAACCGACACCGAGTCACTAACTGTCCTCTGTGTTTCTTACTGTGGAGCAGCCTGAGCAGGCAGCATGTTTATGCTGTAATCCTGCCAATCGTTTGCTTCACCCAGTTGAAACCTTTGGATATTGCCCGACCTTGGAAGGAGGCTCAGACACAAGAATCATTCTACCTGAAGTAGCCGTTGTCTAACTTGTCTTCTTCTGTTCTCCGTCGTAGAGGGGCGGGACGGTCCTCGTCGACTAAACGGAGGAATAGCGTTGATGTTTACGAGCTTGCAATGAGCGATGCAATTTCCCCCAGCTTCCCAACCCTGCTGCCCGGTTTCCCCATTATCAGCCCTATTCATTTGTTATATATCGCTATGCTGGGCGGCGAGGATGGATCCAGATATCCAGAACGACTAGTAGTCTTGAAGATGCCGCAGCATGTTGCTTATTTTGAGCCATGGCTTCTGTCGTTATAGTGAGCCTTGCATTTTGGATCTTGATTGGGGTCTCCCCTACAATCCCCAGAAACGGGAAGAGGAGTGAGAGATCATTAGCTACAGGTAGCTCCTGGACTGAATAGGAATCCGACACGACACTTCTTCGCCATGTATAACCCACATATTAAGACGTGCGGTCTTTGCCTTTACCATGGAGCCTGTTTTGAGCCTCAATATCTTGAACCCATCGTGCCTCCTAATTTCCTAAACCTGTTCGTTGCCTTGTTAGTTGAAGAAGGAGTAGTAAGATGTGGAGTTGATCCAATGTCCTTGAAGGTTGTGTTGTTTTCGTCTTGTTCTCCTGTTAGTATCCGGAGCTGCATAGTACCACGCGCTCGTATATCAAAAGACGAATTTCAGACTTCTCAAATTCACTTCACACGCACCACAACAACAACTTCTACGCGCTCTTTGAACCTCTACTCCTCCTCACTTCTCTACAATGACAGCATCTTCGTGATCTACCCACACTCCTGTTCCAGGAGCGATCTTGAACTCTTTTTGTCTACAGTCATCATCTACGTTTGATCAAGGATCCTAGATCGAAGAGCTGGAGAAACCTCTTTTAGTTCTGCACCAACAAGTCATTGGAGGATGGTGCCCGACGAGCTCAGCAATGGCTGGCTCACGAGCTTCTCTGTCACTGAGAGAATCTGTTCAGCACTATCTCTGATCGGATGTGCCTTCATTGCCATCACCTTCTCTTTCTCTAAAGCCTTCCACAAGCCAATCAATCGGATGGTCTTCTGGGCCTCGATGGGAAACGTCTTTACCAATGTTGCAACTCTGATGTCAAGATCGACTCTGTCCAATACTAAAAGCGGCTGGTGCCAGCTTCAAGGCTTCTTGATCCAGATGTACGTCAACACCATTGTTACTATCTCAATTGTTAACTTGGCATGTAGGTTTATGCCTGCTGACGCTTACTGGACTCTGGCAATGGCTTTAAATGTCTACCTTACGTTCTACTGGAAGTATGATGCAGCTAATATTCGCAATCTCGAGAAGTACTACATCTTGGCATGCTATGGTCTTCCATTTATCCCTGCTGTCACCTACTTATTCATCGACACGCAAAAGAGCGGACCTATGTATGGCAATGCTACCATTTGGTGCTGGATCTCTAATGGCTGGGATGTTATGAGAATTGCAACTTTCTATGGTCCGGTTTGGTATGTTCATCCATGTTGGCAATGGGTCTATTACTGATCTTACATAGGGTGTGCATCTTTTTCACTACCATAATCTATACCCGTACTGGAAGGATGATATACATCAAGAGAAAGCAGCTTCGAAGCTTCACAAGTCCCGTTCCGAATGCAGTCCTCTCGAGAAATCCGACTCGTTCAACTAAGACAACCGAGGTTTCTGTCACATCTGAACCAGCGGCTAGAAATTCAATAGCCAATATCAATGCCTTTGACCAGGTATTGAGAAGTTGTCCATTCTCGAGAAATGCTCCAACCTCTCTGGCCGGATACACAGTGTCGATTACTGGCCCACACTCAATTATTCAGAACAAAGGCCGCCCTTCAAATGCCAAGACTCCACTTCCTAGTAGCCATGGTATGACTTCACCAACCGCTATATGTTCAGTGAAGATGTCCAATTCTCGGCGTGTAACTACATGTCCCAGTCGTCCTACAAACCCCACAGACAGTGCAGCTTGGGCATACAGCAAGGTTGCAGTTCTGTTCTTCATTGCAATGATGGTTACCTGGATCCCATCGTCGGCCAATCGCGTATACTCTGTCGTGCACCCTGGCAAAGTATCTCTCACTCTCGAATTTGCCTCTGCTTTTGTTCTTCCGCTACAGGGCTTCTGGAACGCTGTGATCTACACTACCACTAGCTTACCTGCCTGTAAGCACTTCTGGAGGAAACTCAGAGGGCACAACCAAGGCAGTGGCATTGAGCTCACGCAAATGAGTGGAGCTTTTCCTGCTAGACCTGTAGCTAGACCTAGCCAAGCTGACTTCAGCAGCGACTTGTTAACAGAGACAGACAGCATTGGCCAAACTCTAAGCCGGCCCGGCACTAAAGACTCGACATACTGAACAATCTGACGATCTACTCCTTCTTTGAAAGCGAGCTGGATAATCAACTTCTTCAATAGGTGGGGTTTAATTCATTTACGAGCCTAACTGCTGGGCGTAGGAAGAGGTTCTTATTCGCATTCAGAATTCTGAATCATGGCGTTTCCTTTTCTTGTAGTTTCTGAGAATGTTTTCCCTTTGTGACTGTATATGTGACCTGAGTTGCACAATACCGGCGAATGGTCTCTACTTCACATGGTCTGCTAAGCATAGCTCTTGTCTTAAGGCACAAAAATCAAGACCTAATAATTCTAAAAGTAAATCTTTGTTGGTTTGACGTAAAATAGAAAACAATGACAGAGGACACCTCACGCTTTGGAAATATAGACTCCTTTAGCTGCTTCTATAATACCTTTTGGGGTTCTCTGGCCCTTCCTAGCGCTGCTTAAACAGAATTTCCAGAATCTAGTTATAAAGTTTATCAAAACCTTTGATTTTTAAATCTCACAGGCTGAGACAGTGACGCAGTTGAATCTCATCTCTTTGCTCTTTTGAACTATATTTCAACCCCTACTAGATAGAGCACTGTATCTACAGCCTAAATAACTACTGCTTTCTTAAAAGTATCACTCCATATGTAGGAAGCATGATTCATGAATAACCCTTCTTCCCTTTATCCCCCCTTTTTCTCTACAATGCATAACAAGTATTCTTCTTTACTAACCTAAAATTCAGAAAGCACAAAATTAGTAGAAAGCCAATACAAGAGCATTAATAACTCTATCCTAGACTAACAGAAAGTCTCTAGACACAGCGTGCAAGACTTTTAAAAATAACTTATAGCCATTCACATACAAGTCGGTTCTCGCTTGTTCCTTGTTTGATAATTCTAAGCGATGTACCAAGCATATAAAAAAACTTGACAGTGAGCCTAGTCCTAAATCTTTTAAATTTCAGACATGATGAAGAGGTGCTCGAGGTGGAGCCTGGAGTATTCCTTTCCTCGATAAGTCTTTTTGTGTTACTTCCTGAACAAAACGACTAAAGGTTCTTTTGTAGCGAGATTATTTATCGTTGCGAATGTCTGGGTTGTTGTGGCAGAATAAAGAGACTTTTGCGACAAAAGTGATTTATCACAACGAACCCCTTGGTTGTTGCGAACTTATATTCTTTCGTTTGTAGATATAGTTCGGACGAAATTCTTTATTAGAAATTCCACGAGATTTACATGGGTTAATGTTTCTAAGGGAACACAGATAGGTATACGAACAAAGACACTACGAGGATGACTATTCAAGGTAGTAAGAGTATTGAGTAGGATAAGATAGTTAAAGAAGAAAGAAAGCCAAAGTAGGTGGGAGTCTTCTAATATACTGCTAGTGTATGCGAAATGCACGCTTTATTACTAATTGCTCGGTTGGCAAAGACTCACCTACATCTTGGGTTGCGGGCCATTCCAGAGATGACAAGGAAGACCTGAAGCATTTGACGCAGACTGCGAGGACTATCAAGGATGATTCCCCGGAAAAGCCTATCGTGGTTGACAGCGATATATGAGATAGCGGGGAAAAAGAAGCTCAAGATCGTCGGCTCCAACTATTCCAAGGCTTTAATAACTTCTCAGCCAACCGTGGTGGTCAAGGGTTTGGGTCATCCAGGAAGTTATTGTCAACTTGGACGTGAGAATCATAATGGCATTTGTGCAGGAATCCATCCGCAGCAAGCCTCTATTACGAGCACCTCTAGATGAAACCACCAAGTATCGACAAGCAATTGAGAGGGCTTTCTCTCGACAGCAGCTTTCTCGTCGGTCCCTACACAAAATGAGTGATCTGCTTCTGCAACATCGCGGCCTTGAATCCTCGGATCATATGACATGTCCGTCTTTCTGTTCAGCCTGAGCACCATACAATATTCAGGCCGAATTCAGCTTCATGCAGCAACTCCTCTGCATGTCTCGGTGCCAAGTCACAATGCATGCCCTGCAACGTCTGGTGAGCACTGTAAACAAAGGCTCGGAGCCCTCCATATTTCCTCCCCGATGCCTTTTTTTGTTTCTGCGGGGAGGAAGCAGTACCCCAGATTCCCCATGGGGGTTGAGACTATTGACAGTCATATCATCTCTGTTACTGTCCTATTCCGCCCCCCCCCCCCCCACTTACGCCCCCAAGACTTTTGATACAGGTTACTTAGATTGAGCGCATGTGTGATATGTTGATAATGATGGCACAAGGGTTATGCTAATGACATTGCTCGCACGATTTCCTGGCTCGCTTGAAAGCAACGTTGGATATGCTTCATTTTGAGTACAATGGAGGCAGTGATCTTGCCCCTCAACCCTCCACAACTCCACCAAGTTGGAGGAATCAAGAATCTATGGATAATGATTCCAGCAGCTTACGAGCGGAAGCACCGCCCGAGTACGACACTCTCATCAAATCTTCGCTTCGGCCTTGGAAGTTCAAGATTCAACCCCGCGAAGACGAAGGCCGAGAAACACTCCCTTCATATTCATGCGCAATATCCCTCGAGAATGTCTTCATGAGGAAGCTAGAATTTCAGGGCGCAATCCATCGCGCGCAGAATCGGCATTGGCGCCGGGTCTTCGTCAAGCTCCAAGGAACCGCTCTAGCATTCTATGAATGCAAACGTGCTAGTCCTTTCCGCCGTAGTCGGGAACGCGCTGGCAAGGATATAGATGTTCCCGTGGGGGTGCAAAGAGGACGTTTCCTACGGGATTATAATCTACAGCATGCAGATGTCGGCATTGCTGCTGATTATGTGAAGTTCGGCTCTCCATTCTCATTCCCATGGGATGTGCTGATGGGTGACCATAGGAAGAAATACGTGATCCGCGTGCGGGCTGAGACGGACCAGTTCCTACTCTCGTGCTACCGTCTCGAGACTTTCTTCCAATGGCTCGAATCTCTCTTCATGGCTATCAATCTCGCGCTCCCAATCGACGACCGTGAAATTCCCCGTGACCCCTCGATCCCGCGCCCCCGCAGACGACGCCGGTACACGAGCGAGGGCCTCTTGCGTAGGGAGAGCCCGGCCTTGGTGAGAGAGCAGTTTCAGGTTGTGTGGGAGCGGGATCTTTATTGGGCAGACCGATCCATCTCTGAAGAATCGGATGCCGCATTCGGCTCTTCAAATACCATCTCAATCCGTACCGCTTCCATGATTTCTACAGATGACCCATCAAATCCTTCTATTTCCCCGGAGACTGGTAAGTGGAGGCCCGAACATGAATGGTCGGCGATGAAAGATATGATGTATGCGAGGCGCTGTATGGCGACCCTGTTGTTGAGGAGTCCAAGGAAATCGAACTTGGTGATTGTGGAGGGAAAGCAGTGGATTGCGAATTGGGAAACGGGGGTTTTGATGAGGTGTCAACCGCCGGAGTATGAGGATATTGGTAGGGAGGGGGACGTGGTCTTTAGACTTGGCTTTCATGGGGATGCGGTTCGATCGTAGGAAGAGAGACAGCTGGGAGGTTCCCGTAAGACAGACATTGTAATGTTGAATATTAGGAGTTAGAGACCACTGTTGTACAGATCTGTAGCTGTACCGACCCCAACGCCATGCATAGGTCTTCCTTAACCCATGCATCCCTCCCGTAAAGTCGTAAACGTATGCCCATCCAGAAAACTCCAAACACCCAAACCCTTGATTATCCTCTCCCATCAAATCAGAAAAACACTCTCATCATCCTCCACCCTACCCATCTCTCAATTCCTCCTCCGCCTCCCTCGCCCCAGCCGCCAACCCCTCCCCCTCAGCAGCCAACAACCCTCCACCCTCCTCCAAATCCCTAACTACTCCCTCCAGCAGCCCCACCAACCCCTCAATCTCCTTCCTCTGCTCCTTCAACTTCTCCACCAAGCCCTCATTCAGAATCTGCGCATTCTGCAACTTCGCATTCAGCTGTCCCTGCTGCGCCGCCAACACCTGTTTCAAATGCGCATCTCTAACTCTCTCCGCCGGCAGCATATGCGGCGGAATCTCCTCCTCTCCCCCTCTCCCCTCCCCTTTCTCCTCCGCATCCCTCTTCCTTCTCCTCGCCTCCCCAATCACATCCTCCAGACGGTTCAAGCCGCGCACCACATCCCGCTCGCGGAGAATGGCCTCAAACTCCTCGATCGCGAACGACGACAGCCGCGCCACGAACGCCGAGTGCATGTGTGAGAGCGCCGGGCCGGCGCGCGCCGCGATCGATGGGAAACAGGCGCTGAATGTCTCGTAGCTGATACTGCGCAGCGTGTTCGAGAGCGCAGAGTGGTATAGTTGGATGAATGCTGCGGCGCGGGGACCTGGGGTTGCTGCGGTGGGCGGAGGAGGAGGAGGGGAGGGCGATGGCGACATTTTTCGACCGTGGAATTTCCAATGTCCCCTTCGCGATATTACGTCGAGTCGAGTCGTGTGGTGTTGTAGTGTTTGGTGTAGAGCAAGTCAGAAATAATCCCTTGTCTCGTCCCGTACGTCGTGTTTACGCGACCACCGCTTCTATCAGAAAACGCGCCTCGCAAGAAAAAGACCCCGCTCGCCAATATTCTCTCCCACCCCACTCCGCCCCGCCCCACCATGACTACCTTAATCAATTGCAATAGCGGAATGGACAAACAACAAATCAAACAAACATCCAAACCCTCGGTCGTCTAGTTGGTTTATGGCGTCCGGCTGTAATGGTTCACAGTCTCACCGGAATGGTATGTTTACACTCCCACTACAATTGCTCTCAGACATCTGCTAACAGATGAGATAGTCGCGCGTTCGACTCGCGCCTGAGGGACATCGGAATATCTTTTTTTGGGAAATTTTTCTTTTTCTTTTTTACATGATTCCTCTTTTTGGTTCGAGGGGGAAAGTGTCTCTACATTTGAGGATACTTTTTTCTTTTTTTTGACTTTGGTTAACAAAGTCAAATCATAGAATTTCTGGCAAGGGAAGAAGCTTGAACAAAATATCAAGCAAAAGGATAAGTTTTTGATCGCACCTAGGTAGGTACAACCTCACACCTACATGTGTCATCTTTCCACAACCATAGATTTGCAAAAAGGGGTAGCATATAAACCTCCCTTGTATAAATCACAGATATACAGGCAGCAATGAAATCATAAATTCATATGTATGTACGCATCATTATCCAGAACATCATCATGCCTACCACAAGATCATTCATACATACACATAGAGTACGTAACTCGCCACATAATCCCCCCTGCCGAGGGGGTTGATTTTACAACCTGACCCAACCCAAACAGAACGCCCGCTGCAAGATGCCAAAACATTCTCAAAAAGACCTGAGAGATCAAGTGAACTCCACCGTCCCGCTCGGTCGCTGGTTTCGCTCCAGCCGCCGCCTTCTTCGCCGCTCCGCCGGGTCAACGCTACCACTGCCCATGCTCATTGCGGACATAGTACCGTGGCTGTCTGGGCTACCCAGACCGCTGGGCGGCACCCCTCCGACACCCGAGCCTTCAGGACGGCCGCTGTAGTACGCGCTGTCTTTCGGTCTCTTGCCCCCGGCGAACGCGGGGTTGGGAGGGCTGAGCGGCTCCATGGCGGGTGGTGGGGGTGCGGTACCCGCCTCCGACGCTGCGTCCCGGTCCCGTCTATCTCTCCTGTATCGTCGGCGGCTGGATGGGATTTCGGAACCGCTCAGGCTGCTGAGCGAATCGTTCCTCCGTCTCCGTTGCGCCCTCCGCGCTTCTCGCTCCGCGGCCGCTTCCTCCTCTGTCAGCCGTCGTAGCGTGATGTTCTGGTCTTGATCCCCGTGCAGCTTGACTTTCAGGCTCACGGGCTGGCCGGGCTCCTGTGATACTCGGCTCCGTGATCTGGAACGGGAGCGTTGACGGCGGGCTTCCTCTTGGGCAGCGAGTTCCGCAGCGCCAGCTGCTGCTGCGGCAGCTGCAGCTTCGCTTTCTTGCTGACGTCGTGAGGAATTCTGACGCTGGGGGCCATCACCGGCAGAAATATATGAATCGACTACACTGTCCTGGTGGAGTATCCCTACAGGATCGGGAGGGGCGGGCGGCATACTAACTGGACCGCCAGCCATCGTTCCGGGTGGTGGCCCAGGTGGCGGCGGAGGCATAGGATTGGTGAGATCATGAGCACCTCTTGGTTGCGCACCGTATGCCGCTCCAGCTGCTCCAGCTCCAGCGGCGAGAGCAGGAGGGATAGGGGGAATGCCCCCAGGACGGATATAATGCGGGTCGTCGAGCATGGACGAGAGATCTGACGGCTCGTGTGTGCGTGAGACACGTTGGCGGCGTGGAGGAGGCATGCCGTCGCCGGTATAGCGAGGGCCTGATGGAGACCGACCAAGTCGGGACATACGCTCTTCTTCGGCTAGTCTGTCGAGCCTCTCTTGTTCCCTTCTGTCTTGGCGGTCCTTCAGCCTCTTGGCCAACCAGCCCATGCCTAGTCCTGCGAGGATACCGTTGCGAGCCGCATGAGAAGGCGATGGTTGTCTTCGAGAGGGTGACAGGCTATCGGTGTAGGAATAGCTTCCCGAGTCAAAGGATTGTGCTCTTCCGGGGCGGACTGGACGAGGAGTCACCGGTCGTGGTCCAGCAGCTGATGACATGATCGTTGTGGTATCGCCAGGGCCTGGTGTTGAGGGAGGAGGACCTCCTGCTCGACGGCTTTCCACACGTGAAATGTCGACGCTGTCCTCACTGATTGAGTCGTTACGTCGTCTGTGTCTTCGAGAAGGTGTGTCCGGAGCCACTGATGAATACTCATCCTGCTGCTTCTTTTCCTTGCGTCTATCATACCAGCTCTTTGCCAGCGCACCAGCTCCCAGGATTGCTGCCCCTTTCAGGACCGTATTCAACATTCCGCCGCCTTCGTTCTTTCGTGACTCGTATTTCTCGTCCTCGATATAACTCTCACTGTCTCGTCTTGAGCCACGCCTGGAAGGTATAACTTCCTCTCTCCTCGTCCTACTTCGACTTCTGCTCTTGTTCCGATTCCTGCTCAACAATGCGGCGGCCCCGGCACCCGCAGCCAACGGCCCAAGCCAACCAAAGCTGCTTCTCCTCTTCTCTTCAATCACGGTTCCACCATGGCTACTTCTCCTGACCAATCCAGCAACAGACCCCATAGACCTGTAACTGAGGATAAAATACAGGACCAAGAGGAATGTCATCCAAAGCGTATATAGGACGAAGGTAAACTTCGGACTCCCGTAAAGGGTCAACCCAAGCGGGACTTGCACGATTGCCAAAATAGCCGTTGCTCGTCCCAGCCACTGATGCAGAACCAATTTCAAAGGAAGCTTGGTCCTCCTGACCCTCCCCTTCTCTCTCCCATAGACCCATCTCCCCCCAATGGCTTGCACCCATATTAGGACGTAGATGGCGACACCGATGCCATGGTGGGGATTCGTGAGTGAGCGTTTGGGACCCACGGCAAACCAACCCAGCACGAATGCTACGGTCGAGAGCAGGATGGTCATGACTTGTAGGTAGATGTGCATGCGGAGGGCCTGCTTCGGGTTCCGTCCATAGAAGCGAGCGGTCATGATGGCGGCCGGGACGATGAATAGGAAGGTTATGACGGCGACTATGCCGTGGCCTTTCACGAGGGTATGGTATTGGGCGAGGCTCGCAAAACGGTTTCCCATTCCTGTTTACATCTCTCGTCAGCTTCTGTTCTTTGTACTGGAATGCGGCCGCAGAACTTACCGTTGTATTGCATCGTATCGAAATTCAACCCCACGAGATTCGGTAACAGGAAATCATTCCTTGTAGCATCCCAGGTCCCATCGCCGACATTCATCGTATTTGACGAATAACTGCTCGAGCCGGCGGGAGACAGGTCGTCGAGGGGGGCCATGGCGACGGCACGGTGCCGCCGAGTGGCAGCTCAGAATGCAACACAATTCTGTCAATACAATGGATACAATCGATGCTATCGATTAATGAAAATATCCCGAGGAATGCGGGCAATCTTCTCCTTTGCTCTGGGACGTATCGTTGAGAAATATCGTCGGGATATGCGGTGTGAGAAAAGCCTCTTCCAGCCCCCCCTTATCGACGTAAACAATTGTGTTATCGATAGGGTTCGCCCAGCAACGTCTTGACCGATCGTTTGCCCTGCGAGACGAGGCTCTGCCGACTGGAATGTTGATGGATCGATGAGGTTTTTGATGATTGAAAGATTTTTCTCCTTCCTCTCTCTCGATCAACACAGCAGGGCTTTGAATATGCAGCAAAGCTTCACTGGCATCCGAGCGACTCTGGTTCGCGGGGTGATGAGCTGTTGTGCAGGTTTTAGTGGACAGCTTCGTCCACTGACAGTGAGTGTCCGGGCAACCGCCAGAGCCAGGGGTCATGGAAGCCTCAGTCATCCGGAAGGAGAGCCAAGAATAGTGGTGAAGGATAGAAGATGTCTTTTTTCACCGCTATCATCTTCGTTCTCTATATCTGGGCTCAGCAAAACGGACTGATCATGAGCGTTGAATAGCTCCCGGATCTCGTTGGTGACGGTCAGTCGGCGTCGGATGCTTCTCAATATTGCTGCCATTTTCCGTTCCTTTTTTTAGCAATTGGTGCAGAGACCATTGCCCTTCGTTTGCACATAGCATCTCTACTCATTTGTCCGGCATTTCTGATCACATCTAGTTCCTGGCTTGATTTACATTGTTTCATGTCGATAAGAATGTTCATTTTAAGTGACCTGAAATCGTCGAGCTCAAATCCACAGAGACAGGGTCTTTGTTCGGGTTCAAGTCCAGACCTTTTGCGTTTCAGTCCACAGCAAGCTGAAAGACTCAAGAAGAGAACAGGGGGCGAGGCAGGTAACAAGCGAGGTATTGCCAATTATTGCTTTGTACTGTTGTATGTCACATTGTCACGATGAAGATGTCCCTGCCCTTGAAGTTCAGGGGCGGTGCAAGACTGAAATCCATGAAGCTGGAGTCAGCTGCATGGACTTCTCTCGGTGGGATTTGCTGCATATTCCTGTGTGTTTATAATCTTCTCTGCCATTAGATTGCTTTCGCAGCAAGTTCATGAGATTCCACGTGATGCCATCAAACTGAGGTGCATCTCGTGCGGGCTGGGACCTTCAGATCGTGTAACGCGATGTACTCCGGACGTGCAGATTCTGTCATCATTTGATTTCACCAATTGAACAGAAAATAGTACCAGAGCTCCTGTACATATTCCCAGCGTGCTCCTTCCTTCAGCTGATGGATAACTGAGAGGGATCCGAGTAATGAAACATGCATCTCCTTGGACTTCAATCAGCTATGTGCTACGTGGTAGAGAAGTTCGCCTCAGAGCTTCATTGGTATATATCAGAGGTATGGTGAATCACAAGTGTCCGATACCTTGCCTTACTTTTCTCTGCGTTGCCTATAACCTAGAAGTCATCCACATGTGTGAATAGTTCCATGTCCTCTTGTATGATTCAGAGCATTAATTATCTCGAGGTATATAAAAAGCAGGCCCTCATTCTCCATATCCCTTCCCTCTCACCTCCAAACCACCAACTCAATCCTCTCTCTCAAAAAAAACCCCCATCAAATCAAGCCAACCCCCTTTCAAAAAGCCCACACCACAAACTCCAACGCCTCCCACCCAGTCCAGCCCAGCCCTTCCACAATGTGCCACTGGGAATTCTTCGTCTTCACCCCACCCAACTGCCCCAACAACGGGGGTCACATGGTCGCCATCCCCTGCGGTTACAATCTCGAGAACGAGAGCCCGTCCACATGTCGCTATTTCGACCGCAACGCTACGACTCCCATGCCTATCAGACGCCATGACTTTCCTTGCCCGCAATGTCGCCGCTAGGTAGACTTACTTGCCTCTTCCTTCATCGCTGTTTGTGTGTCTGAAAGTTAGTATTAATTCCGAGAGGGGAGAGGATAGGGGGGATGGAGGGAGATAGGGGGGGAGGGGTGATGGCACTGTACTAATGAGGGATGGATGCTGGGTTGGTATTTCTGATAATGGATTTTTTAGATTACCTAAATATTTAGGAAAAATTCACGCATGGTCTTTTCCCCGCAGAACCCATTGAAGACTCCATATTTTAAAACTTGTACTCAGTTAATCATAACTTGTGAAAGCGAAAGAAAGAGACGAGGGTTCGGCTTTTGCGGATTGAGTGAGGTGCATGGGGCTCGACTACATATGTAAGTACTTAAAGGATGAAGAAGAAGTTCAAAAGGGGGAAATAGGTAGATAGGTAGATAGGTAGATTGTGGTGAGATGCATTTGATATAGGGAAAATTCATAAGACCAATCCTCTCCCATTTTCACTCTCGTGTCCTAGATATCAACCCCCCCCCCCCGCCTTTTTTCTTTGACAACGTTATTTCCCATTCCTTTCCCCTTTCCTACTCACCCTCAAAAAAAACCACACCCTAGACTAACCAGCTCCCAAGTCCACAACTAACCAGAGAACACGATCAGATAACAGAATCCCCGTATGAAACTCTTGGCTTCGACAGTAGTAGGTAGCTAAGTGACAGTATAAGATGCTGGAAGAGGGTAGGTATATAGAGAGAGAGGTTTATGTTGGTTGTCGGGATCGGTTCTTGATTTTTTTTTTCGGTTTTGGAGGATGGTTCTGGCTTTTACCTTGGGCTTTGGCTTCTCTTTCTTGCGAATTGAGTATGGGATCTGATTTTACCCCTTCGTGACATCCCGGCAGGCATCAAACTCATCGAGTGCAGTTTGGGAGTCGTCAGATGTGAAGGGAGACATCCAGACTTATCTTGACTCACTGGGCGCCAAATTCAGATCACAACTATCCGGACACACCCACAGACTTCATGTTAAGTTTGCGTTATTATTTTTTAGAGTAGTTACAGGTGACCATCCCGTGTCTATCAGTCCCACTACCTCACCTCCACCATCAATCCACGCTATCCATTCTCACCCACCCATAAGAAGCCAGAAACATGCTATGCAATTCGGATCAGGAAAAAGGGGGAATCAAATCGATGTATGACGCAATCCATGCCAACAAAAAGCTCAAAATCATAGATTTTTGGTGGGAAATTCGTCAAAATGAAATTCAATCCGCAGCCCATTCCGTGTCCCGTTTTAGTGAAAATGCAAAACAGCCCACGCAGTGCAGAGCGTAAAAGCAGAATACCTTAATGATAACTGCTGCCGAATAACCGAGAGTGCTGAACTTTTGCGAGAAGAAATGAAAAGACGGCTGAGAATGACGAGAGCAGATAGAGTACAAAGGTCTTGGTCTCATGACGCCGTAGTCGGAGTATGGTACACCGCCGAGTGTTCGTGGCCCTGTAAGGAAGGACAGAAGTCGGCGTCTTGCGATCGAAGGTGTTGTCTAGGTATGAGTTCATGCATTGGCAGCCTGGCTAGTGCCACGACCTCCTCGAGGAGCACCCCCACGTCCACGATTCTGTCCAAAATTGCCTCGTCCCTGGCTTCCTGTTCGACTTTGTTCGAACCCGCCACGACCACGTCCGCTGACTCCTCCGCGTGTAGCATAACCATTTCCGCCATATGCATTAGCCTTGGGGCGACGGGGTTCGACATAGATATCCTCACCCCCGAGCTTGTGAGGGTTCGCAGCAGCAGCGGCTTGGTATCCCTCAGGAGTAGCGTACTCAACGAAGGCACAGTTCTAGGGGAATAATTAGCTTCAAATTTACGGTTAAGATGATGGACTGCTTACCTTTCCGCGGTTGATATCGAAGTAGATCAGCTGGCCAAAAGAAGCCAAAGCAGCACGGAGCTCCTCAGTCTGAACCTTTTCAGTAACATTCCTCACGTAACCCATGGTTCCTTCCTTCTCAGGAGGGCCAGAGATTGATTGAGGTCTGTTTTGTCTCTTGGCATGATCACTTCCAACATTTTGCCATCCACCAGATGGGTTGGCGTTCTCCTTGTCCTTCTCGGCGGGAGTGGGACCTGGGGTAGGCTGAGCTTGGGCGGACTTGGCGGGTTGAGCAGCTGGGGGAGCAGTGCGTGTCTGGGCAGGAGGCGTAGAAGTCTTAGGGGCAACAACTGGAACAGCAGGCTTAGGAGGACCTGCAGCTGCAGCTGCGCGGCTGGCCCACGTCAAGGGCTTCTGTGGGGCGGCACGTTGGGCAGCGGCGGTAGGCTTGGTGGATGGCTCGCGAGTGACTGATGGGCTTGGAGTTGGCTCAGCTGGCGTCTCTGGCTTCTTGGCCTCTTCTTCGGCAGCCTTCTCCGCAACCTCGGGGGTAGGAGCTGGCTCTTCAGCCTTGGTAGCAGCTGCTGGGGCTTCCTCGGCCTCAGCAGTGGTCTCAGTAGTGCCATTGGTGGCAGGAACATCAGCAGTAACTGTTGCAGCCTCGGCAGTCTCTTCCAATTCTTTGTTAACCTCGCCGGCGTCCAAAGGAGCAGCGGGTTCCTCAGTAGCAGCCTGCGCCTTTGGCATCTCAACATCGTCGACCAAGGGGCCAGCCGCGGTTTCCTCCGCGGGAGCTGCTCCTTCAACAGGCTCCTCCTCGGTTTCTTCACTGATGTATCGGAAGATATCGTTCAGGACGAAGTAGCCAGTAGGTTGTTGCGCGAGAACAAAGGTTTGAACGAACTTTCTGAGCTCGGCAGATTTGTTTGATGTTTCACCAATGACTTGAATAACAATGTTGTCGAAGGAGGCTTGAGAATCGACGTTGGAGACGCGGACTTTGCAGTCTTGGAATTCGAGTTCACGGATACGTTCTTGAATAGCCTACGGAAATTAGAAGATGGAAATCGTTACTAGGTTTGGTGACTTACACTCCGGCCTACAGAAACTGGAGCTACTTCAGCCTCGAGGCCTGAAACGAACTGAGAGCGCTTCCCGTAGAACAGCTAGGAACTGTCAGGAACAGTCTTGAATATGGGTCAGCAAACTTACGTGAAGCTTCTCTGGCGACTTGCTCAACGTGGTGTAGTACTGCTCGACAAAGTACCAGCCAACCTCGTCCTTGGAGAGATCATTGCCAGAGGTGCTTCCGGTAGTGGAGTCAGCCGGAACAGAGGTTGCTGTGTACTGCTCACTTCCACTCTTGTACTGCTCCTGTTGGGAGAAGGTGCCGTTGGTCGCCATGGTGCTAGAAGGGATGCGGAGTGAGGAAGACTTTACTGTCTGCCTCGCGGATTAGGAGGGGAGTTGGAGGTCGGCGCTAATGGTGAATTTGAGACACAACACAGGCGGAGTTATAATACAAGAGCAGTGGCGTGCTCGTGCTCAATACTGCCAGAATCGGATATGGTTTGAGAGGAGATTGTCGAGCCGTCGAGTCCTGTTACCGGATATCGAACGCGATTTTTCTGGGACCGAAGGGTGCCGTCTCGGGAAAGTTCTAGAAGGGAGGAATATCTCGATGAAATCCAAACACAACAATATTAGAAAGGAACAGGATGTCCGAACGTAAAAGCGGTCTCGAGGAGAAGGACTGGAGGAGGGAGGATCGAGGGGAGTTGGAAAAACAATTCGATTGTGGTGGTGGAAAGTGGAGATGTTCGAGTTGTCGATTGAGAAGAAGCTAGCGGCGTCAAATTCTAGCGAGTTTCGATATCACATGACTGCCAGCTTCGGGAATGGTGACATTTCCGATGCTACGGGAGACCTCATCCGGGACATCGAGACGGCCAGAACAGAGTGAAGACTGTTGATGAAAGATAACAGTTAACCACCTACTGTATATTGAACATTCCAATTGCATCTTACCGTCAAAGTAGCTGGTGGTTTTCGCTATTGAAAACGAAGAGCCGCCTAGAGCTTAGGTCGCGCTGCTGTTTCAGGTCGCTTTATGGTATCGGACTTTTTTATATGCATGTCAACGTGATGTTGATTATTGGCTGTTTATATATATATATATAAGATAGGTATGTACATAGGTACCAAGACATTATGCACTGTGCCCTCCACAATCAAACTCTTCTAGAAGGCAAAGGTGTCAGGAGTTCAGGTATTCAGGCTTTGGGGACTTTACAGCTAGGTCAATGAACAGGTGCCCAACAGCTACTTCACTGATTTGGATTCCAGGTCAGGCGCGAGTTCGATTTGGTTGAACTATGGATATGAACATACGTACAAGCCAAGGACCCAGCGACACTACGAAATCCCCAACCCTTGCAACTGCTCCGCGGCAATTAAGCCCTCCTCAAGCGCCTCCTCCAGTACGCTTCTCGCTTCCCTCTCTCCCGCAAGCTCGCCTATCTTGCCCCCCTCGCCCCTGAACGCTCGCACCAGCTCCTCCTTTACACTCGCTTCTACCCGCTCCTTCCCATCCGACGCGAGAGCCGCCGCGCCACGGTAGAACTTCTCCGCGTTCTTGAGCAGGACGGGGCCGTTCGCGGCCGCGGTGGGGAAAGGCGGGTGGCAGCAGCCAAGCTGGTATCGGTGCAGCTCGAGGTCGCCCCGCAGGAGGTGAATCTTGGAGAGGTGGGACGCGGCAGGGAGCTTGGCAGCGGTGGCGAGGCAGGAGAGGGCGGTGGTGAGAGCAGACCAGCGGGATGGGAGAGGGTCAGGGGAGGGCGGCGGGTGGGTGCGCACAGTGCTGTTGAAAGAAAGCAGGGCTTCGGCTTGGTTGACGAGGGCTTCGGGATGGCTGGTTAGGTCTAGAGGGGAGAAGGCGTTGGTGAGGGCGGTTGTGTAAGATTCGAAGTCAAGTTTTTGCAGGCGATACGACAAGTCGGCGTGCGCGGCTTGGAAATTGGCAATTATCAGATGGGCTTCTGCTTCTCTGCCTGTGTCGGCGAGGTAGGGGGGTAGTTTGGTATCTGAGGGGCGTTAGCTGTAAATCGTGGTGAAAGGGATCGAATCCAATGGACAAGATCACGGGAGGGTTGCGGACTCAAGAGGTTGGAGGAATACTCGGTGATGAAGGTAAGTGGCGTAGGGTCCGAGGAAGAGGGAATGAGGTTGCACAGTAAGGTCAACGTCTCCAATTGAGCGAGAACAGTGTCGACGAGCGTGTTGTTGGTGACGGGCTCGACGATCGTGGCCCAGCGGTCATCCTGTGGCGGTTCTTCATCTGAAGTCAAAGAGACACCGCCTTCTTCCGAGTCAGGCAGGTCAGAGGTCTCCATGGACGGATCATCGGACATAGCTCCATCCTGAGTCTGAGATTCGGTGTATTGGTATTCTTGCAATGCGAGGCAGCGTTGGAATAATTCCAAAGCTTCCTCGAGCAAGGGCAGGGTGTCTGGGGTAGAGTTTGATCGCGATTCAGTGGATGCTTCGGCCAGACTGGTTAGGATTTGGGCAGTGTTGCTGGGTTTGTCAGTCCATATTCCACATGAAAGCTATAGACATGCCGTACGACATGGACAGAAAGGGAAGTTCAACGATGCGAAATTGGCATGTAGAAAAGAGAGCCTATAGAAATGAGAACCTACAAGAGAACATCTGCATTGTCCTGCTTTAATGCCAAGGCGTACCTGCTGGACTCCAATGCAGTCTGCAAGAGATCCAGCAGATCTCCCGGGAGTTGAGCCAGCAGTTTGGGGTGCTGGGTGAGCTCATACTGAACCCTTGCCCTGTCGCCACATTAGCCACCAACCCTCGAGTCATACATTGAATACCGACCTATTGTATGCAAGATCAAAAGAGGAAGGAAACTTCTTCAGGGCTTCATTGTAGCAGTCAATGGCACGAAGAAAGAATCGGGTGGACTAGGGACGGGAGGTCAGTGGTGTCACGTGGTACTGGCAGCAACAGAAAGGGGGGAAAAGGGGTTTGACCCAACCTTTGCAGCATCGCCGCCCCTCCACTTCTCGCCGGCTTCTTCGAAATCAACGCCCGCTGTGGGGTTTGAAGCTGATTAGCCGTGCTCCTCTCTGCGTCAAAGCGGGCGGTATATGGGGTACACAGCACGGCGCGTACCATGCTGTATACTCCACAAGTACTGAGCACTTACCGGCGAGGTACTCATCAGCCGTTGCGGGGGCCTGGACGGTGGACTAGATCAGTATGTAACCATGTGGCGCAGGGAGGCGGTGGGCTGACTTGCGGCTGCTTCGATTTCTTCTTGTTGTCCTTGAGGAAGAGCTTTTGTTTGGGCATTGCGAGGGCGGGCTACAAGGATAGTCGAGGATCACGACCGCAGGTGGCCAGGGAAGAATCAGGGGTGCTGGCTGTTCTAGGAGTTGACCTGAGTAAGGTAGGTAGAGCGACGGGGTTGAGGTGGTGGTGTTGGTGGCGATAGCTAGCGAAGAAGAAAAGGGAAAAAAGGCAGGGAAAGAGGGGAGGAGAAACAACGTATGATTTGATACAGACTACAGTAATCGACCTGCAATCGACCTGCATACAGGATAAGCAGGCTTGAGACACACAGTACTAGTAGTCGGCTTGAGTCTTTAAAAGGCTTTAAGAAGTCTGCAGGAGTTGCATCTATGCACACAGAATCAAGAGTTAAAGAGAAATCGTCCAATGAAAAGCACGAAAGATGTCCAAAGCCCAACGTTGACTATTGATTAGTGCTTGTGTAGCAGAAGCACAGTACCTTAGTAAAGTCGTATCAAGACTATGGTTCCCGAACAAACCCAGACAGCCACGTTTCCACGTTTCCATGCCCCATCCTAGAGCAGCCTTACACGGTCAGATGTGAGACAGGAGCGGACAAGAGCGGGACACAATCTCCTATTCTTCTTCGTCTTCTCTGCCCCGTGCATGGAACAACATGCAGCGCCATGGAGACCTCAAACCGTTGCCACGCGCTGACAGGGACCCAACGCGGTGACAGGGGCTTCTATCGTTGAGATTGTGCAGTAGGGAAGGTTACAGGATGTGAGGATGCTATTAATGTCCTGTTCATCTGCTCTGATACTACAGTACAGTCCCGTCTAGGGATCTGATATGATATAATATCACATGAACACTAACCAATACCAATATCACCTCCTATACCTACCTACTTTACATTACCTTACATTACCTTACCCTTGGAGAATACGATTCTCCCTGGCCTGCTCTGCTCTGCTGTGTTCACCTCTTGCGCTCAAGACGGTATTGTATCAATGCTTTCTGCCCACCGCCCACACTGCACCGCCAGGCCCTTCGGAGCAGAGGACTAAATCTCGGTGCGATCAGCAATGCATCGCCCCTTGATATTAAAACTCTACTCTTCTGGCGCTCTGCTCTTGACTCTTCTCAGCCTCTGCCATCACTATTCCTGGTCTCCTCCACTGTATTAGGCCAATCTGGGATCCGCATCCACCGTTCATGACCCATCGTGTGTATGCAGAACTGATTGCTGACCCCGTCCCCTCCCTCCTGCGTAATTGCTGCATCGCGGCCCCATTGTCTCCATCCTTGGCGGCTGACCAGGGCTGTTGTTGTTGCTGGGATCTGGTTCAACGGCCACTCTGCACCTATGTAATCCTGCCCGCCCCCGAAACAAACCGCCGCCCGCCACATACAATCTGACGGTCTCATTCCATCCTTCGACAAAGAAGGAGAAGAAGAGGATATCCCATCTTGGCAAAAGACGTCTCTTCTTGCCTTCTTATCCTAATAAATAATCGCACCCTTCGCGCCAGTCTCCCTTTCACAAAGACCCTCCGGTTAGAGCCTGGAGACCTCGAGTCAACCAGTCCCTCTCAGCCTTAGACAAGAAATACTACCCTGCAACTTCCTCTCATCAACTCGCCCTTCTCAAACCATTTGTCTGCGACAGCGACTCAGCCCGTCCTCCTGCCCTCGTCCACAGCCCTGCAGAACAACCTATCGAACAAAGGAGGCAGATTTCGTCTCTATACCGTGCGAATCAACACATCGACCTTGCGACATCCCCTTGAAACGTCACAATGGGTCGGTCCTTGGAATCCTCTCGCCCCATCATGGCGCCCAGCGTAAGTCGTGCTCTTCCTCTTCTATCTATATAACTCTCTGCCCCTCTCTCTACCAAGACTGGCCATCCGATCGACCCGCTGACCATGGCACCCTCACAGCTGGCCTCCAAGCGCGCATCCACCCGCTTCAGCACCTATAGCGCGGCCCCCTCTGTCGCCAATACCGTCAAAACATCCCTTACCTCCGACTCTGCCCAACAAGAGATCAAGGACATCGAGGAAGGTCTGGAGAAGCTGGAAGACAAGAAGCTGGCGAGCCAGAGGTTCGTGCTGAGCCAGGAGCGCAGTGAGAATCTGAGCAAGTTGGCCTTGGGCGCGAAGCTGGAGAGAGCGCTTGGACGACGAATGGGTGGGCAAGATGCAGTGATGAGGGAGACCAAGAAGCGCGTGGCCGATCCCGAGAAGACTGCTCTTGCTTGAGAAGGATGAAGGTTGACATACAACGACATGATTACTAGCACGCGACGACACGATGGTTTGCATACACACAGGAGGAAGTTGTGGGGATGACAGACGAGCGATGGGAGCGGGTTCAACACGATATGGGCATGCAACGGCGTCTTTTGACTTTCCTTTTCTCTCTTTAATAGCGTGTCCGTCATACGATTCCCCCTCACGCAACGACAACTGGTTATGGTGGTTTTGTCTTCTTTAATGTCGGATACTTCTGGAAGGGCGAGATATCTGGATCTGCGTTGCACTTCCTCCTCACTCGTCCTATTCGTTTGAGATCACCGGAAGGCGCAAAGTTTTAGATATTGCGGAATAGAAACAGATTCTAGGGACCTTCTCCACCTTATCTAAGCCTTGATGGCTGTAGCTCTTTTGCTAGATTGACCTCAGAAGCAACATGCTTCATGATCTCACCAACCCATGATGAGGGCTTATCGCGCTTTTACACAAATAATACCCCGTAAATCCTATATTCGCCCCGTTGCGGGGATCGGCCCACAAAAGGCCGCCCGGTACCAAGGGACGCAGTCACGTGACCATGGCTTAATGGAAATCCGCGAACGCGTCCAACTTTCTACGCGAGCTCCAAACCATCATCTTGAATTTGCCTGTCACCTTCAACACATCGACCAGATCTACCAAGATGGCAATGTAAGACTTGGCGCATTCCCCTGCTGCTTCCCTTGATATTTTGGAACTTGAAGCATCTCCACAGCTATACCGCAACTAACACATCTTGGTCTACAGGGAAAGTTTTGACAACATCTACCTCGACCTCTCCAAAGAGTCAGGCAAATGTCGATTCGCCGAGACGGGGTTTGGTTGGAAGCCATCTGGCGGGGGCGACACCTTTACCCTTGACCACAGCAATATCGGAGGCGCTCAATGGAGTCGCGCATCCAAAGGCTACGAAGTGAAGATCCTCCTGCGCAACTCGGGCATCGTCCAGCTCGACGGTTTCCAGCAAGAGGTCCGCGCACACCCCTCATCTGCCACTCATCTACTAACACGGAACAGGATTTTGAGCGCCTGAGCAAGGTCTTCAAGAACTGGTACAGCACGAATCTCGAACATAAGGAGCATGCGCTGCGCGGCTGGAACTGGGGCAAGGGCGAGTTTGGCAAGGCGGAGCTAGCATTCAACGTTCAGAACAGGCCGGCCTTTGAGATCCCCTACTCAGAGATCTCGAATACGAACTTGGCAGGCAAAAACGAGGTCGCGGTGGAGTTCTCGCTGCCGACTAATGGCGACGATGCGGGTAACGGGGCGCTTGGGGGCGCGCGGGGGAAGGGCAAGAAGGCAGGTGCGGGAAAGGATCAGTTGGTTGAGATGAGGTTCTACATTCCCGGTGTGACGACAAAGAAGGAGGCATTGGAGGGTGAGGATGCGCCAAGTGATGCGGAGGCCGAAGAGGAACAGAATGCGGCAAATCTGTTCTACGATACGCTGATGGAGAAGGCGGAGATTGGTGAGGTTGCCGGTGATACTTTTGCTACGTTCCTTGATGTTCTTCACCTCACTCCAAGGTATGGTCGCTCTCCTAATTGTGTTGCTGGGTCGCTAACAATGCGCAGAGGACGCTTCGATATCGATATGTACGAGAATTCTTTCCGGTTACGTGGTAAGACGTACGACTACAAGATCCAGTACGAGGCTATCAAGAAATTCATGATCCTCCCAAAACCCGACGAGCTACATTTCATGATCTGTATTGGTCTTGACCCACCCCTCCGACAAGGTCAGACGAGATATCCTTTCCTGGTGATGCAGTTCAAGAAGGACGAGGAGGTCTCGATCGATCTGAATATGACCGAGGAACTGTTGAACGAGAAGTATAAGGACAAGCTGCTTCCACGTTACGAGCAGCCCTTGCATCAGGTCGTTACGCAGGTCTTCCGTGGCCTTGCAGGAAAGAAGGTCAACCAACCAGCCAAGGATTTCCTAAGGTAGGTTTATGAACCCTCTCCCTTTTTTTAACTCGCCCCACTGACCACGCCAACAGCCACCACCAACAATTCGGCATCAAGTGCTCCATCAAAGCCAGCGAGGGTTTCCTCTACTGCCTCGAGAAAGCCTTCATGTTCGTCCCCAAACCCGCAACCTACATCTCCTACGAGCAAACCGCTAGCATCACCTTCTCGCGTGTCGGCGGTGCCGTCTCCGCCTCCCGCACCTTCGACATCACGGTCCACATGAAGGGCGGCGCCGGCGAATCCCAATTCTCCAACATCAACCGCGAAGAGCAGAAGCCGCTCGAAGATTTCTTCAAGATCAAAGGGCTCCGGGTCAAGAACGAGATGGACGAGGACGGCAGCGCGCTCCTCGCGGCCGCGCTCCGCGATCCCGACATGGCGTCCAGCGACGAGGACGACGTCGTAGCGGCGCGCGCAGACCGCGGCAGCGCCGACGACGACAGCGAGTCCCAAGATGAGGATTTCCAGGAGGATAGCGAGAGCGATGTAGCGGAGGAGTATGACAGCGCGCACGAGAGTAGCGGGAGCGGTAGCGGTAGTGAAGAGGAAGGAAGCGAAGAGGAGGCCGAGGAGGAGGAGGAGGAGGAGCGGCCGAAGAAGAAAACTAAGACGGGCTAGCTTTTTATTCTCTTTTCTTTTTGTTCAACTATCACTATTCACTATCCCAAGAACAGAGACGACAGACGAGAGACGAGAACAGAGGAAGAGCGGAATGAAGCTTTGCATATCCGGCGTTCTAGGGGGGATAAAACTTTATGGGCCCTTTTTCTCTTTTTTCTTTTCAATTCAAAACACAAATGATCCCTTACCTTACCTACCTAGACCTTCTACACGTGATCCCGATCAAATTCAATGCCCCCAGCTAAGGTATTATTCTTCCGGAAATTGGGTCGGGATGGTTGGGAAGGAGGGAGGGAGGGTGGGGACAGATGCATGGATGGATGGATGGATGAGTAAGTGGTGGGTTTAAGAGGGAGGAGATTGGGATAAGTAGTAGGTAGCTAAAGGACTTAATTGATTTGTTTATATGGCGTGTGGGTGATGTAGTTTTATCAAGGTACTGTACCTTGAGTCTGGAGATGCGCTTCTTTTAGTAAGTTAAGATCTGGGAATAGGGGCAGTTTGTGGAATGCAGCTTTAGAGGCATTAAGACAGCAATACAAGTACAGTCATGTCACGATTCACAATGCAAACAGATAGTGTAAATTTTCAATTGCTCTTCTTTTGACCTAGTCTTAACGCGTAACTACAAGGTACAGTTTTCAGGATTATGCCATTGAAAGAGACCACGACGCAAAAAGAGAAGCCTGCTGATGCAAGATTACCTCGACGAAACCATCATGAAAGACCAACCAAACTCCGCATATTCCCGTTGCTGGTATTAAGGACATGATGCATCTAGTCGACCTCCTCCATCGCGCTCTCAGCTGGAGCATCACCGGTAGCGGCCTCGGCGGCCGTCTCTTCGGCGGTCTCCGGCTCCTCATCAACGTTCAGACCAAGGGAGACAAGCTTGTGGATGCGCTCGGCAAATCCAGCGGGCTCCTCGATGGTGAAACCAGAGACGAGGAGGGAGGTCTCGAAGAGGAGTTGAGTGATGGACTTGACGGTTCGGTCGTTCTCGCCGTCAGCCTCAACCTTCTTCTTGAGCTCCTTGATGATGGGTGATCGGGGTGAGATCTCGAAGGTCTTCTTGGAGGACATGTAAGAGCTCATGGAGGTGTCACGGAGGGCCTGGGCCTTCATGATACGCTCCATGTTGGCGGACCAACCGAATTGGCCGGTACGGATGGCGCAAGGAGCGCCGATGAGCTTGTGGCTGACAACAACCTTCTCAACCTTGTCACCCAAGACGTTCTTGAGAGCCTTGGCGAGACCCTCGTACTCCTTCTCCTCGGCCTCACGGGTCTTCTTCTCCTCCTCGGTCTCCTCGAGCTCGAAGTCCTTGGTGATATCAACAAGCTTCTTGCCGTCGAACTCCTTGAGTTGAGTCATGGCGTACTCATCAATGGGGTCAACCAAGAAGAGAACCTCGAAGTTCTTCTCCTTGAGAGAGTCGAGGAAGGGTGACTTGGAGACGGCCTTGAGAGACTCGCCGGTGATGTAGTACATGTTCTTCTGGTGCTCGGGCATACGGGTAACGTAGTCGGTGAGGGAGGTCATGTCATCACCAGACTTGGTAGAGTTGAATCGGAGAAGCTTGGCAAGAGCGGCACGGTTCTGGGAGTCCTCGTGGATACCGAGCTTGATGTTCTTGCTGAAGGCAGAGTAGAACTTGTCGAACTGCTCCTTGTCCTCGGCAATCTCGGAGAAGAGCTCGAGAACCTTCTTGACGATGTTCTTCTTGATGACCTTCATGATCTTGTTCTGTTGAAGAGTCTCACGAGACAGGTTGAGAGGGAGATCCTCAGAGTCAACAACACCCTTGACGAAGCTCAACCACTCGGGGATGATGTCAGTGGCATCATCAGTGATGAAGACACGGCGGACGTAAAGCTTGATGTTGTTCTTGGTCTTCTTGGTCTCAAACAGGTCGAAGGGAGCACGCTTGGGAACGAAGAGGATGGCGCGGAATTCGAGTTGACCCTCGACGGAGAAGTGCTTGACAGCCAAGTGGTCCTCCCAGTCGTTGGAGAGGGACTTGTAGAAGGCAGCGTATTCCTCGGGGGTGATGTCCTGAGGATTTCTGGTCCAGATGGGCTTTTGCTTGTTGAGCTCTTCCTCCTCGATCTTGGTCTCCTTGATCTTCTTGGTCTTCTTCTCCTTCTTTTCTTCCTCGTCGTCAACCTCCTCAATCTTGGCCTTCTTCTCATCACCTTCCTCCTCCTTGGTCTCCTCCTCCTCATCAGGGACCTCGGTCTCGGTCTCCTTCTGGACGTGGAGGTAGATGGGGTATGAGATGAATTCGGAGTGCTTCTTGATGACCTCCTTGATCTTGGACTCGTTCAAGTAGTCGGTCTGCTCATCCTTGAGCTGGAGGATGATCTTGGTACCACGGCCGAGAGGCTCGCCTTCGGTGTCGGGGGTGAGGGTGAAGGTGCCGCCAGCGCTGGACTCCCAGATGTACTGCTCGTCATCGTTGTTCTTGGAGACGACAGTGACGCGGTCGGCAACGAGGTATGCAGAGTAGAAACCGACACCGAATTGTCCAATCATGGAGATATCAGCACCGGCGGTGAGAGCCTCCATGAATTGCTTGGTGCCAGATCGGGCGATCGTACCCAGGTTGTTGACAAGGTCCTGTTTGGTGTTAGTAGAGCCCTGGAACTGCAGACAATTGGCATGGTACTTACAGCCTTGGTCATACCGATACCGGTATCACGGATGGTGAGGGTCTTGTTCTCCTTGTCGGGGATGATGTCGATACGGAGGTCCTTGCCAGACTCAAGCTTGCTTGGGTCGGAGAGAGCCTCATAGCGGATCTTGTCGAGAGCATCGGAACAGTTGGAAACAAGCTCTCGCAAGAAGATCTCCTTGTTGGAGTAGACGGTGTTGATGATGAGGGAGAGCAGCTGAGAGATCTCAGCCTGGAATTCGAAGGTTTCGCCGCCAGCCATGGTTGCTGTGGTGGAAGATCTGGCCAGAGGGTGTTAGTGATGGTCTGCGTGAGAATCTGTGTGCAGAAGTTCGTGTAGGAATTGGTGCAGATGGCTGAGATGGTGGGATGATCGAGATGCTTTGCGCGAGTAAAATACCCAAATGAATGGGGGGTTTGTGGAAGCTCAATTGCGTGAGGCTGAAGGCTTCCACACCGAGAGCAGCGAAGACGAGGCAGAGGCTCAGGGGACAAGGAATTGATTTATTATCAGCTTACCTTGATGGGAATTCAGAAGTGATGGAGAGACAGGGAATCAAGAATCAAGGACAGGGTATCTTGATTGGAGTTTATGGTATGAAGAAGAAATGGAAGAGGAGGAGAGAAGCTGGTGATGGTGGAAAGAAATAGATGGGCCCGTTTGGGGAAGCTTCTAGCGCTAGCGAAAAACATTTCGAGGAGTTTCGATGGAATTCACCACGACGACCCGGCAGACGTCAAGGGTGGTACATCCAACTGCGCGCCCCAACCAATGAGAAAGATGCATGGGCACCTCTTTATGTCCATTTTTGGGTGCAGTCCTGCGTTCTCCTGGCCAACACGTTCAAGACAAGACCTCGAATCAACAACAGATATCTATTTACCGCCGCCTCGAGAGCCTTCCATCCCCCGGTGGGCGCTGAATCTGGGGTACCTTTTCCATGCCTGAGGCATCTACATTGCAGGACCCATTCCTCGCTTGTTCTGCCGGCATCTGGAATGTTCGGGGGTCCCAGACACTGGAATGGCCTCAATTGCTCCTGGATTCCGGCACTTCTCTCTCTTTCCTTCGTCTTCTGGCTTGGAGAGTTGTACAATGGCCTTCGTGAGGCTCGGGGGCAGATGCTTACCGTGCAGAGAGGACTTGGCTGCCAGGACTGTTCAGAACAGGTAGGCATTGGTATCATAAGTCCAGTCCGTGCGGATTACGAACATTGAGGAGGTGTTTCGTTTTCTCTTGTCTAGTAGATTCATTTCAAGTCATTGAGAAAACTTGACTCTGCTAATAACAATCCTTCGCACAGTCTCTCTCCTGCCTCAATCCTGCCTGCTCCGTACATTCTTGACCAGTATCCAACGGCATGAAGCAATTAGACTATCAAATTCCATTGATACCTGGGGTGATCCAAGGAGGGCAGCCTCCTAGCATTTGCCTTGCCCTAAGAGGCCTCGTTGCTTCTGGCATCTTCATGAGCAAGCTCGTGGTAATCGCTGCCCTAATACCACCTATCCCTCATGGAGAGCATCTGCTTGAGGTGAACTAACATGAATCTTCTGGTATCTTGGCTTCACACCTCTTTCCCTTCTTTTTCCCCCCATCCCTTAGTCCAGGTGGACCTGTGTTCCTTTAGAACAACTGAGAAACGAAGAAACATCTGAGGGGCAAGTCATGAGGGCTGTTTGAATTGACACTAGTTGGTAGTCTTTGATCACGCCAAACTAAGCTTCAAGCTCCCTTTTGAGCAGCGGTGCTAGGCATTGCTCTGACCCGACACATCAAGGATCTCTAGTGGTATTATACATAAGAAATACACCTGAATAGGGACTTGGTAGCTCATAGGGGGAAAAGTTCTTAAATAGTAGAACGTGAGAGAAAATCAGTAAAGAGACCTTGATATCATCATTCTGTAAAAGCAGAATACAAACGCGACACTTGTGCTGGCCAAGAAACTTGACTAAAACTGACTTGGTACCGAGTACGTTAGTGAGGCTGAAAACAGCACCCCACGTGAGAGGTACAAACGACGGAGAGATTGTTTGGTTGGGACCATCCAACCTTATACAACTTGGCAGCAATAACGTACCTTGACACCCATTTAAGGTTCCTAACCTTAGCAACCATCCGCTTGACATCGGTTGTCTTTATAGCACATCTCGACCATGGGTCAACCTCTCCCAGACCCAACCGCCATGGCTGCTAACTTTCAACCTGACTCACAGGCTCTTGCTATTCGGTCTAACATGTTTGTAGCCCAAACCGACTTTCCCACTGTTCAATAATATACCTAGTCATTGCAATATACCCAGATATTATGAAGCAGAGAAAACTCACTGATTTCCCTTCCTCCCTAGCTTCCGTAACATGGAAGCTCGGTTTGCGAACCAAACAACACAGGCAGATTTACGACTCTGCCCACTGTTCTTCAACATCAACACGAATCAAGAAAATTCCTAGCTTCCCATGGGACTCGCGGCTGTGCAGGAGGAGAGGAGTAAATCAGCTTGCTACCTACATCGCTCGGAGCAGATATACTAATGCTCATTTTCTTGGTTTAGTAGATGTGGATGTTTTCCGTCGGATCTTGACCGAGATTGACCGCCCCCTCCTCCAGCACACAATTGGTCGATTACAGAAGTTCGCCAGGCATTCCGGCGGGCGATCGGATGCTCTCCGATCTGAGAAGTCTAGGTGTCGAGGAGGTTGATATGGTATGATTTGTGGGTCTCCATCGCTACTCTTAAGTAGGAATTGGAATGAGGGGTTGATGGTGCTAATGACTCGGAGCATTTCCACGGCTGTACGTAGATGAGGCTGAAAACAGCTCCGAACAATCCAGCCAAGCAAACAAGCTCTCCAGCGCTCACTCCCGCCCTCCCGCTCTCCGCGCCTAAACGAAGGGAGACCGTGCTATCACTGCTATGGATCGATAATCGATAACAAAACGCATCTCGATTCATCCCGACGGGAGCGCTGCTCGCATACCCTTCCGGCGTCCACAGAGTCCCAGACTGCCCTGCACCAACCAGTCCAGAGTCTTGCTAGCTGCAAGCGCCAGCGTTTGAGGCCATTCTGGGCTCTAAGTAGAGAAACTGGGAGGCGGCTGGGTTGGCATTGGCGCCGAGCATCCTGCGCCTCAATATAGTCGCAGCCCTTGATTGGGAGGATTGGCGGGTAGGGAATGCAAAGGTCGCACTATTAATATCGTGCGGCTGGGTTTCTCATAAATCCAAATTTTCTTGCTCGTGGAATAATAACGGGGGCGGGGGAAGAAGGCTCAGACTGACAGTTTCAGAGACCTCAGAAGATGGTACGGACGTATGATTGTCTTGGCCTCGACGCCTCGGGCCACAATCCCCGCCCTGATACGCTCAGGACGTGACTGTACAAGTGTGTACACAGGTAAAGTACTGATTGTAGATTCAAGTTCCCCGGATGTTGCGGGCTGAACTTCGCCAGTCAGGTATCCGGGTCTGGAACCTCTTAAGCCTCTTATATAGGTCCCTGAGGTAGGTAAGATAGTCCAAATAACACGGCGGTATAGCAAGCCTGCCGAGCCGGGAACATATGGGTACCTACGGTATCATTCCGAATTAACTCTATCTTAACCGCAAGACGATCGGAACATCGTCACCGCAAACTTGGCGGAGACCCTCTGACCCGCAGAGCAAGAGCCCAAGTACAGTAAGTAAAGACAGCCGACGCTTACCGGGAGTCGCAGATCCCTACCAACAGCAGTAAAAGACGGTGTTCATCTTTGATCAAGGTACAGTAGTGATGTGGTATCAATGTGGAACTTCTTGTATACGAAGCCCAGTAGAGTAGTCGGTTCTAGGGAGGATAGAGAATCGCGCTCAGTAACGCGAACCCGACTATCTACCTGATTGGCTGATTTGATATAGCGATATGCACTCAACGTGAAAGCGAACCAGGTCTTCTTGTCAAACCCTGGATCAACGCATTGGCATCAAAGAGTTTACTGCAAGTTGCAAGAATACGGTCCAGAGGAGTCCTCTGTGTGCTGAGTCTCGACTGGCCAGAGTTGCACGGATATCCTCACTCATCCGTATTCTCCCCGTGGGTCCAGATGTACTCGACGACACCGCTATCAACGACACAAATCAAATCTCAGAAATCCTGCAATCCCCGCCCCTTGATCAACGGCTTTTGCAGTTTGGCGCTTCCAGCTTTACCCTGCAATCTGCGACCGGCATCTCAAGTTACCCAACCGAGGCGGTGCGAGGTCCCAGACATGTCTGTCTGTATGGGGTCTGTATGGGCCAGAGGTTGGGTTGCTGTGCCGCACCCGCGGCACCGCGACAACCACGAGCCATGTGCTGAGCCCTGTAAGCAAGAGTCGTGACGGTGACACCCTGACGGAGCACTGTGGTGGTCGCAGTCCTGGCTCCTTACCATACTCTATGGAGGCATAGCATTGCGGCGCTGTCAAGTGCGTGCTTACTTTGGAGTCGCATTTCGTATCCTCTAGGGTACTATAGGCTAGAGAGCATGATCAGTCATTATCCTGATAATCACCCCTTACCAAGGAGAGGGGGAGCACAAGTGTGGCACGGTTGGTGGGCCCAGAACCTGATTTACAGTATATCTCTCAGCGCGCACCCGTCCCTGACTTGGCGAACGTGAGATCACTCCGTCGTCTGTCGAAAGAGAGAGAGGCAGTCCAAGTGCGCCGAATATGTCTCTAGCAATGGCGGTTGCGTCGGCGACAGTGATGTCGTCGGCGAGTATGGTCACCCCAGCCATGACCACAGTTTTCACTCCGGCGCCGACGACATGTTTGCAGAATCAATTGACTATGTTGGAGAACCAGGATTATGAGATATGGATGAACTACCCTCTTCCCGTTCCAGGCACCACCTTCAGCGATTGCTATCCGACTCAATTCATGAGCAGCTTCCTTGCCTCCGCCTCGGGCACCACCGCCGCTCCAGCTTTCAGTCCTCTTGTTTGCCCAGCAGGTTACACTACCGTTGCTACGTCTTGGGTAGCTGCACCGGACTACATTGCCTGTTGTCCAAGGTCAGTCTTTTGCCGCCACGGCTTCTAGTCGTAGCTGATATTGAGATTCCCAGCTCGTACGGTTTAGCGCCGAATGATACCGCTCCCTCCACTCGACCTGCCTGGAATGGAAAATGCTATACCAATTTGAATTCTGGGGCAACCCTTCAAATGACGCTCTATGGCACTTCAAGTCTCTCCAACACCAATGCATTCACGGTCAGCACAACCGGCATGCAAGCATATGCAATTCCGTATGAGGGAATTGCGGCAGCAAAAGTAGCACCTGTATCGGTGCCGGCAACACCCACAAGTTCAAGTTCGGTGCCCCCAGCTACATACACAGTAAGATACCTACCAATGTAAGGTCTGTGGATTCCTCTCACGTTTTTCAGGTTTTTGCGAACGCCAATACCTTCATTCCAAACACCGTAAATGCACACATTGATGATACCATCATATTCGAGTTTCAAGGTGGAAACCACTCAGTAACTCAATCTTCTTTCAATGACCCCTGCGAACCGCTTCCACAGGGTATAGACTCTGGATATATGCCCAACCTCAACAACGTAGTCCCCTATCCATCATACACGCTGCATGTTTCTAGCACTGATCCGCAATGTGAGTCGCATTCTCCCAAGCATCTCAGCGGAAAGCAGCTAATATAAACTAGGGTTCTATTCCAGAGGCAAAGGCGACTGTGCTAAAGGGATGACTTTCGGATTAAACCCGAACTCCAGCGAGACAGAGGCCTCCTTCCAAGGGGCAGCTATGTCTCAGAAGAACTCATCAGGCGGCACCTCTCGCGGCGTCAAAATTGGCGTCAGTGTTGGCGTCATCGTCGGCGCCCTCCTCATCGCCGCTTTGCTCGGTCTCTTCCTCATGTCCCGCCGCCGCCGGGCCAGGACCGCAGCAGCAGCCGCAGCCGGGTCCTCGGCACCCGCCTACGATAACCCCCCTCCCGCAACCTATTACCCCTACGGCTATCAAACTCCAGAAGCAGAGCGGCCTCCCGTGCCCGAGAAACCGTACGTTCAGCGTCAAGAGCTCGACTCGGAGACGCCACAATACGAACTTCCCGACAGCCCGCCCGCCGAACTCGCCGGGTCGCGATTCAGCCAGCCCACGACGAAGCTACTGCGGGACTGAAGCCACCCCCAAGCTTCGACACCAGCAAAGATGCTTTGCTCAATATTCTTTTGCCAAGATTTAATATCTAGTACCTGAACTCTGTCCACCCCTGGTGATTGGGAACGCGGCGGCGTTGTTGTATATGTTGTATACCATACGAGGGATGAAAATTCGATACCTGGCGTTCTTCCATTTATTTTCTTTCTTTGTGAGGCGCGCAGGTCAGGCGTCTGGAACGTGGTGTGAGAATTTGTCATCATCCACCGGAGGGATTGGAGAGCTTGGTCTAGATATATACTCAGATGTGAAATATATACAAACATCATGGCAACTTGACCTGTCCCTCTTGCAGTGCGACTCCGTGTGTCTGTCTAAGCATGAAGAATATCTCCTTGAGCGAAAATGAGACCTCTGTATATATATGAATATTACTTGCTCCATGGCTGGGTTCTGGTTTGATTTAAAAGTGACGATCTTCCTATTCGATTCAAAACCGTCCATCCATCCATCCCCGCATTCTCCTACTTCCCTCCTCCCCATGAACCCCCAAACTAACCAGACCCCAACCCAATCCGATCCCGTCAGTTTCCCACTCTCCTCCCCCTTCTCTTCTTTCTCTCACAAAAGCAAAACTTCCTTAACATCCATCATCCAAGAACCTAGATCAATCATCACCACCTATCAAAGAAGGCCGCTTGAATATCAATATCAATATCCATGTCCCCCCCCCCCCAATTCCCACACCAGCTACTCCCGTGTGCATACAAGATCTAGAATCTTTGAATAATCTTTAATGTCCTCCTTTCCCACTTTCCAACCCGCATTAATCCCCCCCTTTTTCCCAATCCACCCCCTCACATAGCACGCTCCCTCTTTCAACCCGCCTCCCCAAACTAACCAACCGTCCCAATTCTCCAATCCCCCAATCGCCAGCCCGAAAACCACACTCTCTCTTATCTACGTAGACAAGACACATCTAGATCTCCTCAAAAGAAAGCTTGAACACAAAAGATGTGCATTCCCCCGGGGCCCAAACTCGCGTGCTGATTCGTAGGACAGGGGGAACAATACGAAGATGAGAACAATAGTAGGCGTTTTCCCTTCGCTTAATCATCCCCCTTTCCGCTGAAGCGCAAAAGTTGGATTGGGAAGTCAACTCCGGAAGGAGATTCTGTTTGTTGGTTCAAAGAGGAGAGAGAGAGAGGTTGCTTGGTATTGTTCTTGAGTTGTATATATAGCTGTGGGATTTCCCCCTCTTGTTTTGTTCTTTTTTTCTCATCGCAGCATCATAACATCCTCATCTCTACCTATCCGAAGTCATCCATCTCTACAAAATCAAATCGACCTCCCAGCCCGAGAAAAAAGAACCCAAAATCAGCAAAATGGCAAAGCATATCGTCCAAGGCTGTTCTCTCCAGAAGAACATCATTCAGGGCTGCACCGTTCAGAAGAATATCATCCAGGGCTGTACCGTCCAGAAGAATATCATCCAGGGTTGCACCATCCAGAAGAATATCATCCAAGGCTGCGTCGTGCAGCGCGAGCTTTAGGATAAATCGCCTCTTCTTCCTCCTGAGCACCATATCTCGTCTCCTCTTCTCATTTTCGCTTCTTCACTTCTTCAACAACGCTCCGATATATGCCAGCCTTCCTTCCTTCCTCACCAATCTCTCTCTCTTTCTCGACGTTACGCCTCATCTTCATCAATTCGCCAGTGCCAGCGAATGTACGATACGGTTTTCTTCTAGGCGCGCGCGCGCGTGTGATTCCATCGGCACTGCTGGACTCACTCGAGTGATTTCGGGAGCGCGATGAGATATCGGCGGGGAGAGTAGGGCTGTCTCGGTGGTCGTTGGGTTTCGCTTCGAAGTCTTTGATATCTTGCGCCGTGCGGCGCCTTTACCAGAACTGCTGCACTTGGCATGCGGCCAGTACTTTTGATAGCCTCGTGGTGAAATATAAGAGGGTCGTTACGCAATAAGTTTGCGCTTCCGCGTTCCTTTTTTTTCTTTTTTCTCTTTTGCTCTGTACGTGCATGTGATATGTTCTTGAAGATGCTTTGGCTGTCCAACATCCGTCCCTGCGTCGAGAGACGCACCCCGTGACGAGACAAACCATAGGTAGGTACTTCGAATTCAAGCAGCTCTAAATCTACCAATCTATCAAAAAATTAACATGTTTTCATTTTAGATATATTGTTCGCCTTTCTCGAACACTCCTGACCTATGGATTTCGAAGGGTCTACCTAAATCGACGCAGGACTTACCTAAATCGACGCACTTATCCTCTAAATTACTTCCTAAGTTGATTCATTATCCCAATTCGCATCTGGATTGCTATCCAAATCATCAAATTCCCCACCACTACTTGTGTCAGATCCCAAAAACTCTTCCATACGTCGATGCCAAGCCTCCCTTTCGGCTTGCCGTTTTACTCGCCTCTCTTGCTCCTCCTGTTTTCTAAGAATATCAATACGTCTTTTCCGACTGTGCCGACACTCCCCCAATGTCCCATCATCCTCTGCGAGCTCCATTTTCCTGCACCGTACACAGAACACAACCGTAAACTCTTGACCACACCATTTTACAGAATTCCCAGGACTGTATGCCCCACAACCGAGTGGTGGATGGAGGCCACATCTAACACAGAACCGGTTATAATTCTCGCTGCCTCCTCGAGCTTTCTTTTTCTTCGTCATATTGTCCCCGAACTCGCTTTTGTGGCGCAGACGTAGACAGTATTTGCATGTGAGCAAGTCGCGCGCGGCCGCGTACTCCTCTCTCTCTGCTACGAGCAGGTCCTTGTGCGAGAAAGGGGGGATGAGGCTGTGAAAATAGCTGTTCGCCCGTCGCAGGCTGGCTCTGGCATCGTACGGAAGCCGGGCTATGATATCGAGGTGGATTTCGCTTGCAAGATTGCTTAACGTGGTTCGGGTCCCAATGGAATCTAAGGTAGTCATCTTGATATTAGAGTTCGGAGTTGATGGGAGTTATCTTGTGTTCGTGATGATGACCGAGGTTTGTGGTTGGAAGGCTACCTGGAAGCTTGCGTTGTAGCCCTACCCTTGCGCTTACCTAGGTAGAGCCAGGTTACATACGTGGCAAGACCCGAGGCGTGATTGAAACGATCGAGAGCATAATGAACCATGATCCTTTTTGTGTTGCTAAGGTCTGCTTGAGGATAAATGGTTAAGAAATAGTGATATATATATAATTACTTCATAGACTTGCTAAGAAAACAATTACGATTCCCAAACTATAGATTCGTCTCGTGACAGGGTGCGTCTCTTGACGCAGGGATGGACGTTGAGTAGGTGGTAGCTAGGCTGCTATAATGAGTGAGAAATGTGGGAGAGTTTTGATTTGAGAGAAAGGAAAAGAAAGAAAGAAAGACTGAACTGTGATATCCGTGTGAGGGATATAATTTTTTGGTTTGGAGTAAAAGCACAATTTCATGCAACTTCGCTATGCTTATGACGTTTCAGTTCTATTCAAATTTCACACTAGTGGAATGAAGTACTCAACTTATTATTTGTAAAATTTCAAACCGGCTACCCAACAAAGCAAACAAACGATGCGAGGAAAAAGAAGGTCCAAAAATTATCAAAACCAGCGAACCCACAAGGGAAACGAACCATACAAGACAAAAGAAAAGAGATCTTGCCTACCTTTCACCTTCTCCTTCCCTGACTCTCTCGATCAACTGGAAAAGCTCCTGCGCCTCATCACGGACCTCCGGCCTGCCAGAGAATTTATCCGGATGCCAACGCAGCCTCTCCTTCCTTAACCACTTCTCGGAGTACATGCCGCTTCCTCTCAATGTCTTTTCAACATCGTGATGGCAGATGTTGAGTTTGTCCCCCCTGATACAGCGCTTTTGCTTGCAGCCGTATCGATGCGGGCGAGGAAATGGCGCTTCCTTGTCTTCGAAGAATGTCTCACAAGCTTTGGCCCAGCGGTGGTACTGGAAGCCGTATTTTTCACGGTCGCCTTGTTGGGATGAGATGCCGGGTTTGGGGTTTTGGGCATGCCATTTTTGTTCTTCACGTCGTTGCTCCTCCTCCCGTCTGGTCTGTTCCTTCCTGGCTTCTGCTTCTTCTCGCTGTTGCTTGGCTCGCCGTTCTTTTCTTGCCCTTTTATCTCCCCGCTCTTTGGCCCGTTTTCTCTTTTTCTTTGAGCCTTTCGGCTTCTTTTTGGAGACACTATCGCCATCTTTGGAAAATTTTGAGGCTGATCCAATAGTAGGTTTTCCCGCTTTCTTGGATGGCTTCGGTCTTGCGTCGTTGGAGGCTGGCTCCGGTGGTGGTCGTGGTGGAGGCATGTTGCTGATAGCTGATTGAGAAGAGTAGAAGAAAGCTCTTGTGTGACTGAGTGCGTGTGTGTTGATGTGGTGAGAAGATTGAGATTGAGATTGATGAGAATAATTCCAACAGCTCATCATGGACGGCTTAATATATGCCAAGAAGGTGGTCTGTTCGCCATAACTGGCTTTATTAAACACTCACCGGGACAATGGTATTGTCATGAACAAAGGAAAAAATCTTCATCAACAGACAAACACAAAGAAACCAATTATTGTTCGAAGAAAGTTCGAAGAAAACCCAAGGCTGGTCCAAACCACAAGTTGTCCGCCCCTCTCTCTCTTTGTCAGGCGCTGTTGTGCAGGTAAGTTCCATTATTCGCTGTTGCAGGTGATACAGTCTTAGACATCGACCTGGAAGCATCTCATGTGAAGGTTGCCTCTGTAAGAAGAGTTTGTTGAACACCGCACCAATCTCCCAGACCATTTCAGCAACTGGAAACTGCTGATAGTAAGAAAGTGGGAACTTCCTCCCGAGGCACGTTCCGTCTCAGAACTTTCGTCCAAGTTGTATCTTACCCACTTTGGTTGAACTTCGCAACTTACCCATGCCAAGCAGCTTTGTCAACTAAACTTGCAATTCAACAGCTTGCGCCTCTTCCCAGTTTCGATTCAAGCCAAGGACACTTCCTGGCATGGGTATATCTCACAGTATATCGTACTGCCGTGTATAGTACAATCCAACCAATCAACTTTCCCCGTCAATATCAGTCTTCGTGTCATGAATTCCAATGACTTCTCCCACCTTCCTATAACTCCCATCCACATAACTCAACCCGTATTCTGCTTCACTTCCCTCCTCCTCTGGGAAGAGAGCGGTAACTTTTGCAATAACCATGACATGATTACCAACCTTGATTAGCCCATTTGTATCACCTCCCACCTCCGAGGCAGTAGGCAGTGCGCAAGCAAGCACTCGTTTCACGCTCTTTCCCGAAAGCTTCGGCAATTCTAACTCATCCTTTCCCATAGAACGCTCGGACTTATTTCGCAATCCAACAACCACGTTTTCTACCTTGAACAACCCATCTTCAGCGTTAAAAGCTTTACTAACTCCCTCTTGGTCTGAGTTACCCCTAGTAAAAGAATCTGCGATCATCGCCCCCTCTTTGCTCGACTCCAACACATGTATTAGAAAACATCTAGACTGTTCTATAGCGGACAAGGTGCGAGATGGAGCGCGGATGTTAAACGTTACAAGTGGCGGAAATAGGGAGAGCGTTGTGAACGAGGAAATTGTCATGCCGCGATAGAGGCTGTCTGGAGAGTTTTTTGGGGAGTCTGGTGTGTTGGGCAGATTGGGTTCTGTAGCGCTCGTAGTGAGGACGACGACGGTGGAGGGGAGAGCGCGCATTAAATGGCGGAGAGATTCGGGAATGGCATTTCTTCCAGGGATGGTAGCCTCCGCTTCTAGACCTTCTTCTTCTGCATATGATTTCTGTACTTGTTGGGAGGATGTTGTGGTCTGGTGGCGGAAGGAGGAGCATAACTGAGGTTTTCGAAGGATGAGGGATCGAGATTTAGCTGGTCGTTGGATGAACGTTCGAGGAAACTGAGTATCTATCCGTTTTCTCACATCTATACTCCCCGAGTTAGCTCACCGTGCTTTTGAAAGATTTCCAAACTCGTACCCTGACAACGTCCTCCACTTGACCACTTCCACAATAGCTTGAAGAATCCCCGCGCAGCTACCGACTCGCCATTGATCCTCCTGCCAGCCGACCAGACGCCATTACTAGAGATCATCGATCCTATCCCTCGAAACCCTCTGCAAAACCTTTAAACTGAAGTCGGCTCTCGGCGTTGGCTGTAGTTAGAAATGAGTTTGTGAGCCTCGCCAGAATACCATATCCCGCGCACCAGTGGTTCGTCTCGGTTCCCGTACAAAATTATCTTCAACTTCACAGAGCTCTCATTGCAGAACTCGAAAGCCCAATCCAAACACAAAATGGCCAAACTCCCCTCAGCAACGCTCCGACGAGCTCACCTCCCGTCTTCACCACAACAATTCACGCAATGCCGGCACGCTTCGCTCCTTAGACGACCGCACCGCCCCTACACCTTCACACAACTGGTCACGCTCTCAGACGGGTCGACATACACGCAGCGAACGACGAGTCCGCAGCCCATCTACCGCAGCACAAAAGACACGCGGAATCATCCTTTATGGCAGCCAAGTCTTGATAACCTGCGCAATGTGGAGCAAGATGAAGCCGGGCGCCTGAGAGCCTTTAGAAATCGGTTTGGTAGGGGTTGGGATTTGGAGAGTACGGGAGAGGATGCTGGGAGCAAGGAAGGGAAGAATGCAGCAGCTGGCTCTGGTGCTGATGCCAGTAAGAAGACTGCGGCCGTGGGGGCTGGGTCAGATGAGGAGGGCAGTTTGATGGATTTGATAAGCGGCGGTGCGTACACTCAGAGCTACCAGCAAACAAGAGAAGCATCGAAGGGTCCCAAGGGCGGAGAGGGGCAAGGAGCTAAGGCCTCGGCGAAGGATCCGGCGGAGGATGACAGTGAGAAGGCGAAAAAGAAGAAGAAATGAGATTCCAGACCGCACTGTATTGCGATTGGAAATAGAGGACAGTCCTAGAGGTGGACATCAGAGGAGGTATATCGGCAAGAGGATAAAGTGGGAAGGCAAGTCGATATTGTATAATCTGTAGGATCATGAAAGAGCGCAAAGTAAAGGCGTCTGGCAACGGGATTATTCTATGTACAAATACTACATTCCGGCTCCTTAACCCCTCAATTACCCATCTGCTGGGCAATTCATATCCGCATCCCAAAAGCTTTTCATAATACGCCCAATTATTCATCCTCACCCTCAGCAGTAACAACTGCTGCAGCCTGAGAATCTGCTGCAGTTTCTTCTGAAGGCCGTGCAGCAGCTTCAACAGGTGGCTTGTAGAATGCATTCTCATCTTCTTCGGCGTCAAGTTGCATAAGAAATGTTTCCCAGAGCTCGATGAGCTACCACAACGTCAATAAAATCCAGGGAACAAGATGATAGAACGTACCTCTTTTTGAGCCTCAACAGCACTCTCTAAGAAAGTCTCCACAGCACTCTTAAAGTCCTCTACCTTCTCACGCTCAAATCTCTCGAGCTCGCCCCTCATCAATCTGCCCATATCCTCAAACAACAATCTTGCTTGGTGAACTTTACGCTCAGCGTCAGCTACCTCTGCATTCATCTGGTTCAAACGATCTTGTTGTGTTTTGCCTTGGCGCAAAAGCTTGTCTTGTGTCGATTTGCGTTTTTGCAGTTCCGATTCGGCTGAGTGCCATGCATGGTACGCTTTCTGACGTGAGCCGAATGCTTGCTTGATGCTTCCGATTAAGCGGATGTATTCATCAATTGTGATGCCGAGAGTCAGGACATCTTGCTGGGCTTGTCTATCGTAGAGCTCCTTGATTCGGATTTGTAGGTCTGAAAGCCCTTCTAGTGGGCCAGATAATGATGCAGAGAGCTCGACAGTGGAGAGCGCGTGGAGAGAAGCAGAGAAATCCCCCGCTGCTTCGGAGAGCCCTTTCCGTTGAGTGACAACTACATCCATAGCCTTTAAGAGAGCCTTCAGCTGGTTTTCCAAGGCGTCCAGATATACTCGACGATCATGGAACCACTGCCAAGGTTAACACTATCCTAAAGCATCTTGAGTCATTACTCACCTCATCTTGCTCGACAAACTTCCCCCCTCCTCCAACAGATAGCCCGATCCCACTAAACAATCCCTTGCTCTCCCCGAGAGCTGGTTCTTTCCGTTCCTTGTGCTTAACATCTACATTGAACGACTCACTCTCAAGGAACAATTTTAAATCCCCATCATGCTGAAGGGTAGGGTGCGCAGCCGTCTTGTTAAGCATTCTCTCTAGAGCGGCTCGTCGTGATTCGACAAAATTCGTATCAAATCGTCCGACAGCTTGCTTCTCCGGAGGTGGAGGAACGACAATACCTGGATTATTCGCATGCAACGAATTATAGAGCCATAGAAAATCTCTATATCTTCGAGTAACAGCGAATTCAGGTTCGCGATAAGCTTTCGAAGTGGTCTTTGCTAATCAGCACGGATTCTCAATATACAGGGCATGATCTCCCCACCTTCGTCTTTACAAGATAAACAATATGCGAGCTTGTCAAATCCCCAACCTTATGCGGATCCCCTACTGATATATGAAAAGTAGGCTTGGCAGCCTGCTCAATGCTAACACTAGGCTGCGTGTCCCTCTTTACAGGAGATACCGGAGACGGTTCCACGGGGGGAGGAATTCTTGGACCAATAGGCGATTCTGCCTCATCATTCAAATCGACAGAATCTAGCATATTCCTGCTAATCGAGCTCTGGGATGAGGCTAAGGGCTGCCGTAGGTTGTGGGTTAAGGAGGTCTGCTCCTTCTGCGGTGGCGCAGGAGGCTGCTCTACAGTCGGTGTCGGCGCATTGTCTCCAAGGGGTCCCAAAGGGCCCAAAGAGTCATCGAGCGCTTCAAGTCGAACAGTTTGGGCGCCAGCGCGGCGTGGGGTTCGCAGGTGTCGTGTGGTAGGTGATTTGACGGGTTGTGAGGGGGTGCTGGTTGATTCGGAGGGCTCTGCTTTCGAAGTAGACTCTAAAAGAGCTGTCAGCAATGGACACGGGCGAGCAGGGGAGATATTTGCCTGATTCTACAAATGCAGTCGCATCTGTAGCTGCGGGCTTTGTTTGGGTGCTCGATGGGACATCTAGAAGCAGCAGCAGTTAGCCTGGCGACTCCCATTGAACGGACGGCTTCCCATTGACATACCGCCCCAGGGCGAATCGCCCCCGTCTTCAAGATCCATGGTACCGAATGAATAGGATAAAGAAGGTATTGTGTTATGGGTCTTGAAGTCGAGAGCTTGGAGTGGAGAAGTCGAGATCGGCGGAAAGTCTACGTCGGCCCGTTGATGCTAGGCAAAGCTACCTGAGATACCTTATTTCGGGACAACCATCAATATCAAAATGGAAACAAATCATCTCAGAGTCTCCAAGTTTTATTACATTTTTCAGTGATCGGTCACACTCTCATTTATGCTCTCAAGTATCAAAGCATTCTATCAAACCAACTCCCTCTCTCATTTATTTGGCAAGGCCAGATTACTCAGTATGAGGAACAGAAGCGGCAGGGCTCGGCAGGGCTGAGGCATCATCTCTTATTATCACTGTGAGGGATTTGCTCCGCTGTATCCCTCATATGAAGCGCTTAACAATTACGGAATATCGTGAAATGATCCAAATGTTCTTATTCTCTTCTTGTTCATACTCTAGACTGCGCCATTCTCGATTTCCCGATGTCACAGTATATTTTGGCTGGGATGTGGTGTTAGAAGGACGATTCAATATCTGATGAGTACTATATCGCGAATAATCATATACTGTTGGTCTTCAATGCCACTGGCGACTGTTTCCAGACCTGTAGCCCATGGTCGAATACCAGACAGAGAATAACTGTCGGGCTGGCTGCCCAACCGGCGCCATTGCTATGGTCGCAATACTGACATCCATACGGAGACGCTGGAGAGGAAGAAGTTCATCTTTCTGAATTATAAAATCATGGAGTAGAACGAGATTCGCAGTCGGAGTTGAGCATCAGTCAGGTACTCGTAGATTTTATAAATCGAATGGTATGGCCAAGCCCGAGATGCAACGCGGTAAAGGGTTGCCTTAAATGAATGAATGGAGTGCAGGAGGCGAACAGCATGTGGCTCCAGGATGTTCGGGGTTTTCTGCAGGTAGATACTAGGGAGAAACAAAAAGGGTTCAACGCTTTGTGGTGTATATATATACCGGTCATAATCCACGTACCAATGCCATAATACCTGGCTTACCAACTGGACTAGAATTTTGGGCTGATTTTGCATTTGCCAAATAACTCAATGGCTGACATGCTTGCTGGTCACAATGCCAGCTAGAACCATCTGGACTTCTGGCTACAGCATCTCTGAGCGGAAGCGTCGCTTCCCAACCATCCTATGTACTGTTCTTGGACTCGTTCCCCAATCGTTTGAGGCGCCGCGCTCATTTACCCCTGTGTCCGCTGCTTTCCTAGCTTCGCTTCGTTTGTAGTCCTTCATTGGCATCGCAACTAATAGCTGTCAGAACTTCAGCCCCCCATATCGTGATCTCCCTCTCTGTCATTCGTTCCGTTGTCCCCGGACTTTTCAATGCTCTCCAAGTATGATTTTGCTCTCTCCCACAGCTCCGACTCCATTTTCATTCCCACGCTTCCACTCCTACTATTCAACCACCCAATATCCAATTTCCCCATTCCACCCTCCCCGATCGAGATCTGTGTCTCATCTTTTCCTCCTGCTCCCTGCACAACACCTTCCTGTCCCTCGCTAGCTTTCGTCTTCGTTTTAGCCCCAGCTATGATGTCCTCTTCCTCCAGTCCATAGATCTGCCGACGCAGACGTACATCGATGGATTGGAGAGTTCGCAAGTAGGTATTCGACTTTTCTTGGAAGGCCTCACGCTTATTTTGGACCTGAGGAGAGGAAGTCTGAGTAGAGGTGGTGGTAAGGGTTTGAAGAGCGAGGCCGGCGGAGTGGAGAAGTGTTGTTATGCTTTTATCAATTTCGTTAAGTTGCTGGATGCGCTCAGCCTTTGTGAATGGTACGAAGGCGGGGTCCTCTGGCGCGGGTATAGATGCCATGCTGTAGTTTCTTTGTTTATTTGTGAGAGGATAGAGGTGTCCAAGTTGCGTTTTATTCAGGTTTGGAGGTTGGGTTTGAGGTTGGGGATTTCGATAAATGGGGAATAGCGCGGCTCTGCGGGAACTTCGCATTAGAGCATCTGGTCACGGCATCAAACCTCACTCACCAAACAGCTTCCCTTCATCAATTTTCATCCGATTCCCGTCCACTTCCTTCAACACATTATACCCGCATATTTATCAGTGGATTATTTCTTATATCTGAGGCCTTGGGATGGAAAAGCATTGTTAGGGCACCTGCATTAAGGAGAGCGGCTAGAGTTGTGAAGTGAAGCTTGAAAGCAGAGAAGCAATCATGTCGAATCACCAACCTCAGAGTGCCGGAAATGGGCCGCCTAACGCAGGCATGGGCATGCAGCATGGACAGCCCCCGCCTCCACCGACACAGAACATGAGCCAACAGAACTTAAACCAGATTGTAAGAGACCCCCTTGATGTCACGTGCCTTAAGCTTTAAATGATTTTTATATGATACCTGAAAGGGATGTCGCCGTGAAAATTAGTATCACTACAAGTGTTGAAGTGAGCCTTTGTTTTAAGAGAACTTCATTCGATGATATGGGAGAGCAAATCAAAATACACAGCGGTCAAGTCGACCAATGCTGTACGTTTCTCTGAAATGCCTGAAGGCAATCTTCTTTGAAGTTTCCGGAGAATGAATACCAGGTTCAAGTGACATAGTAGATCAGAGTCTGGTCTTGTGGTGTGGGATCAAACATTCAATGATGACGAGCTCCCAAACTCAACTTGAGTTGAATGATTCATTTCGGATCCTGAATTTGACATGGCTCTATTCGTTTTTCCCCGTCAACCCAGTCCACTCAGACAAATCAATACATGGGGTTGTCACGTACTCCCCCTACTTTGTAATCCTTTGTTTAGGTATTGCTCATCATATTATTTCCCTCATCGAGTCCAGTCAATATCTTCACCTTCTCCTTGCTATTCTTTCTCCCTTCAAGCAGCCCCGCAATTATTCTTTCTATTACCTTCTTACCCTCGATAAACCACTACAATCATTTCTGCGAGTCCTTTCCGATCTGCAGTCATGCCAGAACCATCAACGCCTGCCGAACGAGAAGCTCCTGCTGACACTATTACGCCAAAGGTCATTGAGTACCTGGTGAAGAAAGGATATAATAGAACCGAGCAGATGCTGCGGTTGGAATCATCGAAACTTGATAGAGAAGGGAGACCTATCCAAGAACGAGCTGAAGACGGCGGTACCGAGAAGTATGCCACGGCGTACAAATTATTGAGTACATGGATAAAACAGAACCTCGATATCTATAAAGTGGGTATTATCCGTCCAAATCAATATGTTCCTACTAACCATCTATTTAGAACGAGCTTCGACGTCTTTTGTGGCCAATATTTGTTTACTCTTATCTGGAGCTGGTGGTGAATGGTTACTCGCAGGATGCATTCTACTTTCTAACGGAGTTCGGGCCACAATTCAAAGACCATCATAGTGATGAACTTCAGACTTTCGAAACCGTCACGCTTCCGCAGCACGTGTTCGATAATCCTACCGCGAAGCTCTATCGCGGAACAAAATATCGCTTACCTCTCAACACCCACGTCTACTACAATCTTTTGACCTTCCTCGAAACCAACGCAAAAGCGGGAGGAACTGTCATCATATACTTGTTGCAGACGTACTGCGAGATACGGGAGACTGCTCGAGGTCCAATTGACCAATACAGCTTCGAAGCCATAATCAATCAAGCCCGTGGGACCGACGAGGAACCCGATCTAGAAGAAGGCATCCCGGGGGCATTCACCGGTGTCACTAACAAAGACATCATGAATAACAAGGCGGTTCTTAAGCTTGGCATGATGCCGATGGACTACGAACTTGCACAAGATGTGCGTAGTGAATTAGAAGAAGAAGACATCAAACACCCGCCCGAGTTTGGCAAGCCTTCCTATGTCGAAGAGTTTGATCGCACGATAAAACGCGAGGAGAGCGTTGATGCGCCAAGCAGGAACGAGATCCCACTGCCACCTTCACGAGCACGGGACGTTGTTATGGAGGTCCAGAAGATTAAGGAGAGCCGCGATCGGTTCAAGATTGAAAGCCGTACTGGTGGAGTCGGTCCTGCGGTCTCTGTTTGCATGTTCACGTTTCATAATACCCTTGACAGGTAAGTTACTCTACCATCGACAAAGAGTGGTCACATATTAACTAACCTACAGTATCACATGCATTGAATTCTCAGATGACACCAACCTTGTCGCTGTTGGAACAGAGGAATCTTACATTCGAGTCTGGCACCTGCATGGCGATCCTCTTCCGTCTGTCATCAAGTCTTCTTCCAACGATCCACCATCCAGTTCACGTCGACTCATTGGCCATGCCGCACCGGTCTATAGTGTTTCATTCTCTCCCTCAATTGCTGGCCCCGAGAATGCTGATGCATCTACCCCCTCTACTGCCCCGAAGCAGCTCCTCTCATGCTCTTCCGACAAGACTATCCGGCTCTGGTCTCTCGAAGCATGGACTTGTTTGGTCGTTTACAAAGGGCACGAAGGTCCGGTCTGGAATGTGCGCTGGGGACCATTCGGTCATTACTTTGCCACCTGCGGCTGGGATAAGACTGTCCGAGTTTGGGGTCAAGATCACATATCCTACCTTCGGATGATGGTTGGCCACGATACGAATGTTAACCAAGTCGCATGGCATCCCAATGGTGCATACGTCTTCTCCGCCAGCGATCAAGCTGATAAGACCGTCCGCATGTGGTCTTTCACGACAGGCCAATGTGTTCGAGTCTTCACCGGCCACACCGATTTTATTAGTGCCCTTGAATGCAGCCCGAACGGCAAGATTCTTGCTTCAGCAGATGCTGGCGGTAGCATCATCCTCTGGGACCTCGCCAAAGGGACAATGATCAAGCGTTGCAGAGGACATGGCAAGGGTGGTATTTGGTCTCTCTCATTCAGCGTCGAATCCACCGTTCTCGTATCTGGGGGTGCAGACGGAACTGTTCGAGTGTGGGATGTCGAGGTGCCAGCCGACCCCTACAAGAATGGTGATGGTGAGGTTATCGGCACGGGCGGTCAAACGGATGCTACCCGACTCACCGGTGCGGCAGGCACAAGTCAGACAACTGCTGCGACTGGTGCTGGTGGCAAGAAGAAGGGGAAGGACACTACGATTACTCCGGATCAGATTAGTGCTTTCCCGACGAAGAAGAGCCCAGTCTACAAAGTCAAGTTCACGAGAATGAATTTGATCATGGCTGGTGGTTGCTATTTGCCTTAAGCATGATTTCTATTCGTCTTAAGCTTCTGGGTCATCGAGGAATTGACAGGGCTGCTGGGAGTTTCGTGGCATTGAGATAGTTAGGATGGGTGGAGATAGGATCGTTGGCGTACATACATCAGCTCATGATACCAGGAAGCGGTCATAATCTGCTGCATAGTGGGAAATAAAAGTTTGTCATACATAAAGGCCACGTCTTGGATCGAGTCGTGATTATTGAGGTAACCTCTCAAGAGCGTAAACCCGAGAATGAGTGAAGCATATCAATTTGTTGTCCGCCTCAGGTCGCATTTAAAGCGAGGTAACTTATGATTGACCTTTGACAGGAAGAGAGTAGGTAGGTACCTGGCTACGCCACTGATAGCTACCTACACTCGTGATACCTACGAGCTACATGAATTAGAAGGTAAGGTATAACGAATATAAGAACAACCCTAACAGAGCTTGTTGGCTAAAATTCAGTAATCTCAATCTACCTTAGCAATTTTGGGAGCTAGTACTAAAATCCAAGGAAGCTCAACCGCATCTTCATCTTTTCTAATCTTGGGTATCGTACATACAAACAAGAAAAGGTGCGAAATGGGTATAAACCGCCCACGCCGGGGGAAGCAATCCAGGACCAGAGTGAGCGAGGTTCCTTGAATGTCTTTTGGCTGATTTGCTGCTGGACAATTTGACTGTTCCAAAGGATGTGCGAATAATGTCGACGATGGGAGGTGGGGAGCATGGTGTGGGCAGGTGCAGCCGGGTGAGGCCAAATGGTGTGCTACTCTTGAAGATATGGAATGAACGTCCAACCCTGAAGTCCTGGAGACTTTGATCAAGCCCCAGGAGGCACGTAAGGCATACTTGGACCGGGCTCTTTCTTGAATGCAATATTGGCAAGTGACGCTGCCCCGATGATGAGAATGACAACAGCCAGGCTGATCAATACGATGGGTAAGGCATCCATTTTGGAATGAAAATGATGGCCAACTATGTCAAGCTCAGGGTTGCCGTAAGGTAAAGGGCTCCAGAGATGTCCGTGATAGAGGTAGTATTTCACAAGACCTATGAATGATGGTCAGTCAGTTGATCAAATGTATTTAGGATGAGTGCAAAGGCCCTTGGGAGTGCTCATCGAGGACTAAAAGTGACGTACCTTATTATTCGATATTCTTATTGGGTAGACCTTCAAAAGCGAGAGTTCAGGATATCCTACAACTGATCTAATATCTAATGTCTTCGCTTCTTGTTGATCGCAATGGATGATATCTTGGTGTGAAGAAGTGGTCAGATCACGTGGCACAGCCGTGTAAGCTGAAAAGTGACTCTGCTAGGACCACAAACAACGAATGTGTTGCCGGCGATGCGTAACGATAGACGCCAGTCGTTGTGGTAGAAGGAGTGAGCGGTCTTTAGCATCCATCAGCGAACTGAGTAGATGAAGTTTGGGGTGAGGTGGGAGCACTGTGGCACCGGATGCCCCGGAACTCGAAATGTTGTCGAATCGCGCTCTTCAGCCAAGGTTATGCATCGCAGATTCTGGAAAACTGAAGTATTCAAGTATCATGTACTTATCCATATTGATAGTAAATCGAACGGCTTTTGCATGGGGGGTTCCCGCAGCTAGGCACAGTATCACAAGCCAAAAGATGCCTCGGGCGGTGTGTTATTCTGTAAAGAGAGGGGTCTCCATGTCCCAGTTGGTCTCTCCCTCCAGGAAACTTTTCCTGTTAGACGCACCGATACGCGTGTACGGAGTACGCTGGTACAGTACACGTACCATGATACGAAGATACGAAGATATAGAGAACATCGGCACGACTAGTGCGGGCGGGGGGGAGGGTTGAAGCGCGAAGTGATTCGTGAAGGGATTCACAACCCGTGGTCCCATGCAGTAATAGTGTAGTGAGGGTGGTTGGTTGGAGGAGGGGTTGACGTTGTTTCGCTTGTTGGCCAAGGGGGGTCAAGTCACTCAAGGGATGTCGTTGGAAGATACTTTGTGGCCTGAGGACACAAGGCATCACTTTCTTCCAGCTCTTCGCGTCAACTCCTCCAGGGACCTTATCCTACGCGAAAAGAAAACGTACCTTGTTCAGGTACCTTACCTTACCACTGCACATCCAGACAATGCACACTGCGTCTTCAACCATTGGAATTTATCGGTGACCATGGTAGGACCTTCGCCTCATAAGCCACGGCGAAAGGTCAAAAAATCACACAATGGCAGCGAGGTGTCATCAGTCGCTCCATCCTCAGCCCGCTCCACGGCGACTCGACCAACATATCCCCTCGCAGCCTTTCTCTGGCCGGCCAGGAGCTCGGTGTCACAATGGGAGACTCTTCCTCTGATATTGATGGCAGTAGGTCTCTTCAGATGGGCTGCTGGTCTGTGGGGGTATTCGGGTACGTTTCTACTCTCTCGAGATTATGTATGGCCAACCTAACATTTGCATGCAGGGTTCCAAAGCCCCCCAATGCATGGCGATTACGAGGCTCAGAGACATTGGATGGAGATCACGACAAAATTGCCCATATCACAATGGTACTTTCATGACCTCGAGTGGTGGGGCCTGGATTATCCACCCTTGACGGCATATCATAGCTGGGTTCTTGGAAAGATAGGGGAGTTCATCGATCCGTCATGGTTTGCTCTGCACACCTCACGCGGTCTCGACGATCCCACATTGAAGGTCTTCATGCGGGCTACAGTTATTGTTTCCGAGTATCTGGTCTGCATACCAGCGGCCGTCATCTTTGTGCGGCGACTGAGCAAGCTGCAGGGACTCAATACATGGGTTGCCTCGATTGCTCTGGTCGCCATCCTGATGCAGCCAGCCACAATTCTCATCGACCATGTCCACTTCCAATATAACACCGTCATGCTTGGACTGGTACTGGCAAGCATGTCCAGTGTGCTGGCCGGAAGGTTCATGTGGAGCTGTGTCTTCTTCGTGCTGGCGTTAGGATTCAAGCAGATGGCACTCTACTATGCGCCGGCCATGTTTGCGTACCTTCTGGGAGTCTGTATATTTCCTCGACTCAATATCCCTAGATTCCTCGGTATTGCTGTTGTCACAGTCGCTTCTTTCGCTATACTCCTTCTCCCTATCTTTCTTGGCGCTCTCTATGATGCCCATCGAGGCATCGATGCTCGGCCTGAGCTTTTTGGACACTTCGCCCCCTTACCTATCTTCTCGGAATACTCATTCAAGATCAATCACAAAGCGTGGTACTATCCGATCATACAGCAATCTGCACAACTTGCTTATCGCATCTTCCCTTTCGCCAGAGGACTTTTCGAAGATAAAGTCGCCAATTTCTGGTGTGCTCTAAATGTCGTCGTCAAACTCCGAAAGTACCCATCTGAACTCCTTCAACGAGCATCTCTGCTTGCTACCCTCGCTGCCATCACACCACCCTGCTTCGTTATATTCACGAAGCCCCGCAAAGAGCTTTTGCCATTGGCGTTGGCAACAACAGCCTGGGCGTTCTTTCTCTTTAGCTTCCAAGTCCACGAGAAGAGCGTCCTGCTGCCGCTAATGCCAATGACAGCTTTATTATCTGGCAAGCATGGGCTTAGCAAAAGTATTCGTGCTTGGGTTGGCTTTGCAAATCTTCTTGGGGTCTGGACGATGTTCCCGCTCCTTCAACGCGTCGATCTGCGTATTCCATACTATGTCCTATCTTTCCTCTGGGCATACCTTCTAGGCTTACCCCCAACCTCGTTCGCTGTCTACAAGCAGGATGGTAATCCCACTTTGGCGGGTTTCGCAACGGCCTCGGTGCATTCAATATTCTATGCCTTGATGGGAGTTTGGCATGTCGCAGAAGCCTTTATCTTACCCCCTCAGGATAAACCTGACCTTTGGGTAGTCATCAATGTAGGAGTAGGGGCTGCAGGATTCGGTATTTGTTATCTATGGTGTTTGTGGAATCTCGTCGTCGATAGTGGCCTTGCGGATTTCTCAAAATCGGGGAAGGAAAAAGCAAAAACGCAGTGAATGTTCATAGGTTCGACATATATACCCAAATAAGATTTCTTTTCGCCACCGGGAAGCCCCTGTACACGGGCGCCTACTGTACCCATCGCAAGTCTGCGAACTTCCTAGACGTTAGTTTGGCGTTCTTCATCCTGGTAGGAGGCGGCCTTCCCGGCTTTGGAAACTCACTGCTCCACCACATTCTTTGAACCCCTTGCATAAGATGTGCAATAAGAATTGTGATTGTTAGCTCCTAAATGACTAATAAGCATGGTCTAGGCAAGTATCTACTGTGTACTTCTTTCTGAACGCGCAACAAAGCCACAGTCAACCTCACCTGTTGAAGTGTTGTGCTCAAGGGGACAGCCTCCGATACGAGGACTGCCTGGTTTAACTTCCTTTCTACTTGAAATTGCTACATTCAATTCATTGGACCATCTGCCGTTGCGATTCTTGAACATCAGCAACACTTTCAGATATAGCACTCCTTTTCCTGATGCTCTGAAGCCGTGATTACTGATGACTTGAGACCAATACTGACGGTCAACTCGGTCAACATAACTTTCCGTAATTACTGCAATGTTTCTTGTGGCCATTGGAGGCATTCCTATCTCCGTTAGCTAGTATGATGCTATTTTCTTTGTCATGATGGTAGCCAAAATCTAGACAAAGCGATAATATCATCGGCGGCACTGCATCCGACGCCCTCCATGGACTCTCCCCATTCCCATGTCATGAAAGGAATTTTATTTGATGGCTACGCTTTGTTCTTTGAGCACCAGATTTTGATCATTTCCCCCCCTTCTTCCATACTCCCAGTTTCAATTAACGTCACACATATTGAAGCTATTCACGATGTTGTGGACTCCTATCGTATTCATAGTGTCAGTATTACTTAGCTCAACATGGGCAGGTAGCACTTCTTCAAAGTCCGCCGCCAGCACTACCGCGAGCGGGCCGGCTGCAACGCACACATGCTTGGTTGGTGCGGTATGCTATAATCCTGCTTCTTGACACGAGGATTATAATCAAATGCTGACGAATGAACTGCGATTTTAGGATGGATTCAATTTCAGTCCTAACCAAATGTACGCGAAAGTTGGAGATATCATCGGTATGGCTACCAATTTATACAGCAGAGGTTGGGATGGGGGGTTATAAAGGACAACCGCTGATACAAGTCACAGAATATCGGTTCTATCCTTTAAACCACTCAGTGGCAAGAGCAGGTTTTGGAAATAATCTAGCATGTCTGCCCTACGAAGACAGCGGGCAGGGTTTGGTGGGCTTCTGGAGTGACTTTCAACCTGTCGCTGTTGTTCTATCAAATGTGGGTACCTCTTCCTCCTAGCCATGAATCTACTAACAAGAGCCATACATAGCCTCCGATATTTCGATTGCTAATTAATGATACTGAACCCGTATTCTTCTATTGCTCTGCTCCTGGAGCTTGCCAGCAGGGCATGGTAGGAGTCATTAACCCTGTGCGTTGCTCGTCCCTCATTTTTCTATACCCAAGCTAACTCTGCTCTAGAACTCGAGCTTCACCTATCAAGACCAGCTCGCATATGCCTTGAACACATCCATTTCCTTCAGTCCCCTCCAATACTTCCCTCCCGAAGTAGCAATAACACGAAGTACCACCGCCACAGGCGCAACCATGACGCCTACGCCCGTACGCACAAACTCACCTCCCACTGCTCCCACCTCCAAATCCTCTCTCTCCACCGGCGCCATCGTGGGGATTGTTATAGCAGGAATCATCGTCGTGCTCTTAGCCGCAGCCCTGCTCTACACATGCGGTCGACAAAAGACCCTAGGCGAGATCCTTCGACGCTCGCACACCCCCGCACCGAATACATACCAGCCCACCACTCCCGGCATCTCCGAGGTCACCTATCCGAATATCCAGAAACAGCGCTTGGCTTCTGATATCATGAGCGGGCAAGCCGGTACCAGAAATGTTGCTTACGCACAGGGTACTGAAGTGGATAGTTATCGTAGTGGCAACCCTCTGGGCAATGAGAGGATCATGACGCACAATGTCATGAATCAAGGAGGGTTCATGAATGGACACTCGACTCCAAACAGTCCGGACCAGGCGGCTCCGAGCCCGCTGTATACTCCTCCGCAACAGGAGATGGTCCATGGAGGGGGGTTGAGGTATGTTGGTAGTAGTTGCCCGTCAGTCTCCTTCTTCTAACTCTTCATGCACCATATTCTCTCCCTAGATCTCAAGATTTCGATCGAGATCCATGATGCAGAATGAATACAATAAGATCAAATGGAAGCTAATTCACCGTAACAGACCCTATAATCCGTACCCACTGGCTGAGGAATCAGGCCCGCACGAGCTGCCAGCTAACTCCATAAACCCTCGTGATCTCAGACCATCGATTCCGTACTCCCCAAAACCATTCTCCTTTGCAGAAAGCGAGAGCGGGTATCGCAGGGACGAGAAGATTGATAACGCGTTTTGATTAAGAAATGGCTAGGGATGCAGAAGAACGAGAAGGCCTGCTTCGAGATATCATAGGGATATTCCAAACTCTTCGGGAGATTTATCGAGTCCCAAGGCGCTACTGCTCTTTATTTTTCATACAAGAGAGCCATCTCGCCCACTATGGCTACAGATATTCTTTTCTTTTTTTCCTCTCTTTTCTCTCTCTCTCTCTCATTTGTATGTATGTATATAAATAACACTATGACTTATTTACCTCTCGAGTGACATCTGGTTTCCTCAGGATGTGAAGCTAGGACACGAAAAACTTCCCATCGACGCATATTGAAGTCGAGAGCTTTATACTACCTATATTATATTGTATTGTATTACCGTGATCCAACATCATCTACCGCTATCTCCAGGTTATGAGAAGATAGAGGCGGCCTGCAAATGAGTTTGTGAGGCGGCAATCAAACAAGATATGTAAAAGGGAAAGGAAATGACGGCTCTTCTTTAGAGTTCATATAAGTGGGTATACAATGAGTGCTGTGCTAGGATTAGAAGACAGATTCATTGCTCCTTTATGAGAATCTGAGAAGTGTGATATCGGGTGATACAAGGTCAGCTGCATGCTGGATATCACCTTAAGGTAGCGAAGGCGGGGAGTTATCTCTGAGACTATTCAAAAGGAGGCTTTTGAACTTGCGTTTGGCGGAAAGATGCAGAATTTTTTTTTTTTTTTTTTTTTTTTTTTTGCAATAAATGAAACGGGAAGAGAGAAGTGTCAACAACAATAGTGCTGAAGAGCGCGCCATCGAATACCTGGAGATCTGCTGGAGAGAAACAAGGAGCTGGTCCAGAACGACGGGAGGGGAAACCGCTCACGTGACGCCGATATAAAAAGGGGCCGGCGGCTACACTCCCTCACTTACCTACTTACCTACCCAAATCCCGACCTTTTAGGATATTTTTACTCGCTCTCCACAGCACGGGACATCAGTTCCGAGCTATCGATAAGCACTTTGCAATAATAATGGCGCGTTATGGCGGAGGCAGATATAACAGATGTACTACTGTAGCCCCATCTTCGGCAGATGTGGGTCTTGCTCAAGAACAAATGAGAACCCTTGTCGTTTCCCGGCGCGATAGCGCATCTTTACTACATCGGGGCAGTTCTTCTCGTACGGGGTAGGCCGTCCGGGCGAGGGGGTTGAGTCGGGCAAGTCGCCAACGACAGACATGGTGCCAGAGATAAGTACGCAGTACTGTAGGTTGGAAATCTTGTTGCTATTAGGTAAAGAGGCAAGTTAAGGTTCCCCATGTTTGAGCTGCGTCGTCGCTATTTATGTAGATGTCTCCTCTCTTCTCTGATCTCTTCCTGGACGTTTGGTCTCTTCCTGCTGCTGTGCTTTCGTTTTCCGAGAGGGCATTTCATTGTTATTTGTTATCGGTACTGTGATATCTGGTTGTCTCCAGAAAAGGAGGAGATCAAGTGGATCGAGTAACGATGGCTGCGTTGGAGAAGTCCCAAGATGCGGTGTTGGACCAGGAGAAAGCCACGGAGTTAAGTAGGGATGCTACGCTTGAGGGTGGCGAGGTCAAGGATGCAGCGTTCATACATGCTAATCCTGCTGATGGAGACGAGGCGTGGGTTTCTCTCCTTTCTCTACCATCTCTGAAATGTTTCTTTTGAATGGGCTCCTGGGGCTGCCAAAGATGGCGGCCGAAAACGTCACCCGGCTCTTGTTTTCCATCTTAATTCTTGGATTGAGAAATATTGACTCCCAAATCTTATAGACTCAAGGCTTTCGCTGGCCATGATGGAGAGGGTGTCGTCATAACTCCTGCGGAAGAGAAAAGGCTGCTGAGAAAGATCGACTTCAATTTGATGCCCGTACGAATCCCCAATTTCTGATTTCTATGGCACACTCATTAATCATCCAATTGCGCAGATGCTCTGCGTTGTATATGGCCTCAATTATCTCGACAAGACCACTCTGTCATATTCCAGTGTCATGGGTCTGCAGAAGGATATCCATCTGCATGGTACCAATTATCAATGGCTTAGTTCACTCTTCTACATCGGTTACTTAGCGTGGGAATGGCCAACGAATCGACTCCTCCAGCGGTTACCGCTTGCCAAGTGGTCCTCCTTCAATATCATAATGTGGGGTTTGACACTTTGCTGTATGGCAGCGACGAAGAACTTCGCCGGAGCCGTAGCAGTACGCTTCTTTCTCGGTGTTTTCGAAGCCGCCGTCACACCTGGCTTCGCGCTTTTCACTTCACAGTGGTATACGAAAGAAGAACAAGGAACAAGAACAGGGATTTGGTTCAGCTTCAACGGTTTCGCTCAGATCCTTGGTGGCTTGGTCGCATACGGCATTTCCGTCGGGGTCAAGAAACACGGTGCCTCGATCGAGTCGTGGAAGATCATTTTCCTGGTAATCGGGTTGGCCACTGCAGCCGTGGGATTTCTTTTCTTGTACTTCATGCCCGACAACCAGCTCAACGCGAGATTCTTGAAGCCCGAGGAAAGGTTGATGGCATTAGAGAGAATCAGGAGGAACCAGCAGGGGGTGGGTAACAAGCATTTCAAATGGTATCAACTGAGGGAAGCTTTGCTGGATCCGATGACCTGGGCATTCTTTGCCTATGCTTTGATCGGAGATATTCCAAACGGTAAGCAAGCTCATCACACGTCATGCACTAGCAACTAACGGTTTTCAGGTGGGATTTCGAATTTCTTCTCACAGCTCATCGTCTCTTTCGGCTACACACCTGACCAGTCTCTCCTCTACGGCACTCCTGGCGGAGCCGTCGAGGTTGTGACTCTGATCGTTTGTGGCTACCTTGGAGATAGATATAAAAATCGTGTCTTGGTGGGATTGTCGGGAATGTTTCTCTCCATCCTTGGCATGCTCCTCATCGTCTGCCTCCCACTGTCCAATGCCAAAGGTCGTCTGGCGGGATACTATCTCACGCAATCCTCGCCCACAGGTTTCGTGGCCCTTCTATCTCTCCTATCCAGCAACGTTGCTGGTTATACGAAGAAGACGACAGTCGCGGCGCTGTACTTAATGGGCTACTGCGCAGGAAACATCATTGGACCTCAAACGTTCCAACCGAAGGACGCACCTCGATATGTACCAGCCGAGATCACGATTATTGTTTGTTGGGGTGTATGTATCCTTGATATGCTGTTCATTTATTGGTATTATAGACGGATGAATAAGAAGAACGAAGAGATAAGAGCTGCTCCGGGATATAGGAAGTTGGATAAGCAGGAATTCCTCGACTTGACCGATAAGGAGAATCATGAGTTTGTATATACTCTTTAGGTAGATTTGGATATAAGGGTTGTAGACTTAGTGAGTTTTCCAGGCCATACCTCTTGCACTTGTCACAGAAATACGTGTGGAGGGATATTCATGTAAGCAACAAATACAGAGAGCAAAAGGAAAGATCCGCTCCGGTAAAGCAACCTCGCGGGTATCAAAGTTCACAGCTCTAACTCTAGGCCGTCTCTTGAGTCCTGACTCCTGATCCTGGAGATTGGGTCCGCCTGCAAAACCCGTACTATCCTCTGCTACAACTCAGAGGGTCAACGACTGTCCTAGTCACTCGAAACTGTACAGCCGTTGCGTGTGTAGGTATGGAGGTATGAGAGTATGAGAAGCGTCGGCAGTGAATTGAAAGCGCCCTACCTCAAAAGGGAATTGGTGGACAGCCCGCCTAATAATACGCTACGCCAGAATAGTACTGGCTCGCAGCCACGCCTAAACAGGTTTAGTCCTAATTTCTAGGGCACCTTGCCTTGCCTTACCTTGCCAGCCTTGCCTTGAGGCTTGCCCTTACCTTACCTTACTACCTTACCTACTAATGGCCAAAAGTTTAACATACCATGCCCTGATATCCAATAATCTTACATACCCTGTTTGCCGCTGTTTTAACACAGCCAATAGGTAAGTAGGATTTGAGTCCTTTACTGTCGCTATGGCTATTGCTGTCGCTGTGGCTATAGAGACAGTGATTGTGACAGATACAGTAATTGTACCCGCTGACATTATCACAGGGACTCCTACCACTACAATTGACCCTCTTCTTACAGAATGTTCGCAAGGTCATCAGCAGCACAGTCCACAAGCATGTCTGCCAGCTCTGCCCCTTCAAACTTAGGAGCCCAGGCCGAAGTCATGCCCGTCCCGCCGTCTGCTGACCTGGCCCTCAGCAAGACCCACCCGCCTGTGGCGTTTACCACAATGAAAGAGATGTGGGAGTTGGTCTCATTCCAGTACAAGATTCTAGACCAGGGGGGCGAGAATCAGTACCTCGCTTTCGCTCGCGCAACGCCTGCGCAGTTCGAGAGCATTGAGAAGCACAGGACCGAGTTGCGTTGCCATGTCCGCTTCACCTATTTTGCCGACATCGAGACACTGATCGTTAAGCTTCCAGGGATGGCTCACGAGACAGCGCACAGAACCTTTGCACAGCGTCTTCAGACCCGTATAGTACAGATTGGGATCGCGTTTGACGAATTCGTTGACTTGGGAGCATCGAAGTATCGTTCGCAACACAGGTCTTCGAAGGAAGCTGATTCTTCCTGGTTGAATCAGCGCATCAGATCATCGCCGGAGGCTTGGCCATCCTTAGTTGTCGAGGCTGACATGCCCGAATCAATGCTAAGATTACGTTCGGGTGCTAGGTGATGGTTAGAACACTCCAACAGGAAAGTTAACATCGTTCTGTTGATTCGGGTTCAGCCCACTAGTAGAAGGATTAAGATCGAGAAGTGGGAACCGGGACAGGCTCCTACTACGAGATCAAGTGCTCGCCTCAATCCATCAAACGCCTATCCTGTACAAACGGCCACATTAGACATCGATCCAGGACTTACCGTCACCGGCGCACCTTTGGTTCTCGAATTTCAAAAGATATTTGACCGCCCCCCCGTCCCACCCACCGAGCGCGATATTGTATTCACCGCTCGAGATCTTATAGACTGGGCCGGATTGATTTGGCAAGGGCTGCCCTAGGTGACACAGGCGCTCTTTGCGTGGTCTATAGGTGCGGAATTGTGTGGACCTAGCACATTGTTGCTTTATTGCAACCTAATTTCTTCGATTCTTGACGCGTTATGCGACCACTTGTTGATACCCCTTTGACACACTTCACACACAGTTTTTTGCTTTACTCTTCATGGCTCGGTATTATGGCAGCGAGGGCGCTGACCTTTTGTCTCTAAAAGGGGGGACGGCACTGGCGTGGCATCACACTCTAGAAGGAATGGCAGGCACACACGTGCACTGGAATACCCGGATGTAAACAGAGAACAGTCTAGATACAATAGGACAACCTTCATATTCCAACCATACCGTGCGATTGCACTAACAAATTCTGGTCTAGTTTACAGTTCAGCAATCAAGCAAAGCCCCTTTTACCAATAATTCTCGCATCGAGATTTGGGGCTGGTGGGGACTCGTTGCAGCGTTGCGGTTGAGATTTCATATACTCCTTTCTGTTTGCATTCCTTGGCAAAAAGAGAATAAATCACACGCAGTAGTCTAGAGAATGAACAATTGAACTTCTAGCTATCTCGTTTTTCAGAGGAGCTAAAGCGTCAATCACCGATTGATTCATAACTCAATAACTCAATGAAAACTGTGGATCATGGAGATGCTAGTTATGCTAAGCTACATCTATTAAAAACCCAGCGATGATTCTCAACAGCGCAGTAACTCATAAAGCCAGCGCTTGGTTCAGGTCTATTTCCAGCCCGACAGAGAGTTGAGGCACTTGAGTGTAATTAGATTGCCGCAGGACGGTCCTGGTATCTTGCAAAGTCTTCGATCCGTTAGAATTTCGATATCCCTGGAAATTCTAAGGGTATGGATAATTTCCTTACCTGGAGGTATGAAGGATTAGGGTTCTGTTTCATGATCTCCAAGAAAGCCCAGGACATAGCACCTTCGTTCATCCCATTGATATTAGCATCAGCACTTGTCTGATCGTCTCGACAACCCGAGAACATGGTGACCATTTTTTGCTCTTGTGCATAGGCGGCATAGTTATCATCCTCATCTAGACCAGCAGGTTGGGATTCTCCCATGTGCTTCAAGCTGCGGAAGAATGATGTAGCACCAGCGTAGAGGTCCCGAGCTTCGGCTAATTTATTGAAGCTGAATCCTCCTTGAAATATATCGTTCGCTTCAGCCATGAGGTGAATGCCTTCCTTGAGATTGTCTATAACACTGACATTCCCGTAGTCGTCACTGCGGTATACGAAAGGCAGTTCCAGAGCGGATCCTGAGTGACAGCAGTCTAGAATGACAAACAAAGTGCTGCTTGGCGGCAGGCGCGTCACTAGATGGTGGTGGAGGGTATCGCTGTCAATCTGGCCGCGGGTCTCAAAGTCCACTGGACAAATGGTATCGATCAGGCCTGAGGGTCGATTTCCAGTCGGATCTGGGACCTGACTACCGTGCCCAGAGTAATGCAGGAAATTGCAGGTCCCAGGCTCGCACACCAGCCAATCCATGGCCGCCTTTGGCTAGTCAGCAAATATCAAGAACGGCGGCTCGGTGGATTTTACGAGAATATTGTGCCCACTGGGGTAATATTGGTCTGGCATATCATCGCGGAGAATCACTTGCGAGGTTGGATCACTGGAGTAGCCCCGGTAGCTCAGGAATTCTGCAACGTTCTCCACATCTTGATGGCAGCCACGGAGCTCATGCTCGCTGCCGATGTAATTGATGCCGATGAGGAGGGACTTCTTCCGAGGCATGATTGAAAATGGCAATACAGAACTTTGCGGACCACGGCAGCTAACCACCAACAATCAACTGGAGATATATGGTATATGCACTGTGAGGAGGGGTCGGAGAACACGGAGTATGTTGTTTTCCCCTTTGTTAGTAAGCGATGCGGGCCCTGCAGATCTCCCGCTGTGTCCCTGGGCTAAACCTCGGTTCAGCTTCCTCCCCTCCACTTACAGTGTATTTCAGTCTTCAGGTAACGTCCCATACCTTTTAAAAAGTATAGCAGATCTCTACAAACAACGTAGACATGTTTGACTACAAACGCAATGGGGGCCTGGCCTCTGTTATCCAGCTGCTACGTCCAAGCAAGCGGCAATGCTTTATGCAGCCAATGACTATATGCGCGCGCCGGATTCACCACCCATTCCAGCTTGTATCTCTGATGCACTTATTAACAAATCTGAGGTATCTCCTCGTCAAGCTGAATATCGCAAGGAAGTTATGACCACTAATCTGGCTATCAGGTATCAACAGTAAACCAATTATTCACAAGAAGTGAGCACTTGCCCAACAGGAGATGGGAGAGAAGAAGTTGGCACTGGCCTCCCGGCACCACAGAAATGCAGTTGGTATGGAATAGCTCCACCAGCGGAGCTTGCACATGAAAGCTACCAGCGCCCAGTCATCTCGCGATTCGTTGCTCTCTTCCGGTAATCGAAATTTGTTGACGCATGGTGTCCATTGATCCGATGCCCTTTCTCTTCGATTCCGCAGTTCGGATTACCCCGAGTCACGAATGAATGAACTCGAAAAAGACTATCAATGAGTGAATATATCAATAGTAATTTCCACTACCTGAATAATCAGCTTTAGTGCCTGGGAAAGCTCCAGCGGGAGCTCGATCTTCTTTATCGTCATCAGAGCTTTCATCGCTTCCATAATCATCCGCCCGATCTGGCGGTGCACGCATACTTTCCAGTATCTGTGAGTCGAGAGTTGGTGGTATGAAAGGCTTCAATGAATGGATTTCGCGTCCCGAGGGCATTGTGGCCATCAGCGGTCCAATTGGTGGAATAGATTGCGTGTTGACCTGCATTCTTTGTCAGTAGGGGCTCAATTGAGAAGGACAAGAACATACAGTATCATTCATCTTGGTCCACTTGGCATCCAGCATATCCAATACTCTCCCTTCTTCCAACCTTCCCGCATCAGACCCCCAAGCCGCACCCTTCTCAATCTTCCTATCCTCCCTTCTCTCCGTCCATTCTTTTTTGAGCCTCCCAAGGCTTAGCCCTTTCTTACCTCCGTCATCTTTCGACGAAAGTCCGAGTTCGTGCTTTCCAGCTCGCAACCACGCGATTCCCGCCCCAGTCTGACCACCTAGTTCTGCATCAATGCCAAGAAATCTACAGGCCTTTCCTCTGCCAGTCCTTCGCAGATCGTCCACATATCTCAACAGCTCCGGGTTTATTTTGCCTTGACCCTTGGCGCCCAGCAACGACTTTGCTTTTGCTGCATGCTCGGCTGCTGCAAGACATAGACGAGCGAAGAGATGTGCTTTGACTTTGGGAATCTCGGGTGCCTTAATCATCCATTCCTTATCATTCTGATTTCGGTCCTGTGCAACAGCAGCCGGGTAAGGATCATCCTTCAGTACAGCAAGCAGAGTGGCTTCAGCCAGTGCAAGAGACGCAAGAGCTCTAAATGTTGATTTTGTGATGTCAATACAAGGTGGTTCTGAGGATACTTGATCCGAGCGAGTCGCGAGATAATCATGGATCGATGCTGCCAAAAGAAGGTTTTTCGAAGCTGTAGTGATGTAACTCGTGCGCTGCTCTGTGCTGGGTGATGCGGATGCGGCCGAGTATAGGGGATGTAGAGATGCACGTGAGAGCAGAGTATGTGTATATGCGAGTGTCGATAGAACAAAATAGATTTCATATTCGATTGATTGGACTTTCAGCCGTGGAGCCTCACGTCCAGGTATACCAGTGTCTGAGAGGGTAGGCCTCCATTCCAGCAGTGGCGTTGATTTCAGAACAACATCTACCTCATCTCCAGCAACTTGCTGACTGCTCAGCCCAGCATCAACCGCCAAGAGATATGGGATATAGTTATTTAGGCTGAGGAGTATGGCCGAGAGTTTCGATGATTGTTCAGATGGTGAGAGACGCTTGTATTCCTTCAATGCATCACGCAGGACCCCACGATACGTACTGGCGGATAATGGAAGGGATGGATGTGAATCACTGCTGAAGTGCGAAGAGAACGAGAAGGACGAGGTGGTTGGAAGTGTCAATGGAAAAGGCATGATGGCGAAGCTCGATCAGACTGTGATCGTGGCCGTGGTAGGTGAGTGCCAGTTGGATGGTTCAGCTACGATTGGACTTTGGACTGTACGCCGGGTGAAACCACTTGGCTCTGTTCGCAAAACATGTTGGTAGACAAGAGGTGTATGGAGCAGTAAAGCAAGCCTTGGCGACGCGAGGCTGAGGGTCGGGTTAGCCGGCTCTGGGGTGGTTCTAGAAGCGCCCCTTTACGTCACAGGTTCGGTGGGGGGTTTGCTGTTAACTATTGTCAGAATCGAACGTTGAACAGCAGATTAATACAGGAATGAGTTGGAAGGAGAACAGGTACGCGGGGTTCAACCCGGATGCGCAGTCTGACAAGAAGAACGCCGGATCGCTTGACGAGAGTATGTAGCGGCGCGAATGCTGATGGAAGTGCTGGGAGGGCAGAAGGAGGAATTGCGGTTTGAGCGTGCGCAAGACAACATGGAGAGTCAAAGTTTGAATACCCTACTAGTTAGGTATATATACCTGCCTATCCTGCGCGCTGATGGTCGCAGAGGCTGCGGTGTTTGCATGATATGTACAGAACCCATCCATCCATCCAACGCCGTCGCAATGCTTCTCGATGAAATATGCGCCAACTAAAATTCCATTTCCTCTATGGGAGATTCTCCCAAGGAGCTCAAAGCGGATGATTGTCGGCGTGATGATATATCGGGTGTGGGATTCGAAGACGTCTTCAACCTCTTTGCCCATTCCTGCACACTGCTGATTTCTCCACCTTCAACTTTGATTGTTCGAGGTTCGGCAGGCTTCCCCAAGATCGTTCCGGTATATCTCGAATCTTCATCTGTGGCGCTATGCTTCTTCTTGAGAACTGCAAAGTATTAGAAGAAGGACGCGATTGCGGTGAGGAGACAAACCAGTCAAGTAATCCTCCTTTGCTCCATCTCCACCCTCCAGCGCAACCCTTCGGATCTCACGATTTGCCTTCCCCGTAGCCCATGCCAAAAAAGCGTCTACGCCTCTAGTATCCTCTTCGCCGTCAAACTCCTGGTCCTCTAAAACCTTTTCTGGCACCAGAAGAGCGCAGTCTTGCATGGCCATTCTGACATCTTGGATCGTGATCTCCAGCCCAGTGTGATTGATTGCTGCATGGCTGGCAGTAGATTGAGCAAGCGCATACATGTACCGTGCAGCGAGATCTGTGAAGGCGTCTAGTACGGAGGGACGTGTTGAATGATAGCCTGCTGCTCGTAGGATATGGAGAACACATGGACGTAGGAGGGAGTGATGAAGAGCTTGTGGAGTCGTCATTTTGCTTGTCTGAGGGCGGCAGACAACTCAAGGTCAAGGTGTTATGTAGGTAGAAGACTTCATGGCCAGAACAAAACAAAGGCGCGAAGATATTGCTGCGTGAAAACCAGGACTGTCATCTCCAAGGGCGAAGTGAATCGTACCGAATAGGTGAAAGCACTACTGGCCTCTCGCGCTAACCCGACCGCATTTACTGGGGCGATATCAAGAGCCTCCCGCCGCGGCTCTACTACCAGGAACCCTCACACACTTCGCACTCCGACACTTCGACTCTTCGACACCTCTTGGATTGATAAACACAGAGCGATATCTCTAACCAGCGATACCTCTGTACTGCCAGTCCTCTGTTACCAATCGCACCTATCCATGTGTGCAACTATCGCGCCTCTGCAAACATGAGTGGCATCAAGTTGAAGTTGAATACCAGCAACGTCCAGCGAGCCCCCGCTGCCAACACACCTCTGCCCTCTTCCAGCGCACCTCCAGCCTCTGCCAAAGCCTTTGGGGCATCTGCGCCAACACCCGGAGGTAGCAGACCGAAGCTCAAGATCACCAACAACTCAAATCCTCCTACTCCAGCTCCCGTCGACGATGCTGCCAAACCCAAGAAAACGAAGGCAGGGAGAGCTACGAAACCCAGTGCCAAGATCCTCGAAAGTAGAAAACGTTTCAAAGAAGAAAGCGATGAAGAAGAAGAGGGATCTACCATAAATGTGCAGCCGCCGCCATCAAAGAAGATCAAAATACAATTGGGACTTGGAGCCAAGACCCCTACTACACCCGTCGTCCTCAAGGCAAAGGTCAAGGGCAAACCTCCTAAGAGGGCGCTGGGAGAGGGGTATGATTCGGAAGCTAGCGATCGCGAGATTGATCCAGCTATCGAGGAGGAATTCATTTTACGAATGTATCCAGGCGAGGACTGCGAGTATATGCAGAGGATGATCGCGGAAAAGAAGATAGGCATCCCGAAACAATTAGGCGGAGCGGACTTTCACATGAAATTCTTCCACTCAGAAGGTAGACGAGCAGCAGTCACAGTTCGTGGCCATCCATACGCAGCTACGCTTGTTGATCTACCGTGTATCATTGAGGGCATGAAGAGTTGGGACAAGAGAGGCTGGTGGAAAAGTGCCGATATCTGTCAGATGCTGTGGGTATTTGCACCTATCAAAAAGGAAGAGGAAGCAAAGACCATTCCACTACCCAAGATCATCGACCCAGAGACATTTCAATATCCTCATGGTCTCACACCGCCGATGTACTTTGCGCGCAAACGCCGTTTTCGAAAGAGGATCAGCAGGACTGCGATTGAGGCTGTGGAGGAAGCTGTCGAGAAGTTACTACAGGCCGATGCACAAGCGCAGTCTACAAGGTTCGAGATGATTGATCCTGATCAAAGGGAAGACGGAACGTTTAGTGAAGATGGCAGTGAAGATGGCTATGGAGAAGAATATGACGAAGACGAAGACGCGGAGGGAGAGGTGGATGATCATAACTACTTTAGCACTATGCACCATACCAACGGAGCTGGTGCGGCAGCGATGGATGATGACTTGGATGCTGATCTTGAGGCGGACCTGGAGAAAGCTTTCGACGAGGAAGCCTTCTCTACAGCTGGAGCGACACCATCCATGCAAATCGAGACGCCGGCGGCCGTGGAGGAAGAAGATGACGAAGATAGCGGAGACGAGTCTTTGGAAGGGGATAAAGACGAAGATGACGATGGTGGTGTTGTGGAGGTGGACGAGAATGAAAGGGCACGCCTGGCTCAGCTCCAGGGTACGAAGGAGGATATTGCCGACCTGGAGAGACAGATTGTTAGTGTGCAGGCTCAGCATGCTCAGCAGGTGAACCCGATTTTGAGGAAACGGTTGGAAGACAATATCAGAAAACTCAAGGCGGAGCTTCAGTTGAAGAAATCTTCTATCGGAGAGGCTGAGGATGATTGAGTGGATGGCTTGACATCAGAAGACCTGGGTCTTCCTAACGGAATCAAGAATCTGGCTGGCCTCGATCCCAAAGGGACAACAATAGCTATAGGTTCAGATACGGCCGGAGACATATCGGAATATAGTAATGGCTAAATTGCTTAGAGTGGCTGCAGGACACAAGCTTTACTTGCAGAGCAGTCATATAATACACATGTTCCCCAATTTTACATACAATATACAGTGATATATGAATTCTCCCCACTCCATTCTCATTTCCTCTTCCCGACCCCTCATAACCCTTATCACATACTCTTCAAGAAGTTCTTCTCCTTGATGCTGCTCCTACGTTCCTTTCTCATATTAATTCTCAACTCTTCCCTAGCACGCCCGGCCTCCATGGCCCCTTCCACTGTCCCCGTCTCATTAGCTGGCAGATCAATACTCTGTCTCGTGACCGGAATCTTTTCTTCTATAACCTCGCCGGATAGACGCAATTTTTCTTCTAACTTCCGTTGGCGCTTTGCTGCTTTACGGCGGAGCTTTTTCGATTTCGCTGGGAGGTATTAGCAATAGGGATCATAAAACATGAAATAGGAAGAGGAGTCAAGCAGGAAGGGAGGGGGCGAAAGTGAGGGCGAAGAAGAGAGCGGGGGTATGCATACAGAATTCATCACCAGCAGAGTCGTCTAAGTCGTCCACGGCCTTCTTCTGATCCAGACAAGTCCACAACCATTCCGGGTACTCGTGTTCTTCGAGGGCCACTGGGTCATCACGGCCTTTTATATAGTTGAGGCCTTTGAGCGGTGTCCCAGCAGGCACAGAGGAGACTGGGAGTGGTGTGGAGCGTGCTTTGGGTCGTTGGGTTGTCCCTGAGGGCTCGAGTGGGTTGGAGAAGGGCTGTGCGACACCGGTTGATGTCGCGGCGGCTGCGGAACTGGGAGTGGGCGTCGAGGAGATGAAGCGGAGGGGTTTGTATTGAACGCGTAGAGCGGATGCTCGACGGAGGCACTGCCGGCAGATCATGACTGTGGTGTAAGGAGTGCTTTGGACCGTCTGGATGAGAGGACGTTGCTTCGCAGCTGGGAACTTTTTCGAGGTATTCTGGGGGCCGAGACGTGCCAATGACGAAATTGGTATCAGAATCTACCTACCTAAGGTACAGTATCGTCGAACGGGTCCCGGGGCTGTTACAAATTTCACCAGGGCGGAAGTTGGGCCATAACTGCTTTGTACACGTTTACTATTTACAATAGAAGAAGTGATTCCATTTTGAATCCAGTAAGTTGGCTCCTGGATGTGTTGACCGCAGAGCCGGGCATCCCCCTCCATCCGGACATGCCACCAGTACCTGCTACCAGCTTCAAACAAGAAATTCCAGAAATTATCCCTAGGCATCCCATGGATCACTTTCGGCTCGTCTGAGTTCCTTCTATTCTTTCGAGATGTAATTTTGTTGCTCGAACAAGTATCCGCGAACCTTCGATTCCTTCAAGAGCTCAAAGTATCGTTCTGTAGATGGCTATATCAGCGCCGTTCCGTGCAATTTATGGCCCAATGAAACAACACTCATGATGTATAATACGAAAAACTGCCCAAAGAGCGCAAAGGGGATGTCCTCGGAAGCTTACCTCGCAATGCTCCGCACTTCTCCAAATGGTTGACACCTTCCTTATAATAGCACTTCCCGAGCTCGTCTCTAACCAATCGCGCCATCATGCTCCTAACCCATTGCTCTCTTATGATGGCATCCTGCGCGGCCTTCAGTCTTGGTGTATCATCGTAGTCAACTCCGTCGAACGTAGGAGGAACTTGGGGTTTCTTGGCCAGGAAAGCTTCGGATTCAGGAGTGGGTGCCATGGCGATGAATGGCAATCGTGCTCTCAATAAGCTGGATGATTGAGGGAATCAATTGGTGGTCGTGACAAAGATGGACGCTGGATTCACAACCAAGAGGCAATTGAGTGAAGCTCCGGAAGTCCAGGTCACGTTTCGTGAGGTTCGCTGAGGCTCATATTTCCTGCCTCAGTCCACAAGGCAACAATAGACAGCGCGTTGAACTTTGCGCGGGTAGCGACGTTAGCGCAACGCTAAGTTATGATTTAGCGCCAGAAAAAAATCAAGATAAGAAAAAATCTCCCACCGCCTCCAGTATTTATTTGCATCCGCCTCCCAACCACCTTCGACCTTTCTTCGTCCTTTCACACTTCGCACTTTACTTTCGAAAAGTCCTTTCGAACTCAATCCATTGTTTTACATCTCTCCTACCCTGCACATACATTCACATAATCAAAATGGGAAAGACCAAGGAACCCAAGACTGGAAGCAAATCCAAGTCTGAGGTCAAATCTCTCTCAGCTGTCAAAAACGCGTCGGTGACTAAACCTTCTCAGACTCCCAATGCCAAGTCCAAGGCGATCGCCAAGGAGACTGCCTCCAAGGTCAGCGCGAAGAGCAAGCCTGTCAAGAAGGCCCCTACTCCTTCATCCGACTCGGAATCCAGCGAGAGCGAATCTGGATCCGACTCTTCATCTGAGACCGAGGTTAAGGTTACAAAGCCTGCCAACGGAAAGGCCGATGCAAAGGCCAATGGCAAGACCAACGGCGCCGCCAAGAAAGAGGTAGATACCTCTGAATCCTCGAGCGAAAGCTCGTCCTCCAGCGAGAGCGAAAGCGAAAGCGAGAGCGAGAGTGACAGTGATGAAGAGATGGAAGATGCTGATTCTAAAAAGCCCGCACCTGCGTCTGACTCCGACTCCGACTCCTCCGACAGCGACTCAGAGAGCGAAGAAGAAGCTGCTCCTGCCAAGAAGGTGAACGGTGCTGCTAAGGCAGCTGCTAAGGCCACTGTAAGTAACTCCTTCATTGCGTCCTGGTTCACTGCTGACCTATATATAGAAGGAATCCGATGATGAGGAAGACTCTGACTCCGACTCCGACTCCGACTCTTCTAGCGCGGACGAGAAGGCTGCTGAGGCATCCAAGGATGACGATAGCAGCGAGGGTAGCGACTCCGAGAGTGACTCCAGCAGTGACAGCGATAGCGAGGAGAAAGCCGAAGAGCCGTCCAAGAAGCGCAAGGCCGACGCAGAGCCCGAAGCTCCCACCAAGAAGGCCAAGGTCGAGACCAACGGCGAGGGCGAAGGTGTTAAGAATCTGTTTGTCGGTAACTTGAGCTGGAACGTTGATGACGAGTGGCTGTACCGCGAGTTCGAGGAGTTCGGTGAGCTTACCGGCGCTCGTGTCGTGACTGACAGGGAGTCCGGCCGCTCCAAGGGTTTCGGATATGTTGAGTTTGCCAACGCTGCTGATGCAGCTAAGGCTCTTGCCGCCAAGAAGGAGAGTGAGATTGATGGCCGTGTCCCCAACATCGACTTTGCTACTCCCCGTGACAACGCCGCACCAAAGGAACGTGCCAACAACCGTGCGAAGCAGTTCGGTGACTCCAACAACCCACCTTCTGATACTCTCTTTGTTGGCAACCTTGCCTTCGAGGCTGACGAGAACATGGTTGGCGAGGCATTTGGCGCCCATGCTAGCGTCTTGAACATTAGACTCCCAACTGACCAGTAAGCACTTTCAACATTACATTCCATCTCATTCCTCGCATACTAACAGCCTTGCAGGGAGACTGGTAACCCCAAGGGCTTTGGTTACATTACCTTTGCCTCCGTTGACGATGCTAAGGCCGCATACGATGCCATGCTTGGTGCTGAGATTGGTGGCCGGACTGTCAGACTCGACTACGCTACACCCCGTGATAACAGCGGTGGTGGACGCGGAGGCCGTGGCGGACGTGGAGGCTTTAATGACCGTGGACGAGGAGGCCGTGGTGGACGTGGCGGATTCAATGACCGAGGACGTGGAGGTCGCGGAGGTGGTCGTGGTGGCCGTGGAGGCAGCACCAACCGTGGGGGCTTTGGAGATTTCCAAGGCAAGAAGCAGACTTTCGAATAAGTCGCTGATGGCAATGCCGAGGACGCATGCCTGCCGCACACAAAGCCTCATTCTTGAGGCTTGATACACACACTGTGGGAAGATGGCTTAGTGGGTTGTGGGCTCTTGACTTCGACTCCTTATGGAGTTTGTGGGCTTTGAGATCAATTTTCCTGTGGGCTTGACAACACATGTGGGCTGTGGGCTTGTGGCTGGGCTTCTAGCCGTCTCCATCATGGGGGCTACTTTTTGATATGACGCTTTGCATTGTGGGCGTTTGGAGATCACCAGTGGGCTTTGACATACTACGAAGTCGAGATGAACCTTCTTATATCTCATTCTTCTGGATGGGATATCTTGGAGTGGATCGAGCTTCATGTGGGCTTCCCGAGGGCATGGCATACAAAAGTTCTTGTTTATTTCCTTTTCACCGCGCTGGATATAGCGTGCGAGTGATATAGTCTCACCGCCAATACGCCGCCGGACCTGTAGCATATGGTGAGTATCCCTTGCAGTTATTCTTGCAGTTATTCTTGCTATTTGCAAATCATCTCATAATGGAATACCAAACCTAAAATCCGAATATGCAAAATGGACGTGATTGTGAACTGCCCCGAACTGTCGCGCCGAGACTGCGGGACCGGCCTTCTCACTAAAAGGAAGACAAGACAGGTCCTCACACGAGCGCAGATCCCAAAACCCCAGGCCAACCTGGGGCGAACGAAGGAGGCCGGGGAGGAAGAGCTGCGTCGAGTATTCGAGCATGACGAAAGATGGCAGCTCCTCTTTTATTGCCACACGTGATCCAATAGACCTGGCGGCTTCGCAGCTCCCGGGCTGAATCAGGGCATTTGTTGAAAAGGGGGGGAATGATCAAAGGATGTTTCGCCAATCATGTTGTGGTGGCAGCCACCATCATCCCATAGCGGGATACGCGGAGAGGAGTGGAATGACCAGGGCACACGAGACCCTGTTTAACTGTTAAGTTGATAGCACGCCATGGGCTGCGCTACTACTAATCAACAGGTAACTAACCATTGTGCGCTTGCTTGCTTGTTTGCTTGTTCACTTTGGGGGGCGAATCCAGTTACTTGTGTAGTATGTAGTAAATACAATATCAAGTCAACCCAAGCATGTAGATGCTGATCATCCTTCAAGAGCCGGGGCTGATAACCGTCGGCACTTGGTGGGTGAGAAGTATGTATGATGGACAATATGGACCATAATGTACAAGTACATGTGCTTGACAATCCTTGGAAATCCCCCTCGATCTTGCGCGCTCTACTGTCGCGTCCTAGGTAGATTCCAGCGTCCAGACCATCCGCGGCACGAGGAATGATGAGTGAGACAGACTTTGACTTTGACTTTGACCCTTCAAGCCTTTCAAGCCCCTTCAACCTCTTCAACCCAACCCAACTCTTCACTCCTCAACTCCATTCTCTACCGGCCCCCTCGCAACCTTCAACAGCCGGAAAATCAACGAGGCACCGTCCTTGACATCCACTTAGATTCCATCGCTCCTCGCTCGTTCCATCCCCACTGCGCTGCCCCACCATCGCGTTGCACTCGTCGTGACGATCAGTGCGTGCGTGCTGCGACTTACGCTTGGCTTTACTCTGTACAGCCCAACGTACTTATCATATCAGTTCATTGCCTGACGCTTCCCACAATCCCAGCCCTCGAGTCTGAGCCTGAGTCTCCGAACCACGGCACCTAGGCCTCTCTCTCCAAGGAGCGGTCTATCGAGCTATCTCCTCTACTGTGCCTACAATACGAAATAATTGCCTCACTTCCTTCTCCTTCTCCTTCTCCTTCTCCTTCTCCTCCTCCTCCTCCTCCTCCTTATCCCAACCCCTCGGAAGAAACCGAGGCTCTTGATAAGGATCTCACCGCTCGACCCCGCTGCTATCATGGCCTCGCAACACCACCACCATCACAACAGCAACAACAACAACTCTCAGAGTAGCCAGAGTCCGCGCACCACAGAATCTATGGCACGCTCGGTTGGCATCCCGCAACGTTTGCGAAATGAGGGTAAGTCGCGCTCTTGTCAAATTCTCCCCAACACTTCTTCTCTAACACCCTCAGAATCCTGGGTCGAGATCTCCTCTCAACCATCCTCCTCCTCCCTCTCCTCTATCGGCGATGAAATCGTAACTACAGGACTACGAGTCCAGCACAACGTCGATCCCCGCCGGCGAAGACGAGGCCCTGGGATGTCACACATGGCTTTGGAGACGAGACACGCGGGGACAAGCAGCCAGGAGGAATACGAAGAGAGCGAGAGCGAGTCCGACCATGTGTTGAGCAGTTCGAATGATTCTACCCACCTCCACGCCGCCCGGCAAGAATATGATGCAGGTTCCTCCGACGAAGAGGATGAAGATGAGAATGCCACCGCTCTTGGGAGACGAACCGATGCAGGAGTTGCTCAAGAGCCGGTCTTCACTCCACAACCCAATGCCTTCTCCCACCCGCCCTCTGTGCCAGGCTCCTATTTCCCCCGTTCCTCGCAGCGCAGTCCCTCGAGGGCTACGTATCCGAACCGATCTGCGTCACGAACTCAACATTCCAGCTACAACCAAGCAGATCACGACGCCGCACTTCGTGCTTCTCTCTCTACTCTCCTCTCCATCGGCGCCGCGGCCGCGAGAGGTCTCCCCAAACGTAACCAAGCAACCACCGCTCCCGGCAGCAACGAGCCCATGTCCCTCCGCTTTGTGCCCGAATCCGAACTAATGCCCACCGCCGCCAACTCCTCCCGGCCCCTCAGCCCCAGCACCCGCGCTCGCTCGAGCCCCTCGATCTCCTCCCAAGAAGCCGTAGCCTTAGACATGAACAAGCGGAAAGCATCAGCCTCGAAGCCGGCGGGGGAGAAGGGCCAGGTGAAGAAGAAGAAGAAAGTTCAGCTAGTGGACGATGCGTTGATCTCCCCCACGCTCCTGACCTGGGTGGTGAGTGCTGGCGTCGTCGTGCTGGTCAGCGTGGTGGGCTTTGGCGCCGGGTACGTGATCGGGCGCGAGGTGGGCCGGCAGGAAGCCCTGAGCGGCCTGAACGGGTCGGCGGTCTTGGATTCGACGAGCTGCGGGAGGGAGGTCGCTCGGGGTGGCTCTGGAAGCCTGCGAAAGTTCCGGTGGGGCAGTGGCGTGGCTAGGAGTATCGTTGCTTGATCTCCCCCACGGACATACCCCACACGCAACATTACTCTAAGACATATGAACATAACCATCAAGAAATCCAAAGTTCCCGAGACGCAGGGTGCGAGATCAGGGATCGAAGAAACGAGAATTGATGAACTTACTTAAGATAATACCATGCATGGTTTACGACGAGGCTGGGGCGGGGTCTGGGACTTGGGGCAAAGGGGACAAATGGATGGGGTCTGATTTGGATTGAAGCTCGCATATTTTTGTCTACTTGCTTGCTTGCTTACTTGCCTGCTTGCTTGGGTTTGGTCAGGTTGTTGGGTTTGGCGAATAATACTCCATAGTACATGCACGCATTGTCGTAGATCCTATATACAAAAATCACATTTCCAACATACACACTTTCAGTTCTCATCGAGCTTTGCTCTATCATATAGGTGATTGAGTAAGGTAGTATTCCCAGGTGTGTTAAAGTTGGTACAAGAAGGGCGTATGTAGAAAGATCATCACGCTTCGGGAAAAAATGCAGATGATATATATTTCCTTCCTTCCTTCTCTCCCTTCAGTCACAGAAAATCTCGAACGTAAGGATAACTAAGGTAAGCAGGCAGGGAAAGGGAGATTAATTAAGAGATCTTTTTTCTTAAAGAAGATAACGGATATGGGATGGAAGTAAATAAAGTCAGTTGGCTAAGAATCTTAAGAATCTACGATGGTGAATTAATTCGTCTTTTTTTGGTTTTGTTGGGGGGGGGGGGAGTAGGGTAGAAAGTGCTTCTTCTTATTACCTGTACAACCAACCTCAAACCAAAGGGTTCGCTCGCGTCTCTCAGGTTTCTAAGATATCAAGTTCCCTATTTGCTTTTGGTCACTCTTCTACTGCATGCTGTATGTACCTACCCACGTCTCCGGTTCTCTTCTTTAGGTAGAGGCTCGTGGAGGAATGGATGGATAGATGTCTTCTCATGTTAAATCTCTCGTTAATAGAGAGAGAAAGCAGCTCTACGAATTGGATAGCACCCTGTGTCCAAAAAAAATATTCTGGACCCCCCCGCTTCGACATGCCATCCTCACATCCACAACACTTAGTATTCAAAAACAATGAGGTACCTACCTTCCTTATAACCCTAACTAACACACAGAGGCAAAAGCAGGGAAACAAAAAAACATACAACAGTAGGTATTCGCTGGTGGTCACCCACCCAACTACTAATCTACCGATCTAAGGCTTATGTATGGCAGAGCGGACGGGATGCCCAGTTCTCCTTAGTCTGTGGTCGTATGTACCAGCTTCTGTTCTATCTGAATAGATATATGAGCAGGAAAACAGACCCTAGGATGGAAAATAAAAGGCGGGATGGAAAAGAAACGTATACACAAACCAAAACAAAAATATGAAATGAAACAGAAGAAAGATATTCGCTACAGCTCAGGATAGCATCGAGGCAGGCAAGAGTAAAATGGCACAAAAAGAAAGAGAGGCACAAGAAAGGCAAAATAACATACAACAGCGGGTATTCGCTGGTGGTCACCCACCCAACTACTAATCCGCCGATCTGAAGCTTGAGTATGGCAGAGCGGACGGGATGCCCTATTTTCTTCAGTCTGTGGTCGTATGTGCTAGGTATTTTGCTATCTGAATAGATAGAGGTATAACAAAAGAGCTGTAGCAGATACCGTAGGTACTGCAAGGCAAAACGGGATACTTCAAATCTAGAATGAAGCACGGTTCCACACAAACAGAATATACAACGAATTCTCCCACCACATGCACCCTCACATCATGAAAATCAAGTTTTGAAATGCTTTTCTATTTCCGCTTTCTATTCTGCCTGTATCCCAGCACAAGCAGGCATTCATTCAGCTCGTCATCCGACGCCCTACTGTACACCCAAGCAGAAAAACTCCCGCCCATCTATAATAAGGCCCAAGTTCCCCAACTTCAAGCCCAACACATGAAGCGCACCTGGAATGCCGCAAATCAAATGCCAGTAAAAGAAAATGACACATGAATGAATGAATCAAACAAAGTTTCGAAGGTCAAATTATGTACGCGAATCGTATGGAGGAGCCAAATAGCCCATCCGCATCATCCAACCTGACTATTTCTGGAGGGCCAGGAATTCAGGATTACAATTAATATCTCCAAGCCAACCTTCCATCGCAGAGGCTAAGGAGCTTCTGCGAGGCGCGAAAAGTGTTTAAACGCCGCTCACGGCGCTCTTCGCAGCGTTGATGTATTCCTTGGGGTCGTAGGCAGGAGCATAGGTTGGGGCTAAGCCGCCAAGCAGCACAAAGGCCGTGACAAGGACCAGTGCGAGCACGATGATTTTTCGAAGAACCGGACGGTTGGCACCCAATTCAGCCCATGCGCGGTTTCCATTCGCCAAGAACTCCTTTACCTTCTCCTTTCCGAACTTGAACCAGAGCATACCAAGGAGAGCGATTGTGTATCCGAACATTTGAAGACGGCTGATCATAGTACCCCAGATGAGGACAGAGGCAATGACGAGAAGAATATCCTTAAGGACACCGCAGAGTGTGAGGACGAGACCAGAGGTTTTGCCGATCTGAAAGCCATGGTTAGTACTCCGCAAATATCATCAGGGGGGACAAAGAATTACCAAGAAGACCACTGCGACGTTCAGCATGAAGGCACAGGCTGCGTTTGCAACAAAGGTCCAGATGCCGACTGCATAAACCTCCGACATAGTGACCTGTGGGATCTCCCAGAACATGGCCACAATCGTGTTCATAACCGCACAGACAGGGGCAAAGTAGTACAGAGATACAAGAGGGTCCATCTTGTACTCAGCGCCGTTCAACAGGGTTTGGACCAAGTTGATTCTGATAGCCTCGAACATAATGCCTCCGATTTGGTACAAGAAACCGATCAGCACGAAGTCGATCTCGCCGAAAGATGCAATAACAACACCGAGAACGATGAAGGAGACATTGAAGAGTTTCATGAAGTTGACCTCCTCGACCCTGAGCATCCAACTGGTAAGGAGGACCGCGACTGGGGTAGTGGCCTATCGGGGTTAGCGAATACAAGTGGGATGATAGGGATAGGCAATATACCTTGAGCATTTGGATGAACGAGACACTCAGATACAGGTATGTCAGGTTACCGCACATCAAACTTAGGCTGAATGCAACACCAATAGGGACGATAGCTCTAAGGTAGACGCGACCAGTCATCTTGATCTTCTTTCGGCCGTCAAGGAGGGTGGTCGTGCGTGCCAAGATCTGCGTCATGATGGTAGAGAAGATGAGATGCCATGCTGTCAGGAGGATAGGGTAATCTGGTGGACATTAACAAGAGTCTATAGGCTGTAGACGTGTAGACATACGAAAACCAAGGGTAGACAAGATCCACTTGTTAAAGAGAATAACACCTCCGCTAAGGGAGATCCAGAAACTGCGCGGTCACGATAAGCTGATGTTCTGACGATGTTGGGTCGCGTTGTGAGACATGGCGCGCGCTCTTTACTTACATGACGTAGAAGGCAGCAGGTATTCCAGCCTCTTTTGAAGGTGCTCTCTTCTCTGCGTCAGGATTGACGGTTGGCAGGACAGGCGCGCCAGAAGGCCTTGCCAGGTCCCCCGACACGCGAACCTTATCTTCAGCCATTGTTGCGATTGCGATGTGTTGCTATTCGGGTGAGGAGAGAATTGGGCGGTCGCGATCTCAAAGGGGCGCAGACGTCAACAGGACAAGTGGTCAGACAACCGAACGATGAACGAGTGTAGTGGTTGAAGGAGCCGGCCGAATTTGTTGTTGGAGGTCCGCGGACGGGATCAACAACAGCAACAGCAACGGGGGGGGGGGTGAAGAAGGACGCAAAGAGAGAAGAAAGTGAGATAGTTTGGAGGAGAGGAGAGGAGAGGAGGAGCGAGAGAAGAAAAGAGTGAGGAGGAGAAGGAGAGGAGATCAGGGTTCGAGGGGGGGGCTGAACAAGTAAGGTAAAAGGCGAAGGTGAGGTAGGTTAAAGGGAATGATGGTCACAGCTGGTGTGGCCGAAACAAGGCAAACTGGCCAATGGCACGACGGGGTGCGCTTAGAGTTGGGACTTACGCGTATGAGGCCTAGCGCCCTTAACACGCAATCAAGCCCCGGGGGAGGCCCACTGGACTGTCCTTGTCCTAAGGGCGGCGCGAAGGATAAAAAAAGGAGTTGTGCACAGCTGAACGTTGCGAGGGCAGGTTTACCGTTGACCGTTGTTTGCCTTGCCTTGCCTTGCCTTGATTAATGATATGTGATATGTATCTTATGTATCTTATGTATGGCATGTGCTCTTATGCCCTTGATCTTGCCCCGGAACAATTATAAGTACTGTACATAGCCCTCTTCCAAAGTGATCATCATACATGCCTTGCCATACCTACCTAAGGTAGGGAAGCAGAGGGATCCCGGAGCCACGGCATACCTACTTGATGGAACGCATAGCGGCGGTAATAATAGGGGCATACAATAAATGGCCTATAGGGGCCCTCAAGGCAAAAGAAGCAAATCAATCAATCAATCGCGATTTCCGATTCTCCACGGCCCTGACTCTCAGTCCCTCGAGACTTCTTCCATGGCCCAGTCGCTGCCAGTAGTAGTAGTAGTCTGCCAGAGGCCCGCAGAGGCCCAGAGAGCCTCCTCCGGTACCTAACAGATGGAGACGGGAGCCCGTCGTAGCACGCAGGTAGGGTCGGACGTGGGAGTGGGGAGCACTACTCAGAGGCCACCCATTGCTTGATTCCTAGCCTTGAGATCTACACTTCTCCCTGAGATCCAGCAGTCGCACTACTTGCTCCGATGTCCTACTAACGGTGTGCAGATCCGTTTCATCTTGACGGCCTAGCAGTTGTAACTTGTCCTCCTGTGCGAACGGGACTTGGTACGACGGGATACCTGGCCCGTCGAATGCAGATGCGGTAGTATTGCGGGTACGGGATAAGGCCCGGTGGACGAGTACCACGTAAGGAGAGCCGGGGACGCGCACCGTTCACCTTGCAAGGAGCTGTCGAGCGTAGGTTATTATTGCAGCATTATTACCCGTGGCCAGGCTGGGAAATTATGAGGAAATCAATCGGTGATATGGGCCGATGATCATTCCTCCAAGCAGGCCGAATCCCACGCATCCATCGCCACTTCGCCCGCCATGGCTGACAGATGCAGCAACGAAGGCGTTTGTCAAGATCTACAAGGCGCAAAAGGATTTCAATGATTTCGGGGAGGGTGGAGCACTGGAGCTCGGGATGTATAGGCGTACCCGAACGAAGCCTGTCGAGGCCGGTCGGTCGGTCGGTGGATGGGAAATAATAATACCTGGTTGATGGAGGGTTGGGAACTTGGTGTCCTCCGTAGGTAGTAGGTACCTGAGGTATGTAAGTAAGTGGAAATCGGCGGCTTTCAAGATCTTGGAGGAGGACTGTCAACTGTCAACTGTAGCCCGGTGCTTAGCCCTCAACCAAGCATTGCTGTAGTTATTTTTGTTGCTGTAGTTATTTTTGCCGCTGGTGTTAATTATATTTCTGCCGCTGCCGTCATGATTCTTCTTGGTGCGTTCCCGTCTGGAATAATGATAGCGATGGTTGGTGGTTATTGGCGCGAGACATCCCAATCTTAACCTTCCCCCTTTTCCACGACCCGCGACGGCGCTGGCCCAATAACCACACGCGGCGGGCCCAATGGCTAAGCACATGGGCCGCTAGTCCCAGAGGGCAATCCACCCGCAAAATGCGGTGGGCAATGCTCCCTCCCGCTAGGCCCAGGACTGAGGCAATTGGGAGCTGTTGCGAAGCATTTGGCATCTGGTAGGGCCAATTACCCAGGGAACACCCCCCTGCCACCCAAATTATAACCCCTCGCTCGCCCGAAGGAATTCATTTGCCCTTTTGATTGCGAGAACCACCATCACTACCCACGACTCCACATCCGCTCGTTATCCCCATCGCCAGCGCGACCCTTCTTTCTCCATATTACTCGGTCCTGTACGTCCTGCACCTTGACAAAAGCCTCCTGCCTCTGTCGCAATCCCTAGAGTCATCCAGGAATCCCCCGCACTCCTTGCCATCTTGCACTTCCCAGACACATCCCATACACAGCACAGTAGCTTCGCAATCAACATGGCAGATATGTATGAATCCCAATTGCGGATTGCCTTCTCGAGAGAACCCCCCCTATTCTGACAATTCTTCTGCTCACAGCAATGTTGACGTCCTCGTCATTGGAGCTGGACCTACTGGTCTGGGTGCCGCAAAGCGCCTGAACCAAATCGTGAGTCTCGCACAATACTGTCTGTTGCTGTTGGCGCGGGGAGACTAATAATCTGTCGTTAGGATGGTCCCTCGTGGATGATTATTGATTCCAACGAGACGCCTGGTGGTCTTGCCTCTACCGATGTCACTCCAGAAGGCTTCGTAAGTCCAGTTTCCCATTCTCCCTCCAGCAGCGCCGGCTGATCCTCATAGCTCTACGATGTCGGTGGCCACGTTATCTTTTCCCACTACAAGTACTTCGACGACTGCATTGACGAAGCCCTGCCCAACGAGGACGACTGGTATACCCACCAACGTATCTCATATGTCCGACTAAAGGGCGTCTGGGCCCCCTACCCTCTGCAGAACAACGTCTCTATGCTTCCAAAGGAAGAGCAGGTCAAATGCATTGATGGCTTGATAGACGCCGCTCTCGCGGCCCGCACAGCCACTGATAAGCCAAAAGACTTTGACGAGTGGATTGTCCGCAGTATGGGTGTTGGACTCGCTGATGTGTTCATGCGACCATACAACTACAAAGTCTGGGCTGTTCCGACTACAAAGGTATGTGCTGGAGATATACGAGGATTAGATAGCGATTGACTGGGTTTCTTGCTAGATGCAATGTGCTTGGCTCGGAGAGCGTGTCGCAGCACCTGATGTCAAGACTGTGGTCAAGAACGTCCTTCTCAACAAGGTCGCAGGAAACTGGGGTCCTAACGCTACCTTCCGCTTCCCCGCTCGTGATGGCACTGGTGGGATCTGGATCGCCGTTGCCAAGACCTTACCCAAGGAGAAGACGCTCTTCGGAAAGGAGGGTGCTGTCACAAAGGTCGATGCCGATGCCCACACTGTCACCTTGAAGAGTGGCAAGAAGATCGGCTACAAGAAGTTGATCACCACAATGGCTGTGGACCAACTTGCCGAACAGATGGGAGACCAGGAGCTTGTATCTTTGACCAAGGGCCTGTTCTACTCGAGCACCCACGTCATCGGTGTCGGAATCCGAGGAGCGCGCCCGGAGAACATTGGAGACAAGTGCTGGGTAAGTCGATTCTAAAGTTGCGAGATCTGGATTGCTCACATTTATGAAGCTCTACTTCCCAGAGAACGACTGCCCATTCTACAGAGCAACGATCTTTTCTAACTACTCCCCATACAACCAACCTGACAAATCCGTCAAACTCCCAACCAAATACCTGGCCAATGGCAGCAAGCCTGCATCCAGCGAGCCTCAAGAAGGTCCATACTGGTCCATCATGTTGGAGGTCTCTGAATCGTCCATGAAGCCTGTCGACCAAGCGAACATTCTCAGGGACTCCATCCAAGGTCTGATCAACACCGAAATGATCAAGCCCACCGATGAAATTGTCTCCACATACCACCGCCGTTTCGACCATGGTTACCCAACCCCGTCCCTTGAGCGTGAGGGCGTCCTCACCCAGCTCCTCCCCAAGCTCCAAGCCAAGGACATCTACTCGCGAGGACGTTTCGGCAGCTGGAGATACGAAGTAGGCAACCAAGACCATTCCTTCATGCTTGGTGTTGAAGCTGCGGACAACATTGTGAACGGCGCTGTTGAGCTCACTCTCAACTACCCTGATTTCGTCAATGGACGCAAGAACACGGAGAGGAGACTTGTCGAGGGTAGCCAGATCTTCAAGAAGGCTGCTGGAACTACGGAGCTCCCAACCCGCGACCGAGCACCTTCCAAGAGCCAGCCAACCACTCACGCAAGAAAAACCTCAAAGAGCACCAACTAAATTTAGACAACATTTCGGTTGTATTTTAGACAAAAGTCTAAATCGGAGGAGTTTATTGTCGCAAAGTTAGAGCACATCTGTTGCGGATTTGAGCGCTCTTGAATCGTCCGCTGGCATTCGGGGGATACGAGTTACATTGCTTTTGCTAGGATATACACCTCTGCAATCTCTCTTCTGCTAGATACAGAGGGATGGTGGGCCCAAGGAGGCTCAGGTGTCGGTTTAACTTCTTGCTTGGTAGTGATGCATAGAGAATAGAAGGCGTTGCTAATACATGCGTGGTGTTCATACATGTCCCTAAAATCGATTAGTATCAAATCCGCGTGAATGAGACGATTCTTTTCCCCAATGATTATTAATAATAAAAGCAGAATAGTAAAGCAGAAGGAACTGCCAGGCTTTGGGCAATCTATCCCGACTCATCAACGAATGAAGGCTAATAAATCCATAACCCATCGAGGGACATCCAGTGCCGCCAATTGGAGTTGGACATCGGTTAACCTCTTGGGCTTTGGCTTACCCACTGATACGATCGCAGTAAATGTCGACATATTCATACCCTCCGAGAGTAACCACCCCGGGAGTAATCGCTAGGCAAGCTGAACAGCAAGGCAACGGCTTCGAATTCTATTGAACGAGAGCCTGTAAACTTTTTTGTCCACGCCATATGTCTCTCAGCGTACTCTTGAGAATAGCCCAGTATCGCACTAAGGCACAAGCACCACCCCACCGGCCCGGCACTTGACTCTCACTCTACACCTATTATCCTCTACCTAGGTCGACACTTGATGTAGTATAATATACACCTCTCGTTCACGTATTAATAGGTATCTCATGCAAGGACAAATCCTATGACCGCGTGATTGGGCGTTACTGTTATTCCGTGGAGATTGTACAGACCGCTTAGGATCAGGATAAGTATTTTTGTACTCTTGTTCAACACCCAAAGGGTTCTTATTGTAGGCAAACGGTATGATTTATCGGTGGGTTGACCTAAGATATCCAAGTATAGGTACACTGTATCCAAGTTATTTATGTCCAAGTACTAAGTATACGCTAAGTCCTTAAGACTTAGTAAGTCACATGATCCACTTCCTCATCTAAGGTATACCCTAAGGTACCTCTACCATACCTTATCTTACCTACCTAGTGCCAAGGTACACAGCGCCATACCTAACAATCTGCAGCATCGAGGCTACTTGCCAGCAGGAACTGTACCAGAAGAGCCCCGGTAAAACACGTGCCTCTTCCCTCTTCCAAGGTCCTTCGAATCACCATCTTTACTCAGTACAGAAAGCAGAGCCGCTTTTAATGACGTAACCAGGAACAGCGCCGAGTCGCCAGCGGCCAGACGAGCTTTAACGAGCTCAAGCAGAACCTCAGGTTGTAAGGGTGTGCCAGGGATTTACCAGCCGAAACCCCCCCATCCAGTGCATCAACCGATCACAGAACCGGCCTATCAACTGTGTGGATCCGGGCCCCCATTACCTGACTGCGACAGAGATTGATGCGAGCGTGTCAGTCGAGAGCCAGCCCTACGAGCATTCTCACGACGGAGGTCTGCAACGGAAGAGATGATCTGAATGCTAAGAGAGCATAATGGATGGTTCTGTCACGCTGGCGGACGAGAATCTGGATCCGCCCCCGAGACTCTTCGAAAGACTGCGACAAATCGCTGGATATACGTGGGATGAATCACAGGACCCGTACCATTCAAGCTACAGTAACTGGTAAGGCAGAGCTGCAGCACGCTGCAGCACGATAGAGGATGTTGACCATGGAACAGGCAAGTCTACGGGCACAAGAACACTGCTGCCAAACACTCGAGCAGCGGCAGCAACAGCGGAGCCGTCCATTCGAAATACCCTTTCGAACGCCGCAACTCATCCCACCAGGAAGGAAGCATAAAAAATGAAGAGACATCTTTTGTTGCAATCTCCCAGGCTTTAAGTGCAGCAGATTCCCCCCCTTCTAAAAGCCTTCGAACCTCAATGAGATCATACCGCAGGCCACTAGCGGAGTGGTATCTGTCATTAATCGTTTTAGCGGTCATCTTTTGGATGATCCTGCTAATAACAATTGGGACATCTATTCTGATTGTAGACACCGATGGAAGCCGCCGACCTAAGACTCCCTGAATAATGTCCATCGGCGTCTCCCCGTCAAAGGCAGCTTGTTGCGTGAGCATGGTCCAGAAAAGAATCCCAAGGGAGTATATATCGGTGCGGCTATCTGGCTCGGCAGGCATACGACCTGTCTGCTCGGGGCTCATGTATGACAGCTTGTTCTTTGCCCCGATTTCCTTCGACAGAGCAGACCATCCTGTGCTTGTAAGGCCATGCTCGAATGTCCGCAAACCAGATCCAAAATTAATCAATTTCACCTCTCCAGTCTCCAGATTCATATGGAAGGCATCGGCTCGGATCTCGCCATGCACAATTCGCTGGCCATGATGAAGGATTTCGAGACACTCAGTGGCGCCGATAGCAAAGTCGAGGAAGGTCTGCAAGGGCACTGGTCCATCCGGTTTGAAGTCATACCTGACAGCCTCAAGCTTATCTCCGACTTTACGAGCTTTATACCACGCTGGCCCATGATCGACGATCCTCGGAAGATAATTTGGCCCTGGGTGTTCGAAGATGCAGACAACGATCGGTGCCTTGTCTCCCGGTTGAGCAGTTAATCGTACAAGGTCGAGGGGGCGGATGATATGATGTCCATCCGGATCCACCGACTTTATCGAGTTGCAAATATGAAATGCTCGCTCCTCTCGCAGGGCATGATGTGAGATCCGGGCGACTAGATCGATAGACGTCCGCTCGTACGTTTCATCCTGGGTGAGGGTCGATTCGCTGCCATGCTCGCTCGCTGTTCGAGATTCGTTCGTGATGGGAGGGCCCATCATGGTGGGCAGGACAGAGGAGCATGACAAAGTGGTCAAGATCATTGATAAAGTGGCCAAACGGCACGTTATTGCTCAAATGCAAGATGTGTCTAGCATTTCATCTGGAGTTAGCTTATCTGAAGGCCGCTTGGAAAGCTTTAACGCGGCTTCGGCGATCGTCACAGACCTATCGAGTGAGGGAGACAACACGAGCTCTGGCGAAGCAAGATCCATCCCGCTAACAGCAAACGCACTCTCTGGAGAACTCAGAAGATACAAGAGCAATTCGAGCCAAATACGCTCTGTCACCAATTCATTACACAATTCTCTGGAAAGCCAAGAATCGTCTAGTCGATCAAATCAATCCAACGCGAATGTCAAGCCCTGGGAGAAAAACAACGCCTTGTCCTTAGAATCCAGGAGCATGATTGATAGTATGAGTTCAGAAGTTGGCGGATCTCGATCAGGCTCTGATGGCGTTGGAAGCTTGACTAGTCATCGCAATGCCCAAAAGTTCCGTAGGAAAGGGCGGTGCGAGGTTGTGAGTATCTCTGGTTCTGCCGGCTTGGGGAAGAGCTGTCTCGTCCAATCCGTGCAAGTTGAGGCTCGCCGAAGGGGATACTTTGCCAGCTCGAAGTTCGACCAGGCCAAGAAGACACCATTTGGTCCAGTCCTCAGATTACTCTCCAGTCTTTTCAAGCAAGTCTTTTCTGAGAGCAACACCGATACCCCCTTCCATCAGCTCCTCAAACAATACGTCAAGCCGGCTTGGCCAATGCTTCACAAAATTCTGGGCCTCCCTGAGTTCTTGCTCGGTCCGACCACTACCCCTCCGAGACCAACCCATGGCAGCCAGCCATCTCAGTCATACAACAAGAGCATTAGAGCTGAGTATAGCCGTCGCGACTCCTCGCCCACGAGTTCGCCTTCCAACTTATATAGTATGGCACTCGGTGCCCAGAGTGCCCAGGACTTCTTGCGCGCAGGCTCTTCAACAAAATCAGTGCGACTGATGAATACCTTCCTTGATGTTTTACGTGTGTTCACACAACACAAGTTTATCTGCTTTTGTTTAGACGATCTTCAATTCGCAGATGATGAATCGCTGGATTTGATCACTCAAATTGTTTCTTCCAGAATGAAGATGGTCATCATCGTGACCTACAGGCCGGAGGAAATGCGTCATGAGCAGATCGCGAGTATTCTAGAACCCCCAGAAATGGATCCAGAGGGTAACTGTTTGCGCTCCCATATATGACCTTTGACTTGGCTCTGCTAACAGTGGACAGATTATATAAAAGCTCCCGGGGTTGGTATTACCAAAGTGGTCCTAAACCCCTTGACTGAAGAGGATGTCATCCAATATGTTTCTGCGACGCTCTGTCTACCTAGGCATGATGTCATACCATTGGCTGCTATCATCCAGTCGAAGACTGCAGGCAATCCTTTCTATATGAGAGAGATGCTTGACACCTGTCATCGAAAGCAGTGTATATGGTACGACTATAAGGATAATGGCTGGCGCTACGATCTTGACCGAGTATTCAAACAATTTGAGGCTAAAAGCTACCACGACACTCCGAACAGCGAATTCGTCACAGGCCGACTGCAAGAATTACCTCCGTCTTCCAGGGCTATCCTTGGTTGGGCTTCACTTATTGGGAATTCTTTTTCATTCGAATTGATCCAAAAGCTTCTAAGCGGCGAATTCGATTACGACGAGTCTGGAAACACGCCAGGGGCTACCGGGCACTGCCCGCTATCCCATCCGCAAGAAGACGCTGTCATAGGCCTACAAGCGGCGATTCAAGCATACATTATCGTTTCCACTCAAGATGATGATCGATTCCGTTTTGTACACGATCGTTACGTCCAGGCTGCAAGATCTCTCTGCGAAGTCAATGGACCGAAGATGCACTTCATAATTGCGCAAACACTTCGTAAATACTATTCTGCTGACGAACGATTGCGAGAAATCACTGCAACCCACATATGCGCGTCAGTGGATGTCATCAACAAACGTGTAGTGCATAGACAATCTTTACGGAAGGTGCTCTTCGACTGTGCTCAAGCGGCCGCCGAGAGTGGTGCCAGACCAACCGCTTCCAGATTCTACACTCATTGTTTTGCGCTGCTGCAGAAAGATCCATGGGATGATAGCGCAGTGGATGTCTATTACGAGGAGACTCTCCAACTCTACACTCGAGCAGCCGAGTGCAGTCTCTATATGGGCCAATATCGAGAAGCCAAGCGACTGCTTCAACAGGTCTTCAAGAATGCCAAGACGCCTGTCGACAAAGCTCCTGCCTGGGTTCTACAGTCCAGAGTCCTCGCTCAAGAGGGTGATTCGCCTTCAGCCTTTCAGGCATTGAAACAGTGCCTTGGGGCGCTAGATATCGACATTGACCCCAAGCCTACCTTCGAGAAATGTGACGCTGAATTCGAGCGTCTTTCTCTCAAAATACAATCTATGGACACGGAAGAGCTGGTCTCTAGATCCATGTCACCAGATTCCAACCTTGCCGTCGTGGGTGCTGTACTTGTGGAGACATTGACGTCTTCTTTTTGGACCGATAAACTTACTGTAAGTCCCTTTGTCCTCTCAATAGAAAATAATGCTCACCTTTCTCAGTTCTATCAAATGGCTTTAGTCATGGTCAATACCATACTCACTAATGGCAGCTTCCCTCAAGCTGGTATGGCTTTCATGCACTTAGCTATGATCGCAATTAGTCGGTTTAATATGATTAAGTTCGCCTCTGATATGGGGCACGTCTCCATAGCCCTCATTGACCGATGGCGCGACCATTACACAATGGGGAGAGGCGGATCGGCGTATTATCTCTTCGTTGGCCATATCCAGATGCCTATTCCGGACGCAATTCCCCAATTAGAGGGAACACTGGAGTACGCCATCCAGGCCGGTGACAGGATATCAACCATCTTCAATTTTGGCTTGGTCGGAAATCTCAGATTCTTTGCATCCGAGCACCTTGCTGACCTTGAGGCCTTCTGCACATACGGGTGTGAAGAAATTCAAAACTGGCAGGATGATACTCGCGGAGGCACCATGATCATATCAGTGAGGCAGGTAGCGAAGGCTCTGCAGGGAAAGGTAAACTTGTCATGATAACCCATGTCCTACCTTTAAAAGGCAATTGCTGACTCCTCGATCTTCTAGACATTCACCTTAAACCCAACGGAGGTTATGAGTGACTCGCAGCACAACTCCCTGGCATACAAGGCCTGGCTTAGAAAAGCCTCGAAAGATAACGACCGGCCGCTCATATTCTATGAAAGCCTTGAAATAGCACCCTTGTTCTTATATGGACACTATGAGGCAGCAATTAGGCTAGGGAATTCCGCCCTACGAAATATCGACACTGTATGGTCCGCCAGAAATACCCGATTTTTAATGTTGTTCCAAGGTTTGTCCATCGCAGGTTTGATGTGGTACAAGCTACAAGACCCGGTCCGATCTGTTAACCATGAGAATCCAACGCCTGAAACTCGACAAATTGAAGCAGACCTCCGAAAAGAGCTTGCTGAAGTCACAAAAACGATACTTCACTACCAGAGGAAGATTGAAGATTGGCAGGCTGTTAATGATGTTAACTACCTAGCGTGGTCACAACTGCTCGCTGCTCAGATTGCCGAGATGCAAGAGGATTATGGTGCGGCATTAATGCACTATGAAGAAAGCTTGGATCATGCGTCAGCTCACAGCTTCGTTTTCGAGGAGGCACTGGGCAATTACTTGCTGGCGGGATTTTTCATAAGAGTCGGGTCCCGACGACCTGCCAAAGCGGCACTGCGAGAGGCTATTATGCTTTATCGCCAATGCGGTGCTGTCGGAGTCGCCAAGCACATTGAGGATGAACATAGCCTCCTGCTTCAAGGCCCGACAAGAAACCTAAGAACAGCAGATATGGCTGTCCAGACAGACTTCGCGGGCGATTCTGCCCCTGTACAGTATCAGACCCTTGAAGGTGATGATGATGATGTGCGTCAACAGACACGTGCAGTGATCGAGGAGACCAAGGATGATAGGATCGGTGCATGGCAAGGCGGCTTCGCGCGCCCAGACGCTGGCTCAGGGCTTCCCGCACTCGACATGCTTGACCTGACATCGATTCTCGAGAGCTCCCAGGTCATTTCAAGTGTCCTACAAGTCGACCAGTTGCTCAAAACCATGTGCGAGATCATTCTGCAGAATTGCGGCGGTTTGGCATCTCTGGCGGCTATCGTTGTCGAGGATGACGACCCAGTCGGTTGGAGTATTGCTGCGAGCGGTGATTCTGAAAAGGGCGCAGTGGCCCATATTCCCGGGCTTCCCCTGGCTGAAACGGCATTAGTCGCGGAGAAGGTCATCCTCTACTGCACGAGGTTCCGGGAGACAGTGTTCCTTCCGGACTTGATCCGTGATGAACGGTTCAGCAACGTCAGTGAAGCCTGGTCAGCACGTAATCCGGCTGGCAAATCTGTCATTGCCATACCCATATGTCACGGTGACAAGCCACTGTTGGGTGTCCTCTACCTCGAAGGAGAGCCCAACGCATTCACGGATCGAAATCTCACCGTCCTCCAATTGCTGGTCAATCAGATTGGAATCAGTTACTCCAACGCGCTGACGATGAAGGAGGTCGAGAGGGTATCTGCTTTCAACAATTCCATGGTCGATGTTCAGAAGAAAGCCCTTGCAAAAGCTCTCGAGGCCGAAAAGCAGGCCAATCTTGCGAAAGCCGAAGCACTTCGTAATGTGAAGCTGGCTGAAGAGGCTGCCAAAGCAAAGTCGATCTTCCTGGCCAATGTCTCGCACGAGCTTCGAACCCCCCTCAATGGTGTCATCGGTAACTCCGAACTGCTCAGAGATAGCGACCTTCGAAAAGATCAGGCGGAGATGGCTGACTCCATCCGCGTATCAGCCGATCTACTTTTGACCGTCATCAATGACATTCTAGACTTTTCGAAGATGGAAGCCGACAAGATGAAACTGTTCATTGTTGCCTTCAACGCTGATGAGATGCTTCGTGAAGTCGTCCGGTCTGTTTCTTACAGCAATCGAGACAAGAAGAGCTCAAGGAATGTCGAGATTATACAAGATATCAATCTTCCTCAATCTTTGATCTATGGGGACCCTGTACGACTTCATCAAGTCTTGGGAAACCTGATCGGAAACAGCTTAAAGTTCACAGAAAATGGATCAATCACTGTGGGCGCAAGGACCGACATGGAGACAAAGGACGCCGTGAAGTTGACGTTCTGGGTCAAGGATACTGGAATCGGCATTCCACAACAGCAACTTGCCAAGTTGTTCAAGCCCTTCAGTCAGGCTGATGCCAGCACCGCTCGAAAATATGGTGGAAGCGGTCTTGGCCTCAGTATCTGCAAGTCGCTCATCGAGTCGATGATGGGAGGTACAATTCGGCTGGAGAGCGCCGAGAATAAAGGAACCACTGCTTGGTTCTCCGTCACCTTTCCGAAGGCAAATCCAGAAGCTACTCCGGGCGATAGCCAAAACGGAATAGATCAGAGAGCCCCCATGGCAAAATATATCGAATCTGATGGAGAAGGCTTTGCATCTCCTCACACGGATTTCTCCAATGTTCCTCGAGACCAACTGCGCATATGTATTGCGGAAGATAACCCAATAAACCAAAAGATCGCAATCCAATTCATGGATAAGTTGGGGTTCAAGTATGTCGATGCCTACGATAATGGATTGGCAGCCGTGGAGGGTCTGCGAAAGAGAGCCAGGGAAGGTAAACCCTATCACATCATCCTCATGGATGTGCAGATGCCTGTACTGGACGGGTATGAAGCAACCAAGCTGTTGCGACAAGATCCGCTTGACGCTGTTCGTGGGATATTGGTCATTGCGATGACTGCTTCTGCGATTCAAGGTGACAGAGAAAAGTGCTTGGCGTCTGGAATGAATGACTACTTAGCTAAGCCTGTTCGATCTGGAGTGCTGAAGAAGAAACTCGATCACTATCTCCAACAGGTTCGTACATTGCCTATACCCTCTAGAAGCTATGCCCAGAGCTGACCAAATCCACAGCCTCCTCTCGTGGTATCAAACCTCCAGGAAGAAGCTAGGAAAGTAGCAAACGACGTCTTGTCAGGTTGGGACGGACAGGACAGCCCGCCCTTCTTGGATTCTTCGGATCCCTCGCTCTCAGAGTTGACGCATCATTCGCGCAGGAGGTCATCGACTTCCGCACCGCCTGTATTAAATCCACTTTCAAGCCGAAGTCCCACCATTAAATTCAACAACTCAGCAGAACCGCGTCAAGGAAGGTCATCTCACAATGGAAGAAGCCTTGGCGGCGGCTCCCAATAAATACATGAAGAGGATTTTGCCAAAGAGTCTACCTGCCCTATCTAATAACCGTTTTCACGGGATCACGACGGATCGACTCGACGAAGAGAAAGGGACGAGTCGGGCAATTTCTCGTTTCAAGAGGTGATCGCTCAAGGTGGTCAGGCCCGGGATCCCCACCGCAAGCAATGAGAGGATGAGAGATACAAAAGCAGCCTTTTTTGCTCTTCAGGGAAGAGACAACATCGATTGGTAATACTGTTGGCGAAGAGGGAAGATATAGAATTGGGAAACTAGATGGACAGGTTCTCACATGGAATGGTCTGCATAATACAACGGGCATGGGAGGTGGGACATTTGCATACACCTCTTTCTTTTAGCGTTGGAGTTGGCGGAGGGGCCTTCGTTACAACATTTGAGTACATACGAGTTATACTTACCTTATGTACATACGAGTCATAGTCGGGAATACATATACGAGTTACAGTCGGGTATGGAGGGGGCTGTTTGGATTTTGTGGTCTGACCTGCTTGGAGTAATACCAGACCCTATCATGAGGCACGCGCGGTACCTATGCATACAGGCTACGATATCCGGTGATATGGCTGGAAGAATGAAGTGTACGACCAAGAGCTGGTAGAACGTTCATTCGAGGCAAAAATTCTAACCCCCTCTTGACCAACCCTTTTCAATGGACTCCTGTCGGTAAGTATATTGGCTCAGTGAGCCTCTGATGAACTGTTCTCTGTCTTCATCTGGTGATGAAAGACACTGACATATTATTTACTTTCCTAATTAAGTATACAGTACGGCCTCAGACGGGATTCTGTTTCCGCAGCATGTTCTTTACGTTTTGATTTTCTGTCCCTCGAGATAGCTTGGGGACGATGTTCTCTTTTCTCCTTTTGAGCAGGGTTTCAATCAACTTTCTCTTGTCTAGTCCGACAATGTGACGGGTCACAAGTGTGAACCCCTATTCTTACGCAAGCGTGTTCAAGAGGCGGCATTTGTATATTGTCCATCGTTTAAATATAGTATTTACGGCGCAGCGTCGAATCGCAATTGATGAAGTTGATTGAGCCGGCTATCAAACGCGTACAAAGTTAAAGCCTGTGATCGATGGATGCATCGTCCGTGGGTACTCGCTTCTGCCTGCCATGCCTGGGCCAAGGATGCACAGTGTTCCCGTCTCGTTTCAAGGGCTGGATTCCTTGTCAGTGTATGGTTTGTCTGCAAAGGCTCGGCATGGTTTCATTGGTTCGTTGGTTGTTGCAAGAAGGCGAGCATCCAGCCGCTTTGGAGTTGTTGTGGTCAGGATCAGCTTTGTAAGCGAGAATTTCCCCGCTCCCCCGCTCCTCCGCTCCCCAGAGTGTCTATCTGGTCTATCTCCTGTATCATCCAGACTTCTGGCCCTTCAATCTGCCGCTAAGTCAAAAAACATCAACGATGGCGACTATCGAGGAGAGGATCCAGGCTGCTGTGACCGCATTGGATATCCCGGGGGTTGTCCTTGTGGCAAGCGAGGCTACAGGTATTGACTATCTTATTACATCCCCCCCCTTGTCAGATGTTCAACCTTATTCCTGACATCAACCTAGGCAAATTCTACTACTCTAATGCCATCGGCGCCAGCTCTCTCAGGCCCGGCGGCGAGCCCTTGCATCTGGACTCGGTCATGTGGCTAGCCTCCTCTACGAAGATCATGACCTCTATTGCAGCCTTACAATGCGTGGAGCGCGGTCAATTTACTCTCGACGAGGATGTCACCTGCCTGCTCCCCGAACTGAAAGATATCGAGATCCTCAAGGGCTTTGAGCCCGGTACTCAGAAGCCAATCCTCGTCAAAGCTACGAAGAAGATCACCCTACGGTAAGCCGGTAATCTTGGGCCCTGGTACGGAAAGGGTTGATTGACATCCGAACCTAGCCACCTCCTCAGTCACACGTCCGGGTTGGCATATGATATCTTCACCCCTATCCTGCAACGCTGGCGCAAGTCCCGTGGCGAGGAAACGCACTTCACCAGTGGATCCCTCATCTACCGCTGCAGCGTCCCGCTCCTCTTCGAGCCAGGCGAGCTCTGGTCTTATTCCCGTACGCGTACCAATTCTCACCCCACTTCCGAAGCCCCAAGCTGACCCCATCTCAAGCCGGGCTCGACTGGGCCGGGCTGATGATCGAGCGCGCCAACCACACAACTCTGGAGGACTACATGCAGCAGCACATCTGGGGCCCGCTCTCCATCACCAACATCAGCTTCCGGCCCAGCCAGCGCCCCGGCATGCTCAGCCGGCTCTGCGAGATGAGCGAGCGACAAGGCGGCATCAACCGATTCGGCACGCCCCTCGAGCCATCGACGCGCGTGACGGCCAGCGCGGAGACCGTGTGGGACGTGGACATGCCGGAGGACTGCGGCGGGGCGGGAGCCTACGGGAGCCTCGTGGGGTTCCAGAAGATCCTGCACGCGCTGGCGGCGGGGGACGAGCGGCTCCTGGGAGCGGAGATGCGGGACGAGCTGTTCCGGCCGCAGCTGAGCGACACGGCGCAGGCGCATTTCTCGCAGCTGCGGAAGTTCAAGGAGCTGAATGATATCTACGGCGTGACGCGCGACGACCGGGTGGGCCACGCGCTCGGGGGCGTGGTGATGTTGGAGGATATGGAGGGCAGGAGGAGGAAGGGCACGCTGAGTTGGCAGGGCATGCCGAATGTGTATTGGTGGGTGGATAGGGCGGCGGGGATGAGTGGTGTCTATGGATCTCAAGTCATACCGACGGGGGATCCGAAGAGTCTGGCACTGTTTTGGGACTTTGAGAGGGCCATGTATGAGAAGGCTGAGAAGGCCCGGGAGGAGACGGAGTCTATTGATGGGGGATTGGAATAAGAGGGCGGGGGGTTGGGGGGTTGGGGGGAGGTGTTGTGGGAATTGGGAACTGAGAAAAGGGGAGTTGGGATTTTGATAATACACGATGGAATCCTTCTTATATTATTCCGGTCGAGGGGAGGGAGTCTTAATTATGAATTTCTTTCATCTAGAGTAAAGTACTATTATTTATGTATGTCATGTAATAATCGAAAGCTCAATATCAAAACTAGTTACAAGTTCAAAAACCATTCCCAAACATCTATCTATCTATCTTCAATATCTTGACTTGGAACTCTCCTTTCCTCTCTCTTTTCACCATATACCTAATCACCCCCCCAACCCATCCCCCCCCTTTCCCATACATCCCTCAACCCCTTCCTTCCTTCCTTCCACCCCACACAGTCTCCAAAAAACGGGGAAAAGGGGAAGGAGTTACCTAACACTCGGATCGGTTCTAATTTCTTGCTGTATATAATAAGTAAGAGTCTTGGGATATGCGTATAGGGTTGAAGGAAGGAAGGGAGGAAGGGATTATGGGTTGGTTGGTTGGTTGGTTGGTTGGTTGGTTAAGATTGGAGATAGAATGGAGATGAGGGAATGGAAGGATGGATGGATGGATTGATTAGTTGGTTCTTTTGAGTGATCTATACTTAAGGTATATCTTCATCTATCTATCTATCTATCCATCCCATCCCATCAACACACCACAAACTCCCTCCTCCCCCTCAAAAATTCCAATCAAAAAATCTAAATCTAATCCAACCGCCATCAACACACTAAAGTAGCTCTACCCTCTCCCTAGTCCCCTCGTTCCCCGGCTCCCTCTTCCGAAACATAATTCCCTTCAGTTTCCGTGAATTCCTTCCTTAATCTTAAGACACCAGGGCGCTTGACCCGTTTCGGATAATGGGGCTGCCGCGGCGTTTGTTTGAGAGAGAGAGGGGGGGCCCGGGTGGGGCTGCGCGCTATTCCAATTTGGAAATTTTGGAGGGGTGTTGTGGTGTGGCTGGTGTTGGGAGGACGGACGGACTGTGTGGCGCGGGAGAAGGGATAGGGGGGAGATTGAGATAATGGCTGATGGGTGTGTTATTTTCGCTTTGATGTATAGCAAGGATGTCACGAAATGGCTGGACTACCATATGATTGAGGAGATGCTGCTCTCATTGAAGAAAGATCCCGAGCGAGTAGCCCTAGGACAGAGATATACATCTCTCTCTCCCTCTCTCTTTTGTGCTATACCACACTTTTTGATATTTCTTTTTGCCCCCATCCCCAATTCCGCGCCCAACCCTCGTCCTCATCCAGAATTGTATCCAACAATATATACAGAGGTCTAGTCGCACATTCCATCCTTCACCCGCAGGACAGCCTGTGTCAATCTGCTGCGAGAAGTGCTGTAGGAAGAGCCCACCACGACCCCGGAATCTACTCGTTTCCAAAAATAATATAGTACAGTGGGAGCTTGCCCAACAAGAAGAATGGATCAAATGTACAAAGAAAGTGGTATCGCCGAGTGCCAGCCCTTCAATCAAAGGTCGGGAGGAGCGGCGAGAGAAGCTTGGTGGAAAAATGTGTCGTTTCAAACGCAGTAAATGGGTATCTTGTAAATCATCGACAGAGAATGTAAAGATGATGCAAATCCAGAAGTAAGGTCCAAGCCTGCTCGAGAATGGATCCAAGGCGATCTCGTGTCCGTCGTCTCGTGTCGTCTTTCCCTTGCGCGAATCCATTTGTCGCTCACAGAAAGATGATCCTCGTGTACATGGACATCCGAAAGATCCCCTCTCGGATCGCCAAATCCCCTTTCATCATCTAGCTTGCCAACATCGCTCATCGTGATCCTCCCCCCTCGGGCGTCATACGTCGTTCCTCGTGCCTCGTCTCCGATCCTGCCGGATACTCAGAGTCGCGTTGCGCTTGTTGAGCTTGTGATTGTGACTGCGGTCTCGTTTCGCTGTGTTCGAGTATCGAAGATACCGGATTTGAGCCCCCTGAACGTCGTCGCGGCGCTACGGACGCCGCTGCTGCTGGTCCCTGCTCCGGAGCGGGGGAAGCCATGCTCCGCGTGGTGAAACTACTCTCGCTGTAGCGATGTCGACTCCCTGGGCGGCCGTAGGAATCAAGTCCCCTAGCAGACATGTCACTTCTTTGCCTCGAGTGGCCGCGGCGTCGATTTGTAGGCGTGTGAGATATTGAGCCAGTTTGGGAGAAGGGCGGAGAGGTATACCGCGGCTGCGATGTGGGCTGCGGGGCGGATTGGTGAGGTCCCGTAGCCTTCCGTTTTTTCGGAGAAGCTGATTCTGGAGATCACTATTAGTTTGGTGTTCACGGCAACAAAAGAATCCTTCAATGCTTGCCTGAAGGGGTACTGGGCTGATTAGCACTACTCCCGGCCTGTGACGTGGGCGGTTGCCAGTGATGGAAGTATATTGAGGGCGAGGAATGCGTCTCTTGCTGCGGGGCTGTTTGTGTTTGTTGCAATGGATGCCCTGATTGACCAGGTAAAGCTTGCATGCTTCCTCCCGCCGCAATCTCTCCCGTATTCAGTCTGGGTAGGTGAGAGGCTTGGGGTGGCCTGGCAACTGCGCCCTGTGCCTGAATAGTGGATCGAGACCTTGATGCTGGTGACATCTGATAGCTTGGGACAAAACCTGCGCTCTGTTGAGAGCCTGGCGGCCCTACAGGTGTGGATGGAAGCGTCATTGCGGCTGGATGTTGTTGACCTGAATACGGCGGTACTCGAGGATCTCCTCTCTGCAGCTGCTCTGGCAAAGCGTGGCTTTGTGAAGGAAGCATATGCTGCTGAGGCTGAGGCTGAGGCTGTTGCTGCTGAAGCTGTGCTTGCGCCAGATAATGCTGGGCCCATTCCAAACTTGTGGCTGGCAGATTGCCTCCACCCATTCCAGCAAAAACCATGGGAATCATGTATGGTGGAATCCCTCCATTCAACGACGTCCGCAGCATATCCTGCTCGATCTTTCGTTGCTCTAACCGCAAAGATTCCTGCCGTGTCTTCTCCTCCTCTTGCTTTCGCTTGTCCTCTTCGGCCTTAGCAAGTAACCAGTTCCTCATTGACTCTTCCCCACCTTGCCATTGCTGTAGAGGGGCCGGCAACTGTCCTAAGGGTTGACTTAGTGGCGGTTGACCTATCTGCGGAGGCTGCTGTGGTGGTTGAGGCAGGGTCATGGCCGCCGGGGGAGGCAAGCCACGATGGGGTGTCGACATCTGCTCTGCCGTCGACTGAGAGGCCGAGACGGAGGGCTGTGGCTTATCAGCGGCGGGAGGGGGAAGAAGGGAAAGGCTTGACGTCGCCACCGCCGGAGAGAAACGAGAGGTAGATGGTGGCGTAAGTGGAATATAGTCATGGAAAGACTTATATCCGTGATGTGCTGGCTGTTTAAGAGTGAGCAACATCTCGAGAAGAAAACTATAAAACTAAAAGAGAGACATGAAGTGGTGGAGGTAGAAGTGACCTTTGAAAAGAAGACAGTGGGATCAGGGAGCCCAGGCGACGAGGACCGTCGGGACTTTTATATATTGAACGGAAAGCAACCCCCCACGCAGGTAGTAACACTCATGTCCAGCCAGGTACCGTGCGCAGGAGTGGAGTTCGTGCTTTAGTAACCCCGGATTGTATATGAAAGATCCTCGAGACGGGACCGGGTGCCGGAACGGTGAAGGGACGCGTGGTTCAACGGGGGCTTGATTGGATCTCGTAAATCACAAGGCTACGATTGACAGTTCTAGATCTGGAATGTTGACAAGATGCCTGACTGCAGGGACGATCTCCTAGGGAAGGACGGTGGCGTGTATGAAGTTATGATAATAAGGTTGGGAAAGTGACCGAATAGAACGTTAGGATCGACAAGTCCTGACGGAATAAGAAGGAGGCGGCGGCGTCAGCATGAGCAGAAAGAATGGACCACTAATCGTCCAGCAGATCGGGAGGCTGAGGAGGAAAGCGAGTAAACAAGTCCCAGAAGGTCGAGATGCTCTATACGTTGCATGGGAGAGTGGAGGGGAGCAGGGACCGGATGGCTGATATTACAGGTGCCAGGCATACAAGTATATCTGTCCAACTCGAAGCTTCTCCGGAGAGGGTCTTGATGAGGTGAGGATTTCCGAGCTTTACCCTCAAGACCAGCTCGTTGTGTTCCAGTCTGGAGAGTGTAGAGAGGACGACGGGATGTCTGTTCCTTAACCCGGCTTGGGGTCTCGACGCCTAGGTAGGCAAGGTAAGGTACGGCCGACTAACTATAGTACTTACTACTACTGGGTCCTGGCTCCTGGTGAAGGACAAAGATTAAATGCGGGTCTTATCCGAAATGCAAGTGGCAAGTGGCTAGAGAGTAGTGCGTTGTGAGGATGAAGATGCTCGAGCCGGTTCGCCATGGGAAGCGGGACGCGGACAGAACGGCGTTGTGGTACGCATGGTTGATGGGAAACTAGGCGTAGAGTAGATTCTAACTTCTGGGGCCCGAAGCTGGGGCTGGGGCTTTGGAGGGGCTGAAGATAGACAAGTGTTGTAAGTAGTTCAGGGTGGGTTACTGTGCGCCTGCAATTCTCTTGTGACGGGGCATGGGGCTAGAACGAGACGAGAGGAGAAGCGCAGGTGGACGACAGTCGGGGGCACAGAGATGTGGCTTGACCAGCTGCCAACAGCGGGCAATGGCCGGTGGCCTGTGAGAGGGCAGCTTCAAATAGGAAGCTGTACGGTTCTTCTTCTTCAGCCTCTGCCTCTGCCTCTGCCTCTGCCTCTGCTTCTGGGAAGACCTGGGTCGTGATACCACAGTGAGGGGTAGGTAAAGCTGTCCGGGTCCATACAAGAGCTCACAAGAGGAGTGGGCACTAACCTTGCGGCTTGTCGGCGAAGAAGCTTTGGACTTCCAGGGCTTCTAGTTTGGCTTCCAAAGCAGGCTAATCAAGAGACTGCGAGGATCAGTGAAGGGATTGGCGCTGTAACTACTTGTCACTGTCGTGACACTTGCAGGTCCCGCTCCACTACTCAGTCCTTAACTGAGGTGGCTTAGAACTTAGAAGCAAGAAGTTAGTCCTCCGGTAGGGAGTAGCTGTCTCTGGAGTCTGGTACGCATGTCCGGGGGCAAGGGCCAGTGAAACGGCCCAATGGTGATGGGGTTGTCGACTCGTCAAGAAACGAAACCGCAAGCCAATGAAACACCAGGCGATCTTCAAGTAATCAATCAGTCGAGGATTCTAAAACACAGCCGACCCGCTCTCGTTAAAATTCTCCAGAACAACATGAGAAAATTTCAGAGTGGAGGCGCGTCTCGAATCTCGACCTGGGAAGATTAGTGAAGGGGGCCCTGGTTGCTTCGTCTGGTCCTGGGCTCTTTGGAGAATAGTCGTGTGCAATGTGCCATGCTCCGTGACCCCGTCTATCCCTCATCCATGCACCTGGCAGCCAACAGGGGAATAAGCTTCTCGAATCTCAAGCCGCGACGGTTCAACGGGGCTGACTAAGAAACCGTGGGTCTCCGGAGGATTGTTGTGAGCTTGTGAGAGGCAGAGCTGTACTCCGTAGCATGTAGACTGCAACACAGTACGGAGAGCAAGGGAGATAAAGCATGGACTGTGCTCCGTGACTTGTCGACAACTCCATGTGCATCTCAGCTATGTCTCTCGGACAAGAGATGGCCACGACATTGTTGCGTTGGACAGTTCGCTCTCATTCGCAGGTCAGCAATCGGCCTTCATGATCATGATCTGGTTTGTGTGTTGGTGTAGCCGTTTAGCAAGTAACGAGTCGACGGACGTTTGTGTGTAATCTGCGATGAACTGAGCGTGATGTGGCTTACGCCTCAACCATCCTTGGGAATCTTGGCCTCTTGGCCCTTGAGGCTTTGGCCCTTGGGAGCCCCCGAAGAGTCTAGCGGGATCTTTGAAACCGTCGAGTCGCTGCCTCTCTGCATCTGGCCCATCCCGTAAGCACGGCCTTGCAGACTCCAGAAGTGCGTTCACAAGGGAGCTTTGGGCATTGATTGACATGGATGGTAATTGGCATTGGAGCTTGTTGATCGTGCCGCTCGCGAGGAGAGCCGAGTAATGTAACGCCGTTGCGCAACCCCCCTCTCCTCCCTCCCCAAAGATCCCAGAGAGAGCTAATCGCCATATTACATTAAACTCCCGTAATCCGGGAATAATAGTCGGTCGTGAGCCGTTTCGATGCTGAAGTTGCGAAATGAAAGGACCTATTACCCAGCGCGACGCCGCATGCCGGTCCCAGATCCTGCATCGGGGATTCGAGATGGTTCTGGCAGTACCGTAGGACGTAGCTGATGAATACGTAGAACTAAGAGTTGGTACGGATGTACGAGTTGCATGGTTAAGGGTGCAAGTCGGAGAGAGCGGTGTATGATGATGTATCGCAGTTGCAAGCATCCTCTCTCTCTCTGCCTCTGCATGTACTCCGTACTTTCTTTTTCAGCCTCGCGGAGTCCGCGTAGAGTAACAAGAACATTGCACAAAATGGAGACTTATATAGACCCTGAGCTAAGTCTAGAGAAACCAGATAGAGTTGAATGCTTTCCATAGTAACGCGGTTGAACATATGATTCTTGCACAAGGCCAAATAGTTGATTAAACCATCGCGCGGACACCTCGACAACCTCCGCTCTCTCCCCCAAACTTGATTCCGGGCTTTGCTTGTTGAGGCTTCCAGGACCTTGTCACCTTGACAATCATGGCCATTCTGGGTTCCTTAGTAAGTAGCTCATACTCCGTACACGTGGGTATAAGTCAATGTCACCCTGGCATCATGGACATGATAAGGTGATAAGTAGTAGTTGTAGGACACTCAGTGTACCGATCCTCGATGGTCAGTCAACACGGCTCACCCAGAGCCTTGTCCGTAACCCGTCCGTAACCCGCCCCGTAACCCGGCCGTGCCATGCTGTGACATGGGCACTCGAATGACACGGAGGCTTGCAGGACTCAAGGGTCCCCAAAGCAGCAATTTCGGGGGCCTTGCCTTTTCCAAGATGGGGCTTCTTCTTAGCTGAATTGGGCGCTTCATGTTACAGAATCCTTTCACATCTCCTCACAGCCTCAGTGTCCAACAGCCGCCCAGTTACTCCCCGCAAAGATATCAATCACCTGGCGCATAGTTGCAGAGTATATCAAGATAACCAAAGTCAAGCCTCCCCCAAATGTCCGGATGAGTCGGGAAGGTCTCAATCATCATACATCAAGGTAAGCAACCCAAGGGACGTCCCAACCTCCAAGGAATGCCGTGGCAAAGGACCGTCAATTGCGGCAAGTACGTGTCAGTTCCGGAGAGACACTTGCTTTGTGACTCCTCGCAGATCAGCATCGACCTCTCAATTCCCAGGAGAATGAAGGGGTCAGTCACGTACCGCATCCACAGAGTTGAACAGTAGCACGGCGGGGGGCGAATCCTGAGAGCGGCGGTTGTCGTTTCAAAACGGATCTGCAGTGGCTTGTCCGAGCAAGAATGTAAGAATGCAAGGTCCAGAGACCCAATGAACAGAGCGACACCATCAGCTGGGATGGTGTGCATGCATAGGGATCCAAAGTCATCACGTGCCGTCTAAGTTCTCGGACACCGCGTACCTATCAGCCATCAGCGGTTGCCAGCTCCCTAACTACTGTACGGGCCGTCCAACAACGGCACTTTCATACATGATAGCACCCAGGATCCAGGATGGGAGGTGTGCGCGGGCGAATCGCATCTTACCCAGCGCAGACGGCGACGGAATCCGCTCTCTCACTCGCAGGACCGGATTTCCGGGAGCTGGGATGTCTCGTTGGAGGGGGGCGATCTGAGGACGCGGCGATCGGGATCACAGATCAGACAGGTCATCTGTGTCCAGCCATGCCATGCCGCTGGAACTCGCAAGCCAACCTTGTCGTTGCCATGGCCGCGCCGCCACGGTCGGATATCCATATCCCTTGCGCCGACGAATAGGCAGAGGGGGCAATGTTTGCGATGCAGTTGACAGGGAGAGAAGAAGTTGGACTACCTTCGTACTGAGAAGGTCTTACAACGGTTCTTTCTTGGGCAAAACTACCGCTCACAAGACTAATCCAACACCGAGTAGTAAATACCGAGTAGTAAATAAGAATAGGAACATCATCGAAGCTCTTGCATTAACACTGTCTGTCCACAGGATCACATCTCGACCGCTCGGTCCTAATCCTCAGCTCCTCAGCGCCTCCTCCTGCGCCTTTGCAAAGAAGAGGAAAAACAATCCCTCTAGGAAGAAGTAAAGTAATGTACTGTACCCCAGCCTTGCCTTGTCAACATCCAATCGGAGTGATTCCAAGCAGCGCAGTGCTGTCCTATTTAGGGGTGTAGAAAAGAAACAACACGGACTTGAGCGAGAGGGCTATATGCAAGATGCTTGTTCTAGAGATTTTTTCCCTTTTTTTTTCTTTCCTTTTCTTTTCTTTCTTTTTTCCAACCCAATCAATCAATCATTTTATCCATTCCAACTATCTATCATGTATCCAAAATTCATGCAACTAAATAACTCCCCTCCTGCGCGGACGAAGGAATAAGCAGAAAAATAATATAAATCATATCATATATGTACCTATACCCACGGCAATACCGAAACGCAAGTAAGTACCTAAGTTACCTAGATCCGTGTCCTCCTCCTCCTCCTCCGGCCGGCGCACTGCACGTTCCGTCCGCACCAGGATTCCAATAGTAATCTGCAACGCATTGGTGTTTTTTCTACATACAGCCAGCCTGCCAGCCTGCTCGTCCGTCCTTCTGGCTAGCTAGCTGGCTGGCTAAAGACCTTTTCAGCTGAGAGCTATTCGATCGCGAGTCGTAACTCGGCAGTGGTGCCAAAAAGGGGGGAAGGGGGCAAAAACCATACCTTAGGTATGCATGTAAGTAGCTATTCTTATCTTCTGGGGCGCGCGAAGGACGACGCGGGTTCCGTGCAGCATGGGGTCTTGAAAAAGAAAAAGAAGAAGAAGAAGATTCTCAGGGCTGTGAGCGGAGCGCGAGGATGGAAAAAGAAGCCCCGTGGGTAGGTACCTAGGTATGGAAGGGCGGGAGGATGGATGTCATGAGCTGCATGCAGCAGCGCGCTATTTATTTGCCTCTCCTTCCTCCTCTCCCGTACAAGGTATGAATGAAATCTATTCAAAGTTCCCCCTGACTCCTGACCCATACATAGCTCTCTCATCTAGAACCAAACCTGAATGAGAAGTAAGATCATTTTACTTCAGATATATCTATCATATATCATATTTTTCAATTGTCTGTCCAGAGATCGGAAACAGCATGGGAAGGAAGCTCGTTGCTTGAGGATTCCGTCTCCGCGCCCCCCCCCTATTTCTCCCTGATCCGGACCTTGACCTGACCTTGAGGCGATCAATGAAGGAAGGAGCTTCTATATTATATATATCGTATATATACATACAGCCAGCACGCCGTCATATCTTGAAGCTTCTCATACAAGTATGACATATCCGCCCCCCCCTATCATCACGTAACCTCCCCTCTTGTTGTGCAAATCTCTCTCCTGCAAACCCATCCTTGCGAATTTTTGGTATCTCGTAGAATTATCCCATTCTTCCTACATCTTCTTGATCCTCCTCAATATGCATCCGTGGAAGAATGAACTGCGTCCCGAGCGATTACCCCCTTTTATATCCTCATGCTCTCTGCTAGTGTGAAGAAATATATTATCAATACATAAAAGTCCTCCGCAATAACTAGGAATCTTGATCTCGTAGAACGCGTTTTGGTATAGTGCAATGTAAAGCAAACACAAAAAAAAACCTTGCGAGGCTCAAAGCAAAAATCACACCTTCCACCTAATGTCCTGCCGCAGAAAAGTACAGAATAAATATGCATCCAAAGGATGGCGAGCTCGTGTGAAGTAAAGTTCAGCGCTTGCCACCGTGAAACCAAAAAAAAACTCCCCCAACGTTTCAAGTGCGTTAAATCTCGCTGCGTCTGACGAGAAGAGGTTCTGTTGGAGAAGACGCGTATTCACGAGCCTCCAAGAACCGCAAGATATTTGATCAAGCATTCAGTTCTTCTTTTTGCCCCTGTGGAGCTTCCACTCCGCTTTAGTGACCCTCATCAACAACTCCTCATCCTTTACAGGAATCCAGCTTGTGAGGACCTTCATGGCATTCTCGAAATCGCTATCAAGAAGAATCTCTCTCGTCCCATCAATCAACGCTGCACTAGTAGCATGGAGGACATCAAGACCTCCAGCAAAAGGACGTTCCTTGCTGGGCTGGATGGTCAGGTCGGAGTCGCCAAGGAGCATGAATACATCCCAGACCCGGAGTTGGGCTGGAAAGGGGATCGAATAGTTGAATAAAGTCAGGTACCACCTGGTGCCATAAGCAGTGGGTTCAATATTGAGCTCAGCCTAAAAAATTGTCAGTCGAAATCAACAACGTAATGGGAGTATTGAAGACCTACCAGTTTCTTCGCTACTTCGCTTCCATCTAGCCACTGGGTCTGAAATTCATCCAGCGCTGCCATTAATCCCCCAAATCCTGATTCGTAGAGTTTGTCGAGGCCACGCAATGTCCACATTCGGACCAACATGATGAACGTCTTCTCCTCATCATAATAACACAGGAGAGTAGCTGCTAGTGATGCCATCCCTTGCACGTAGCCAGTGCTAGGGAAGTATAAAGACAGAGCATGAAGAACTCTGAACAGGAGTCGCTGGCCGCCTCGGTATCGCCGTCTGAACATGATATGGCTGTTGATAGTTCTGGGAACATCAATATCAATTTGAACATCGTCTGCGGAGCTCTGATGTTGTAGCCTGTGGAAAGCATCGACAATCTGCTCGTCCGTTGCACTATTCTCCCTCTTCTTCGCAGAAGTGCTCAAGAAAGAGTGCCATGCAGCAGCACGCCATCTATCAGGGATTCCTTTCCAGGTTCGCTCGATCAACTTTGGGTTTTTTGTATCGAATTCAAACTCCATACCCTCTCCGTTGTTCCCAGTTTTTACAACCTTCGCCATTTTCCGCCACTTTTCTGTGCGCTCCCACTCCCTCTTCTTGAGAGATTCAGCAGCCTTTCCACCCTCCTCGTCTTCGGCAATGTCTGCCAGACCAGGAGGTAGGGTCAGCATATCCCCGGCTTCATCCATCCATCGCTTGTCCCTGTTACCAGGCAAATGATTCACAGCTGCTCGCATATGCAAGTGATTGCTCCGCTGTGAAGCAGTTGATGCGGAGGTCTTGAGGGACCCGGCCATTTTCCGACTGGGAGGTGACTTAAAAGGAGCCTTGAGAGAGGTTGCAGTCGAGGCAGAGCGGCCAAACGTTCGCTTTCTTCGAGGGGTCTCTGATGCGAGCTGCAGTACAGTGGAAACCCGCTGCGGGGGTCTTGGTTCGGGGGTTCCCGATCTTGAAGCGCTTCTCTGCAGGTTGATGAAGCCATATCTATCAACATCCTGGCCACTGACATCCTCCCAGTCCTCAATACCTCCAGCTAACTCGTGCGGCCTCTTGATTGCTCCTTCACTCTTGGTAGATGATGCGCTCTCTGGCCTTTGCGACAAATTATTCGGGCTAAGAAACCCATTCATCCTAGATAAGTCAGAAAAGAGGGCTTGAAAATTGCGACCACGGGTAAAACTCACGTCCCAGACTCCTTCTCCAGTACACCCTGTCCCTCGGTATCGGACCGGGTTTCCATTGCTGTGGTTCTTCCATTATGCCAGTCAAATTCTTCCCCCGTCTCATACATCGATCTGACCTTTTGGGATTCCATCTCGAGGTCGTCTGAAAGTAGCTTTGGCGATGGCGAAACTAGTAGAGAGAAGCTGGGTTGTCTAGAGTACGTCAGTAATTTATCCCATGGGAAAGCGCTCATGAAGCTCACCTTATCTTGCCATTGGTACGCGCCTGTTCGTTGACTGCCTTCTTCCCGCCGAGCATCATGCTTCCCCTTTTCGAGAACGACATATTGTCGAGGAAGTTGTCATCCAGCAAGCTATCAGTCGGTATAGGGGTCGTAATTGGAGAGAAGTCCTCTGTCGAAACAGATGTCAACCTCTTCGTAGGCGTCCCAGGATTGCTGCTCTTCCTCGAGCCAGGTATTCTCCACCTGCGCAGACTGTCGGAACTGCGACTGCCACTGCCACTATTTCTCTGCTTCGGCGTTGTTGGCGCTTGTGCTGGCTCCCGTGTTGGCGTCTGGGGCGCACTCGGGACCTTCGTGAGCGAACGATTGGAATGGATGGAGGAGGCAATTGACGCATGCTTTTCAATTGTGTTGATCGAGCCCTCTCGCGCCTTCAAGGATGTCGTGGGCGCAAGACCAGAATCTCTTTTCGTGTTATCCTTGTCCTCGAAGCCGCTGGTAGGCCTGCGAAGCGCAGGGTGGATCTCCGTGGGAGGCGTGAGAGGCGGTGCAACGGTGACGGGAATCGGTGGTTTCGCAGCGAGCGCTTCTTCGTACCGTAGGGCTATGATGCCGTCATCTGGGCGCCGCGACGGAGGCGTTGCGCTCAACTTCGTAGGACTGCCGGGCGCCATCTATCTTGCCCTCTCAATCACCCAGCCAGAGCCGCGAAATCGAGAGATGCTCGACGGTGTTCGACTGCGCGACCGCGTTTTGCGACCGCAGTGCTGCAGCAATGCGGCGGATCTGCGCTGACGGCACTATTATTAGGCCTGACCGTTGGATGTCAACGCTGGGGATGATCGGTGACGGTAGATAAATGAGCGTCTTGTCGGGCAGGAAAAGCAGCGATACTAGGTATACAGTACACTGTCTACTAGAACGGGGATCGAGGGGTGATGGACATTGAGGGTCTTTGTATAGGAAAGCGCCAAGCGCAGAGGGGGGAAGGATTTGCTGTTCTTCTGCTGGCCCTGCAGTCGTTGGCAGTTGCCAGCCAGCTGCGATCGACCTGCAAATGCGAAGGAGAGAGAGTCTGCAATACTGATTCGTCTGGGACCGACCCAATACATGATCATTCTGTACCTAATTACTTATCTGTACGCAACATGCAGTATATAAGTGTGTGTTTTCTATAGTCTGCTCGGAGGTCTGTGTCTCTGCAGCCCCGCGCCCAATCAAGCCCTCGGTGCGCGCTGCCAATAAAAGGGGTCTCGATGACACTGCAGATCAGGGTACGATGGTACATGGACGTTGCATTATTTCCTCATCTCGAGATTGCTTTTATGCGCGGATACGGGGTGGTTGGAACTCTGTGTACCTACGGAGTATTGACCCGGTGCATCATTGTATCGTGTGCATCATGCAGAGAGGGTTTTCGGATTGCTATTCTACTCCCGATTGCTTGGTCACCTATCTTATCATTTTCCGGTCGGAGAATTGAATCTTCTATCTGAGTCGATCCCTAACTTAGGTATAAGATCATAGGTAGCCCCAGGCGTTTTTGACGGTATTTGTTGCGGAACGCCTCCCGAGTCCCAACGCCACGCTTGCACCTCCTGCAGGAGTACTTCTCTATCAAATGTCCTCATTCTCCCAATCTCGCTCCTCAAATGCCGACCTCACCCGTCCATTACTACCCACGTCTAGTTTTGCAAGCACTTCAGGGCTTGCCGTGGGTATGTATTTACGTTCCCTCTCCCTGTTCACCCCTCCAAATCCAGCGCCGTAGCTCACTCGCATGTCCGTACTCGTGGGCAAGGAAAATGGTAGCATGAGAGAAGGGTCTAAGAGAAGGTGTTCTGGCGCATCATCTTCCTCTTCTTGATCATCGTTCTTTGGCGCGACTGACTTCTCATTGGAGTCCGGCGTATCTGGCTCTTGACTAGTTGTCTTCTTCTTGTCCGGTGTCGTAGGCGCAGTCTCACGCGATGGCTTTGTAGACGCAGCGGCATTTCTTTGCCGCTCCTTGCGCAGCTGGCTCTCTCTTTGCAAGTTGATTAGGTACTTCATGGCACTCTTCGGCAGTCCCTTCTCCCCAACCTCGGGTCGATAATGTTTCACGGCATGAATCAATTGTGGTGGTGTAAGCCGGGTTAGTTGCTGCAGGGTGCCGACCAGTGCTTCCAGATCATCCGTTCCTAATGACGAAAAACACTGTAGCCATTGCAACAGCTGAATGACAGGTGCAAGGTGACGCCGTGCTGCATCAACGGTATTCTCACCAGTGGAAGTCATAGAACCATGTTCATAGTGTTCCGGCTGCCGATTGTTTGTGCGCGCCCAATCTTCAAGACCTGAGATATTCATGCGAATCTGCATAGCCTTGGTCCGAGCGAGGTATTTGCGGTTCGACATAATACGGTTGAAAAGCTCAGCTCCTAACCAGTAGAACAGCTGGGCCAAGACCTGTGAGGTTATGACAGAATGAATGTCGTACAGATCCAACACAAAAAGGGTTGAGGACAGCAGCGATGTAACATTTCGTGGTGAAGGTTTCGCTCTTTGTTTCGGGGAAGGAGGTCGGAATCTCTTCTCCGGTGGTTCCTCCTTAACTTGGTTCTTCCTCTTGAATATCTTCCATTCATGTTGAAAAGCAATATCTTCAAAGCCTGGAATTGTCTCGTGATCCAACATGGCAGAGTCTAAGACCTTATCCATCCTCCTCTCAGCATCTCTGATGATGAGAATGAAAATTTCGTTGATCAGCTCTGCTAGTTGTAGCTGGAATTCGGTAGTTGATACAGACAGTCCAGCGTCTTTTTTCAAGTAATGTAATAATAAGGTAGCATTGGACATCCAGAACGCCAGGATCGTCATGTCCCATTGATGCGCTTCCACAACATCGTTGATCTTATCCATAGCGCTAATGAGGAGCTTCGCGAGGAGATCCTGACTGGCATGATAATGGGCGTATCGTGCACTAAGGAAAACCATGTTGGCAGGAACAGGCTTTTGAGAAGGAGACCGTTGTGGCGTCATATTGGTAATGATAATGTCAAGAATACGACTCAATTCGTTCTCTTGGAAGACAAACATTTGATCGTGTAAACATCTAGTCCAATCAAATTCTTGCATCTCTTCTTCTAGCTCTTCTGATGACTGTAGACAGTTAGCATCGTAGTTCCTAGAGTACTGTAACCAAGCTTACCTCGGGCTCATCATCAAGGCCTACGGCCCCTAGATCGACTTCTAGGTCGCGTGCGCTTTCCATCATCATACGCCTCCTCAATTCATTCTCCGCCATCTCTTCCTCGAATCGGTCTTGGGAGAATCCTGGATTATAGAAGTCATCTGTGACACCAGCGCTTCCGATATGATACCCACTATCATGTAAATAGCCGGAGATATCACTGTCAGGGGCAACAAAATCAAAAGCCGTCCGACCTGAAGATGATTTGACATCTGGCGACGCGCCATGATCCAGCAAAGATTTGGCAATGCCCTTATGCCGATTTGTCATTGCCCACATCAAAGCACTCCATTGATTCCGGTCCTGCTTGTCAACATCGGCCCCAGCATCTAGCAGGGCTGTAACCACAGCTTCATGGCCCTAATAACTTTGTTAGAGCAGTTCCCAATTCCTATTTGTAAGTAGTACTCACAAAGCAACTTGCATATATCAGCGGCACGGTACCCTCCTCATCAGGCGCATTTATGTCCACGAATTCCTTAGCCTTTCCTCCCAAAATCCTCTCTATCCCCTCGACGTCTCCATTGCTAGCAGCCATATTGAGAGCCTTCTGCAATATATCCCTCTTGTCGGCATCCGAAAGGGTGTTGTCTGAAGCAACTGCGTCTTCGTCCTCACTGGCCGTGACATCGCGATGTGCTGCTTGCGCTGCAAGCATCTCCATCAACCGAGTGTCACTATCCTCAATCTTCTGTGTCATGAGATCATCGACATATTCGTTGTCGTGCAAGGACAAATTGGTGAATTGGAGAGGTTTGGCCAGGGCAGGCGTCGTCAGAAATTGTGATTGTCCTGTTGCAAAGTCAGCCAACCTTAAAGGAGTCCGCGGTCGGTTGTCGCACCTTGCCAAGCATCGTACATCTCGGTCTCTGCTGTATAGTGAGAGGGAACACTCTTGCGATCATCCAGAGATTTCGGTAGATCATCTGGCAATGCCCTGGGCTGTGGTTTTATTTCCCCCTCACCAAAACCGCTGATATCCCCGCCATTGTCCCCGATATCCATTGCAGAATGATGGGGGAAGCATGTAGTCCGTACTCATCTGCAGGTTGTCATAGAGGCGAGGAGCTGTAGATTTGCACTCTGGTATTATGAAAAGGTTGGCGTTTGCAGGTCTAGTAGATCTAGACGTTCTTAGGGGACTGTCGTGTCTGCCTCTACTTTCGAAATGACGAGTGGTTGTCCGTTATATCGAGGTGGCCCGTGCGCCTACTGCCGACATTGAAATACCTTATTGTGCATTTATACAGTACAACGGCCTCCCATCAACTACTCAATTTTCCTTGGGCCCTTTTCCTTGACAATGACCAGTTTCCAAATCATCAAGGGCTCTAGATGGTTATCTGGCTCCACCATTGCCAGGTGGCAGAGGATTTCCCCCCTGCCCTCTCAATCAGCAAAGACACGTAGAAGGTCAAAATCTCGGGTGGGTCTACGGATCCGCTACCCCAGTGCCTGGCAAAAGAGTTTTGAGAAATCGAAATGCTTTATAGCCTATTTGATTAGTTGCTACTTGGTTGACTTTTAAGTCTTAACTGCCTAGACGGGTCGAAGCCTTATTCCATGAACTGCCTTTTAGATGCTCCTTTTCCCAAAGACTCTGATCCTCTTTACTCCTCCGTCAGGAATCATGATAAGCTTCACATGCGTGAATGTCTTGTCCCGAACCAACGAGTCAAACTCGTGCTCTCTATCTGGTCCACATTTGCTTGGCTCGACAAGGTCCGTCCATCCGTCAGCTGACGCCGCTGGTTCTCCCTCTCCTGTCCAGTGTATGGCTTCGACTTTCACCTTCTGTGGGAAGTTTCCTCTGAAGAATGCTGTATCCACAAGTAACTTCTGTACCATTCCTGGTGCACCAAGTCGAATAATAGCCCAATCCACATGATCTTTGCCCCGAGATCTCGAGGTCTCCCACCCATCTCCCATATCCTTTCCGCGGCCTGGGAGAATCAAATTTGATATCACACCGAAATGCTCATCGCTACATGAGACCGCAACTCCTCCATTCTGAGCGGCAGCAAGATCGAAAATTGCATCCTTATCTTCTGGGAAGACTGGGACAGCATGTCCAAACAATCTAAACCTTGCAATGCCTCCGTCCGGGTACATGTTCAGTCTGACATGCGTATACGCCTTCTTGGTTGGCACAGCCAGCTTCCAACCAAATCGCTGCGAGGGCCCACACTCCTGGATTCCGAGAATTGGCTCCCATTTACCTCGCTCTCCTTTCCATGAAATGACTTCATCGTCACTTGAGCTGAAGACGCCTTCGACGGAGATAGCAGGGGCGTGGTTTCCAGAGAAGAACGCAGTGTCGATTTCAATGCCCTCGACAATGCCTGAAGCCACACCAAGACGGATTACCACGTAGTCGAAAGGTGCAGGATTGTGCCGGCGAGTCTCCCACCCATCGTACCAAGCACCTGAATAGACCATTTTGCCTGGTTGTCTGATGGGTGCGGTTGGAGTTAAGAGGTTGGAGGCTTCGGCAAACCACTCATCAGAGAAGGAGAGGATTTTGCCACCAAGGGCAGAAGAGATCAGGTCTGGAGATGATGTTAGTATAGAAGCTGATAGAAGAGTCTGGCCGTTGCAATAGATATCATAATCGATCAGGATGAAGTGTCCAAAGATGTGCACGTGACTACCTCGTGAACAATTCCCCCATTTAGATGACAGATAGAGAAAGATGGGAGTGATATTCCGATATCCAACATATAGTTCAAAGGGAAAGGGGAAGCCAGAACCCACCAATGCAAGAGGAGCGAAAGGTTCCATCAATCTTGTCTGCGGCAACGCGAGTAGCCGGGACATCTTCCAGCTTGTATTCGGATTCAGACGACATCTTGGCAGGTACGAAAGGTTGTAAGAGAGGGTATCTTGGATCAAAAAAAGCAAAGAGAGAACTTGGTCCTTTTTAAGATGAGAAAAGAATCTGCACTTTGGGCTCTCATCAATTCTCATCGAGTAATACCCGTCCCTGACGGCGACGTCCGATAGACTAGGTACAACAGCAGACACGATAGTACGAAGAGGGCATCGATAAGCCCCACCATTGGCGCCTCAGGCCGAAGCGGGGTGTTGTCGTCGGTTTCGGTGGCCGCGGCGGCCGCCGAGGGACGGAGAGGTTGGTACAGGAGGGACGGAACGGAGGTACATTTTACCGACCTGGATGGAGATTGTCTTACAAGGACGACGACGACCTTTCTCAATCGCAATCGCAGATATAAGTCTGAGCAGCCTCCGCACTTTTCTGCAAGCAACTCCATGCCCGCTGTCTATTCCGGTGTGGATTCTGCCCCTCTTGTGATTGGTGCACGCCTCACGCAGCAATCAAGAGGAATACTGCGGTGAAGACTGTGCTTACCGATGCCAGCACGGTGATTGGCCGGAAACAACATTGATCCCCAGGTGAGCACCGAGCCGTAATAGCGTCATTGCAGGGTTCCAGTACGAGTACACTCGTCCATCTTTGGCTCTGCGGAGTGGTATTTATTATCCTATTGCTGCTTGTCCAGGTCGTGCCTCTTGCTTCGTACCTAGGTACCGTAGGTATGGGAAGAAGGTTCGTTGCTTTATAATAACCGCGTCACCTCACTCTTATAGATCACTCTCCACTCTTCGTGTCCCCAGATCATCCGAATTCCATACAACTGATATTCCACCACTTTTGAAAGACTATGGCTTCTGCTACAGGTATTCCGGAACAACCTGTCGTCGATCCTCGAGAGGGAGAGGAGTCAAGAGCAGAGGAGTCGAGAGGAGATGAGCCAAGAGAAGATGAGCCCTTACTCGGACGGCCTGGTGCTGCAACACAGCAAGATGGCCGTTCTCTCTTCCCCAACCTCATCATAGGTGAGTTCGTCAAATACTGAGTACTCGAGAGAAATCTCTAACCCTACCCAGGGACAGCAGGCATCGCGCAAGCCGGACTGATCTTGCTGGTGGCCTCTGTCTGGGCCAGCGTTTTCCTCAACCCCTTGATCTTCTTCTCCGCGCATCCCCTCCTGAACTCAGCTGGCCTGCTTTTCCTCACAGAATCCATCCTCATTCTGCAACCCACACATACCCCGACTCAAAAGCGCCAAGGCACCATTGCCCATTTCATTGCCAATAACTTGGCTTTGGACCTCCTCATAGCAGGTCTCGTCATCATCGAATACAACAAGTGGGCAAATGCTATACCGCACTTCGAGTCACCGCACGCCGTCTTAGGTCTGACCACCTATATTCTGCTGTTGATTCAATCCGCGGTGGGTTTTACGCAGTACTTCACCCCCAGGTTGTATGGTAGCGTAGACAGGGCCAAATCAATCTATAAATGGCACCGAATCAGTGGATATATCATCCTGACCACGATGTTGGCCACCGTCATCGCAGCAACACAGACCGATTACAACAAGAACATTCTGGATATCAAGATTTGGGCTATAATTATCGCCGCAATCCTAGTGCTGATTGGCGTTTTGCCCAGGATCAAAAAGCAGAAATTGGGGCTCCAGCCAAAACCAAGCGGTGTCGAGGGCCAGTAGTGTGATGCTATGGCTCAATGAAGTATGGGAGGCATGATCGCCTTGTTAAAATGCGCGATGTCAATTTCTAAACTATAGTCCGCATTTGGACACCATTCCTTGGAGGCTTATTTCTGTGGGTGGATCTCGTCATTTGTTAACGAGAGAAGGCGGAGAATGGTATCTGATATCCAAAGCCTCAGTCTTTTTAGCAAGAGGAGGTATTCTTGAAGACATCATGTTTTTGGGGTTCGTTAAATTGACACTTCATTGGGATGGAGTTCACGTCTTGTTCATCCTGAAGGATAGAGGTGTTGAAAACTTCGGCGTATTTTGATATCGAGGCCTTCTAGGGGAAGCAGATATCCTTCAGTTGTAATTTGGAAATGAGTTATAATGATTTGATGCATGGAATGGAATTCTGTTCAATAGCCAGAATGAAAAGTTGCAAGGTCTCTCTATTTCCAATTGTTCTTCATATCTCTTCTCTATCTATGTCTTACCAGCGACATCAAGAATCCGACGTGTCTCCCCTCAGATTTCACCATAACACACTTCACCCGGCTATTCTATTGCATGCGTAAGAGAATCCGAGAGAGTATTCCCGTGAAGGAGAGAGCGGAAATTATTTCCAAGATTTTTTTACGAGGAAGAGGCAGGATAATAATAGCTTTGATGAAAAGAAAAGAATTTCTTTCTTAGGGATGGAGTATGAGATTCTGGATTTTGGTAAGGGACTTTGAGTGTGTTTTGTTCTTGATTAGTTTGCGATGTAGGGGTTGGTTATTAGGGGGGTTTTTTGGGTTTTTTTGGGGGGGGGGGGAAGGCGGGGGATTACTGGTTTTTATATATTGGCCTAAGAGAGAGAGAGGGAGGGGGGGGTTCTTCTGCGC